ATTCTGCGAATAAGATATGTAATTTTTTAAGGACATTTAGTTTCTGCTGACGGTCATACCAGCGTTTGATTCGGGAAAATAATAAGCCAGACATATCCTTTTAGTTAGAACTGTGCAGAATTAGGCATTCGAAGTGATTACCAATTATAATTCGGGCTTCAGTTGTTTTTTGTGTTGAAGGCATGATTTTTATATTTATGCGGTTAACAATGCGAACGTGTTGGCCTGGCTTCCTAACGACTTTTATTTCTCGATGATATATTTGCCTTAATATTCAGACATTTAATTATGATCTTTTTTTTCCAATACGGGTAGGAACGCATTCTCAATGAGCCGACTTTGCCTTCAACAAAAAGACTTTGACTTTTCTGACACGCATCTTCCGATTACTCAGATTAATGAATAATTAAAAAATATTCGCAGAATTGTTTTTCGGTGCTCTTCATCAGCAGCTGGCGATGATTGCTTCTAGAGCCATTCAGCGAGTCAGCTCATTTCGGCTTATTTGTTGACAACCAAAGTGGCAAACGACGCCAGGGCTTGAGTGAGAGGCGGTTCACTTCGCTGAAAACATTATCCGTGTTTATCATCTACCCTCAAAACATATGCTTATACAAAATTCAGTGATTCCCTGTGCCTGAATATGAAACGAAGAAAAGGGTCACTTTCTCGATCAAGTATTCTTCAGGTAACAGAAAATGGACACTTGTACGTTTGACGCTGATTTCATTTTGCGACGATTTTTTCTCACAGATAATTTTTAAAGCCCTTTTTTGTAATTTCATTTCTCTAGATTAATGGATTTATCCTCTTCCTGCATTTACAATCAGGTATGAACATGCTTAACTTGAAAAACACCTTTTAAAAAGCAAGAATACATAAAATCAACCGCTCACAGCAGCGCTTTACGAAAGTCGACTGCAGGTTGCAATATTGCATTTTACATACTTGCACCTTTTTGTTAGCGACAAAGATTTGCGGTTTGAATTTGGTTTTTGATATCTGATTCAGTGTAACAAGGAACAAAACACAATGTGTCACTCGCCGGCAGCGGGGGAGCTTGAAACGCCTTGATCGAGCCGAAAATTATTTTGGTTATGCCGAACAACTTGAAAAACATGGACTGTATACATGTAGAAGGTCGGAAAGCCTCTATTGTTTGAACTCTTTATATCCTCAGTTTTGTCACAGTTGACAATGAGGCTCGTATTTAGAAACGTTTTTTTTTCTTCTGTTACAACTGGCCGAGGTACCTATTACCTGAACGCTTAAATCGTTGGTCATCGACAGGTGAAATGGAGTTGGTGTCAGTTTTAACGATCTCGGTTGAGTTTGCTGAATCGAGGGTATCTTGCCCATAATTATTCTCTCAAAAAACCAACATAATTCGCCATATCAAAACTATAGCTTGAGTTAACTTTTCGTAACTATTCGATTGAATTCTAATCCGGCTTATCCGTCGGAAAATGTAGATTAAATGAGTGGAAAAAGATATGATAACAACATGAAACAGACAGCCACATTACAACATTACATTACGATAAAAAACCTCTCGTCCAATGACTTCCCCAATTTAGTTATATTTTCAGTTTTTAGAAAAGCAATTTAGTTTAAATTACAATGTTGAAATAATACACCTTTTTTCTCTAAAAGCAGCAACCTACCGGCATAAAAGAATTGCCTAAAGTCACCTGCGGAAAAATATTAAAGCCAGATTTTTTATTACGAACAAGGGTTGTCATCATTTATTTGTTACAACCAAGTAAGCTTTTATTTTTTTTTCTTATCGAAACAGAGCAGGCTTATTTTGTATGTAAAAGTCAAGAGGTTCGTACAGCTATTGTTTAAAAGGAAATTTGGCCGGCACTAGGCACATAGGTAGGATTTCTGTGAACACCTATTTAATTGTTCTCTTCACTGATCGTTGAAATAAATATATTTCAATAAACAAATTTTTCATTCTTGGAAGCTTCTTTGAATTTGAATAACTTACATATTATTTAAATTCTTCCATAATGTGACGAACTTGTGACTTACGCGGTTAACTGGGTTTTATCATTGCTGAAGTTAAATGTATTTTTGTTGGAAAATGCTGGAGGCGAAAAGCGGATTCACTGTTTGCTCTTCAACGAAAGCTAACAAAGCCGATGTCAAGACCTCACTTGCTTTTAGCGACTCTCTTATTTTCGCTCTCGTTTTATAATTATTTTCCCACTAGTTCTTTACCGGCTTCCACTTAGTTATACTTGAACGTAAACTATTGACTTACTAAAACACTGAATAAAAATTTATAGTTTTATTGTTTATGTCGCTAGAAAATCTGCGAGCAATTGATAACATTGTTTCTTTTACACTAATTTATGGGATGCAAAACCAAGAAGAATAATATACTTTCAGATTAATATATGGGGCCCGTTTTAGAATTAGATAAATCTGTATCTATCGCGGATGATCCAGATTTTAATCAAGTATTTTGTAGTACAAGGATGTGTGTACAGCGCGGGCTGGCTGTCATTCACTGGAAGGAAAATTTGAAAAACTAACTGTATGTATCTGGTGGTGTCATACTCACGCGTAATACACCGTAACATTAAACTTTACATAAGGTTGATTTCTACTGACACGTTTTTGGCTACGCACGTTAACGCACGTAAATTTTAATCACGTAAAAAAATAGGGGCAAGATAAAAAGTGCTGAGCTTAAACGAGAAGTTGAGGGAGGTTCAACTTTTACGCTTACGAGCGACCTTTCATGCATTGCCTCTATTTTATTTGCGAACGGAAATTTTACGCACGTACGCACGTACGCACGTAGAAATTACGTGATACTGGAAATCAATCCATAGAGTGGAAGCTCTTTTGAGTGGAGACCCTAGGGACGCGAAAAAGGTTTCCATAACTGGAGCTGGTCGCTTACGGGACTGTAAAAATACTGAAGAGTTTTTATGAGAGTTGTGTACCTTTTTTTTTTCTCTTCCTGCAACGGTATTGATCGAACAATAAACTCAGAATCACATTTAACTGATTTTATTACCTTAAAGACAGGCGTGTTCATTTCGTTCTAATCGTAAAATGTTCGAACAAAAAGTCACTTTTTTCCTAGTAAACTAGTCACCAGCTGGAAGCCCGTTTACAGTTTGCACTGAATTCGCTTAGAACCATTATTTAAACTAATTTCAGTTGTATAATCAGTTTGCTTGCAATATATTGTAAGTTGTAGTTCTTTGATTACTGGATAAAGTTTCTTGTTTCTAACAACGTCGTATTCGACTTTGTGGAAAACGACTAGAGGGTATTTACGACTAAGCTGGCCTTGGATGAAAACATTATTTACTAATTTCTTTTTTCTTTCTTGTGTCAACATTTTCTTTCTGCATTTACATTGCTACATGACCTTCAAAAACTGACAATTTTGCTGCCTGCCGATTAATAAAAAAAGTAAGATTTTATTTCACTTTATTTATCGCTCGGTAAATCATCACTTTGGTATACACTGGGACCTTTTTCTTTTTTTAATGATTTTCACATGCGACAAAAAACCATTGTTCGTGCCTCGGTTCCTCTGAAAGTTCTGTCTTTGTTATTTCCAAGTCAAAAATGGTTTTATATATACCACTTCATAATTTGTATTGATATTTTTTTTGGTTTAGAACCTTGAGTATTATGAGAACGAAGCCCGCCACTGACACACAAAATGATATTTGAAAGTGTGAGTTTGTTGGCATAGCCGATATGAGAAGGGCGCTTGTGAGTAAATACGGTAGAAAAGAAAAACAATAATGCGATGACAGTTGGACAGAATGGACAAACATAATTTAGATATTGAAAAAAATATCTAGAACTCTTCAGATTTTTCCGAGTCAGGGAATCACACACGTACTGTTCGGTTTTATTCTGTTTCTTGTCCGCGATTACGGTTTGTTCAACCAGCAACGACACCACGTTTCGTAAACCAACCGCTAGGATAAAAATTAGGATCCTATAAACCAAGGACAGAGTAAATTTTCTTGCCATGCAAATTACCTAGCCTTGTATTACAGGTGATTTAACGCCGCTTGCAACGAGAGCATTCACGTGTTTCACGGGCTACTCCCTGGGATTAAGGACACGGCTTCAAAAGGACCTTTAACGTAAAGTTCAGGTTTAGTAAGGACATCTTTAAGGGACCAAATTAAAGAAAATAGATGTGCAGAAAAGGTACAGGCAAGTTTATGATCCCCAGGGCCTGGCAAACTTGTTGAACAAGTTAGGGTTAAGTGCCTTGGAAACGATCCTCAACCATTCCCACGATCTTGCCCGCGCTATCGCAGATTACTCAGCTAAGAAGGATTAACAGATAGAGAAACAGGAAAATATTTTGGTCTTCCGGAAAACGTTGCACAGCACTCTCGTTTCAAACATACACGAATAAAGCAAATAAACGAGCAAAAACAGTTGTTATCAGCACATTAACGTTTGCGGTTACTGTGTATTCACTTCACAAAGGAAAGCAACCATTAATAACCTTGCCATGATTTTCACATTAGTATAACATAGGCTATTGTTTAGGTGTTAATAGAAAAAAATTATCGGTTTTTCTCATCAATTATGATGTCAAAAAAGTTGGAACTCTTTTGAAGACTTGAAATGTCAAAAACTAATTTAGCTACCGAGTGTTTTACCTATCCCAGAACCCTGGCAACGTCGTATTTCCATTTCAATCTGCTGAAGTCACTACTCTGAACATCTAAATGAATTACATTTATTATAAAAGTACCGATCAGTGTTTTTGAACAACTGAGTGAGTTTTGCTCGGAGGCAACTGCAACTGTTACCCCTCCCCCGCCAAAGCGGAAGTGTTCACTTTCACAGTCCGCATCGGAATTTTGCGTATGTAAAGATGCCATTGTTTTGGTCATTTCAAATTAACCTAACATGGCCATTTCAACACGGAAAAAGCCTGTTGTTTTCGAATTTCATGACTTTGCCATATCGTTCAACCAGAGGGATGATTAATTGTTTCTTTACATTCCACAGTTTATGCCACTGAGTATACGATCGACACAACGCAAGCCCAGATTCGAGAAAATTCAGCGTTATTCAAAAGCGGAATAATTGAGAACAGGACTTTTTATGGTCCAAATAATGGTGTGTGGAATTATTCCGTAGCAACATTTAATCTCCAAGCTGGCGAAGCTCAAAGAGTCTTTTCATCAGGAAATGTTGTGAAAATTTATGGTGCGCATGCGTTGTCTGTTAGCGTCAATGGCAACTTCACTGTCGCCACCACGTTGGATGTGAGCGGTAAAGAAGTCAATTTTACTGCCGAAGGAAAGCGGTTATTTTGGCTTGGAGGATTTGTTCGTGTCAATAAATCGTGTTGTACATTGGGTAAGTTACTTACCTGACGCGGGTAAGGGTTCTGCTGTATGCAGTTCTCTGTATTGTGGGACTCGTTACTTTATAGCAGTCCTAGCACGCCCGACTGCTCAGGTGCCCCGTTGGGCGGGGAACGTTTCCAGGGGGCCAGGTTCAATTCCTGGGCGATTTTAGCGTACTGGTGTACCCTCCTTCAGGCGTTGCTCGACAGAGCCCTTGCACTCCGGCTCAGTTAAGTATCGTGATGTCGTTTGGCCATTGCACTGACCATTGCACTACCGGGTTCGTGGCTGGGGGCGCCTGAAATACAAAAAAAAATTGGGTAAGTTAGGCAAGAAATATACCGTGATTAACTATGAATAGATAGCGCTCTTACGGGGTTCATACCTCCAGGGGCGCTAACTTCCAGGATTTTTCACGTTCGGGAGTTGTTACGTCCAGGGGTTCTTACGATCAGTGGCTCTTATGTCGAGGAGTTCTTACGTTCAGCGGTTGTTTCCTATGTTCAAGGGTTATTACTTCCGGGGGCTCTTACATTGAGGGGTTATTACCCTAAGGGTTTCTTATGTGCAAGGGTTGTTTGCATCCAGGGGTACGTTGTTACGTTCATTGGCTCTTATCTTAAAGGATTTTTCTTACGTTCAGGGGTTATTACTTCCTGGGGTTCTTACTTTCAGGCGTTTTTATGTTGAGGGGTTCTTATATCCAGGGTTCCTAACGTTTATGGGTTATTACGTTAAGGGTTTCTTACGTTCAGGGGTTCTTACGCCCAGTGGATCTTACGTCCAGGGATTCTTACGTTCAGCGGTTCTTATTTTCAGGGGATTTTTCGTCCATTGATTCTTACGTCCAGGTGGTCTTACATCCAGGGTTTCTTACGTTCAAGGGATCTTACATCCAGGGCATCTGAAGTCCAGGGGATCTTATGTTACAGGGGTTCTTATGTCCTGGGGATTTTACGTCCATTGGTGCTGACGTTCATGGGTTCTTACGTTCAGAGATAGTTGTACTGGTCAGTGGCGTTATTTTGTGCTGGGGTTCTTACGTCCGTGGGTTCTACGTTCGGGGGTTCTCACGTCCATGGGTTCTAATATCCAGGAGTTCTTACGTCTTTTTCATCTTACATTTTTTTCGAAAGGAAGCATTTTTCATTACAGACCTTTAGCATCAGGTTTTGATGAGAAACCTGAAACTTCAGATTTCCGTTAGCCGTTTGCAGTTTCAGGGCCCAGTTGTTCGAAGGCCGATTAGCGCTTAACCCGCGCGTTAAATTTAACCCGGGTTTCTTTTTCTTGTATTCAAAAGCATTTTCTCGGATAATTTTCTCTGTTATTTTTAGAGCTTCCAATCATCAACTTGTAGACGAAAAGAATTCAAACTGAAATGCTTTTTAAGCTTTCAAATCTGAATTCAAATCACGCACTAACCCTGGGTTATCTTAACCCAGCTTTGAACAACTCGGCCCAGGTTGCTAGAGTTGTGTAGCTAGTTTAGCAAGGCGCTCGTTGTTTCGTGCCGCCATGTTTTTTTCGTCAAGTCGACGCTCTCCTCTTTGATCGCCTTGAAGAATTCCTTGATTCGAGTTCAAGAATACTAAGTAGCACTCGCATGCGGGTATAGAAACCTATTTCTTACCTTAAAACGTGAGACTGAACATTTTTTAATGGCCAAAAAACCTAGCCATAAATCCTTCTTTGCCGTTCAAACGTAAAATGCAAACAACAAACGCGACCCCAAGACCTTGGTCACGTGACATCCTCATGTTAATCGTTTGCCGTTGACCATAAACTAAAACCACTACTGTGCCGTGAAATAAATAGTCTGTGAACAGGTTTTCTATTTGGGTTTGGGGGGTGGGTGTGTGTGTGTGTGGGGGGGGGGGGGGGGAAGGCAAAGAGAACGTGAGAGGGAGCGAACAGGAGGGGTGGGGTGGGGACGGGATAGGGGAAAGATTAGACATGGGGGTTTGCAGAGTGCCGTTGTGTTATGTGATTACACCTTATTATAGGTTATAATGAAGTGGATACCTTATTATGACACCATTAGTATTTGTCCTTCAATAGGTGCAGGACCCGGTGGTGCTTTTAGCTATCATGGCGGGGGGCACGGCGGAAGAGGTGGGGGATTTTATCAGGACAGGAACACCAGTAGATTTTACGGATGGTCCTACTACGATACTTCGTACCTGCTAGGTGGAAGTACAGGTAAGAGCATTAAGGTGACTTTATTCAGGACAACAACATCGAGGAATCAGAAATCATTATTGGCGGATTCTAAGCGATCTTCCCCAAATGACGCACTCGAAAATGCAACGTCGACTTCTTGACTTTAGCCTGGGGAAAAGAGCTCCATGTAGAGCTAGCACGCAGGTGAACCTGACTTTTAAATTTCAGTCCTTTTACTTCCTTTCCTTTCACCTTTAAACAGTTTTATGATGTTTTGTTACTCCCCCCTGGACGGAAATTTATGAAAATTTATTAATAAATAAAGAAATAGATAAATGAATAGTACTAAATTTTAATGACACTGCCCCTTGCACTTCTTTCTTTTTTTATTCCTTTTCAGGAACTGTTTTATTCAAAAGCAAGTCAGGCTCTGGAGGCGGAGCTATTGAACTAATCGCAGTCGATGGAACATTGACCGTTGGTGAGTATCGATAATTTGTATCCTTAAACAGCAGTGGGGTTGTCCAGATAAAACGAGCACAACAAATACCACCAAAAAATGAAGAAGTATATGTGTGGAGTCTAGTTCTTAGCAATTAGGCTCGATCGTTTGTTTCTTTCATGTTTCCACAGATTTTTTTGATCGGGCTCTCCGGCATCAGAGGAACCAAAGCCTGACGCACTCTGTGACTAAAAAAGGAGCTTAAGCAGCTACGACGACGACCACAGCGACGACTTCAAAAAAACAATCGGTTTAATGATCAAAACAACAGCCCTGCAAGTGCATCACGCTTTTTAGTACATTTCTTTGACGTCTACTGCACGACTACGACTTGAAACTTCCTAATTTGCCGTTTTATGGAAGACGTGGACATACGACGTAGAATTTTCCTTCCTCTTTTTGAACCTGAATAAAACCCTTAAGAATTCAACTCCAGGAAAAGTCGCCTGCATTTGACATATTGAGAAGCTTTAAATAGACGCGATTAAGTTTGAAAGAACGCAAATTCATTTTTTTACCGACGTTTTCACTGCCATCGTCGTTGCCCTTCGTTAAGGTCCCGAAAGCTTTAAGTGAGTCTCGTCTGCGAAACGTCCCTAGCGGAGAGAAGAAAGGAAAGACGGCTTTATTCACAGGCTGATTGTGCGTGCCTAGGCCTTTAGAAAAAGTGACTAAGAGTACCACCTTATCAAAGTGATTTTATAAGCATCGAATAGTTGTCGTGTAGGATGCTTCTAGAACGAGGAATATTCATGGTGTACACGACTCGTACCACTCGAAAGCCCCCCTTTCGACAACTCTGCTCCTCATTTCTAAGTGTCGCTGATGAGATGCTACCAGTCGAAAGGCCTCCCCTCGACAACTTTGCTCACAAATTCTACAAGTGTCTCTAATGGGATGCTATTTCACCATGCAGTTGTACGACTCCTACGAGTCTTACCATCTGACAGAATCCCCTCTAATGAGATGCAGCCAAGTAATGTACTTCACTTTATTTCACTCAAACGTATCACATTCTCTATTTGAACCAATCGCACAACTTAACCACTCATACCACTTGAGTCTTTAACAGTGAGTATTGGACAAGGTGGTGATTTGCACATTTGCGGTTTTAGGAAACTACACAATCACAAAGATTTTCAAACACAGAGTGCGTCAGGCTTTGGTTCCTCTGACGAGAGCCCCAAATCCTGTGAGGAAGGAAGAAACAACATTAATTCAAACGGGTTCAAAGGTATCTTTATGTGTCAGGGGACTATGTGATCCTTGCGTAAAATTTTTAATTCACTTTAAATTAAAATTTCGATCATTTCAAAACTCAAAATTTCCCTCTTTAAATAGTTTTCTTCCCCTCGCCCCCATTTTTTTTTTTTCATAAGACTTTGTTCTGATCAATTTTCTCTGTTAATTGTAGATGCAAAAATTATGGCAAACGGTTACTCAAGTGACAACACAAGTGACGAGCACTGTGCTGGAGGAAGTTCAGGGGGCTTGATACGCCTGCAAGGAGATCAGGTAATACATCCGACATCCGGGTTTCCCTTATTACGCCTAGTCGCTTTGGCTTCATCAGCGGATAACATCCTCCTCGATGTGCATAATTATCTATCTATCCTCCTCGAGCTGCATAATTATCTATCTAATTCTTCAGATCATACTCAACCAGGAGCCCAGGAGCCCATGACTCGGAGCGAGCAACCTTTATGCGCTCGTGTCACGGCGTTTTCACGGATCGGTTTGTTTTCAAAACGGTTTTGGCGCGAATTTTAATTATCTTTTAAATCTTTTAAATTTCACAAACCAGTCAGCAAAACCTACAGACCTAAAAATGATATTTTTTGCTTTTTAATAACGATTAGTTTTCCTTTTTGATATCTTATACTTCGAATGCGCTCATAGACGTGGTGGAGATTCTACTTTCGCGGGAAAAACTGCCCTAAAATGTGTCTAAAAGTAAACTGGTCTGTAAAAACGTCGTGACATAGGCCTAGTATGGGAGTTGCTTGCTGCGGGTTATGGGCTCCTGACAAAACCTCATCCAATAATTTCCCACTTTCATTTAGAAAATATAAGAAACTGGGATGAGGTAACTTTTAAAAAAGACTTCTGGGACTATTAATGGGAACAAGGGAAAAATTAGCCAATGGCTGACCAGCGTGTCCCTAGTAACGATCACAGAAACAATTGGGGACTTTTAAGATTCAATGACGGAACGGCAACGAGAACGTCTAAAAACCAATAGGTTTAATAAGCAAAAAATAAAATTTGAACGTGCATCAAGCTTTGTTGTACATTTGTTTGCCGTTTTTGCACGACTACGTCGTGGAAATGCCTGATCTCGTGTTTTATGAAGAACGTAAACAAGCAACGACGAAAGTTTATTTCGCTTTCTGAACTTGAATATGATCCCTTGGAATTCAATTTCAGGAGGGTTCGTGTACATTTGACAAAGTAAGTAGGAATAATCGCGATAAAGACTGAAAGAACGGAAATTCACTTTTTAAGCGACGTTCTCGTTGCTGTCGTGTCGTTGGATCTTATCGTCCCTATTGGCTTTGCGGGACGCAACTCGGCTCCAGTTTTCTTCTCTTTTCCAAAGAGACGAATTGCTAAATACTCCTTGGCAACACGTGGAGGTACAGCCCCGGTCAACATTTCTTTAGACGCTTGTGGCAATAAGATGCGAAAACGCCCTTCGCTAAGTTAACTAGTAATTAATTTAGTTCTTATAGGAGCTTGGAAATGTTGTAACAGCCAATTTCGGTTCTCCCCTTTTCCCCCAAGCTGCATGATGTCAATACTGCAATGGGAAAAAAAGAGAAATTCGTTATTTTGACTAGCTATTGCTCTAGTGTCGTAAGGTTTTAACCAGATTTGTTGCCTTTACGGCGTGGAATTGGCAGACAATTAATCGTCGATGTGTTTCTTCCTGAATTTCAGGTTATTATTGGGAGTGGAGGAAGCTTATGGGCAAAAGGAGGACACAGTGGGTACAGAACAGGCCACTCTCATTACTGTGGGGGAGGAGGAGGGGGTGGAGTCATTCAGGTCTTTTCTTTGACTGACAACAAAAACTACACCGCCAACAGTGCAGTTCACACGCGCGGAGGACGTGGAATACTGAATGGCGAGGAAGGATTGGAACGAGTAGCTGGTAAGTACATAAATTACACTACTGAAGGTCACTATACGTAAAGGCAGAAAAGAAGTCGGAATTTTTGACGAACGGATATGTAGCCTTTGCCGTTTTTTTGTTATTCAAGATGGCGGTTTTAACACGGCGGTAACGCGGCGAACAAAAACACTTGCGCACCCCACGAAAATGCCTCTGATGCAGGCTAACGGAAGTGCGTTCACGCGGCGACATGAACCGTAATTGGTTATGGCTCCTTTACAAGTAAAATATTTGTGATCGGGATGGAACACGGATACCAGATCTTCCTATCCAGGGTGCTCCGCGCTGACAATCGGCGCTCCCGGCTATCAAACGGAGTATAGAAGTTGCGCGGAAGACTGGAACGGGGTTTGGAGGACGCTATCGATCGCTTTTTTTTGGCTGTCGCCAGCAAACTGGGTCAAAATTGGTCCTCCGAAATTGTCCCACAGTGTAACAGCCTACTTTTGATTTATTAAAATTCAACATGACAGGGAGCCCTGGAGGACGTAAACAAAGAAAATGAATAAAAAATTGAATAAACCATTAACTTTGTTAAGTCATCTTTTTTTCCTCTCTGTTTCAAGCGAACGCCTTCAAAGTAGTGTAGGATATCAATTGATAGCCATATTCCGAATTCGCTGGTAATGACTACGTACGCTTTATTAGACATCCTTCTTCGACCAAACATAAGTGCAAAGATTCTATTTTCTAATGGCTTTGAAACCGTGGCAGTCATCAGAGAAACATAGCAACGAAAGCTATTGAAAACGAACCTACCCTGTCCAAAGCCAGCCTACGGACATGAGATGGCAGCGGGTTTCTTGTTTTTTTTGTCTGTTTGTTTCAGTGTTTTTTGTTTTTTGCTTTTCCTTTTTCTAGTTTTTTTGCTTAGATCTTTAAAAGAAGTTCGGACCTCAAATTGTTAACTTACTTAAAAACTTTAATTTACCAGAGTTTTGTTTTGAATTTCCGGAAGAATTATTGATCATTTCAGTAGCTACCTTATTCGTACTTAATTTTGCGATTTCGATGGGGGAAAATGATAAAAGATCATTAAATTTCTCGAAAGCGTTGTCAACGTCATTTTATTTTCAAAAAAAAAAAAAGTCTGAACTACAAACTTTCTAAACAAACTGGAACAAGTTAAGATTAGGTACATATTGTCCTAGAGTCCGCAATGTTCCTAAACATCCAGGTCTTCAAAGGGATCTTCCGGTGGAAGTTTCTTTGAGCCACTAACAACATCAGTTACGCCAGCCTTCTTCCATCCTTTTGCAATTGACTGTCTGCCTTCAGAGCTAGACAAATGTTTGTACATGCTAACGATCCAAGTTACATGAATTGGTTTGAGAACGGAGAGTCGCAGGTCAACATCAACCGGGACAACCCCTGAATCTAGTTGACTTTGAACTTGCGCCGAGTACCAAGACGTGAATTGGTCTTCCATAAACTTTTTTGCTTCTCTACTAACAGTCAAATCATCTTCAGATGAAGATGAGTAGTTAGATTTTCTGCTCGATATATTCATGTGAAATCTTTGCAAATTACCTTTATTGATCACACTTGACAAGATGCAAAATGGAGCTTGCCACGGAATAATTTATTATTTATGTCGATACATAAGCTGTACATGTCGTTGTTGATCATGTTTATCAAGTTTTTTGTGATTCAAATTTCTTACCATGGTATTTAATTTCGCGTGTGTAAATTCCGCGAGGATTTTTGTTCGCGAGGCTTTAATTTCGCGATTTTTTTACAATGGCGAAAATCGCGAAAGTAAAGACGTGCGAAATTAAGTACGAATAAAGTATGTCAAACGCTCTAAAGCGTATTCCATCTTGTATCCAGACACCTCAATCGCCGAAATTAAAGTTGAAAAGAATCGGCTGCTTTTCTTTTTTTAACTCACCTCCTGGATAGTTTTTTGAGGATATCGAATGGAAAACCTCTTCTCCTGTCTAATATGCTACGTGGTGAAGTATTATTACAAGAGCCTCCTAAACAGGGGCATTAGAGAGCCTAATAACCAAAGACGTTTTTGAGAAACGCACGTCAACCGGAAATGGAATTTTTAGCGTTCTTGGGCAGTGGTTTTGTCCATAATTTCAGGCAAGTGTCTCTATAAGACTTAGGCACATAGCAATACAAATTTTGAAGCCTAATGGCACATAAATTAAGAGTTAGGTAACAGGGCTTGTTTCCGGTTGACGTGAGTCGCTCATGATCAAAAACTCGTTTTCTTAAGCTTCCTATGAACCAACAAAGGCGGCGTTTACTCTTCTCTTAGTAAACTTAAATTCTACACATGAAGTGTTGGAACAGACTGTAAGGATGTTAGCCTTACCATTACTAACTGTGGCCATGATGCAAGGGAAGAGAAGATAGACTAACACCTTGATTAATTTTATTTCTCTTTTTTGTTCACCGAAGGAAAAATACCCTACCCACTTGTATGAACAAACCACCAACTTTGTTTAGTCTTCTTTCATTCCCCTCTGTTTCAAGCGAACGCCTTCAAAGTAGTGTAGGATATCAGTTGATTGCCATATTCCGAATTCATTGGTAATGACTTCATTGGCCAGTAATCCGAAAAATCTTTCACAGACATCAGCGAGGTATTTGAGTATTAAACATTTCGAGTGTTGAATTATAGAATGATTCTTCGACTTATAGTATAAGATTGTTTTAATATTTAGAGGGAGGACAGTCCTATGACATTTGAATAAAATTAGAAATGAAGAAGAAAGAATTAAGTTCACAAATGATCATTTGATAACTCAGTTGATAACAGACGTTCCTCAATAATTTTTATGGAAAAATTTTAAAATCAATTAATCTACTTGCGTAGAGGTCCACTGAAATCATGAGACTACGCTTTAAAATTGAATAACAAACTGGCTAGTGTAAGACGAGTAAAAGTGGTCCGTTCAAAATTTCGAAAGGTTATATTTTAATCATGGTCTGGTTAGGGTTAAGGGTTTAGGGTTTTGTATTGGAATCATTGCCGTAATGTTATAAGTAAACATGTAGAAGTGTTCTGTTGAAAAGTGAAACATTTTAGGGTAAAATTCTCATGAATATGATATGACCCTCTTGAGTACAAGTCCCTATTGGTATTGTACCTTATGAATAAAACAATGTCGGGCGATCCTAAAATATCTTATATCGTCGAGCCTTAACCTCAAGCTAATACGTTTTTAAAGAAAGCGAGTAGTTTGCGTGAATAGCATGAAATAAGGCTCTTATATTGCTATTTACATCTGTAGCAGTTTGGTCAGTAATTGAGAAATTAGACCAAAAAAAAATAAAAAACAGAACAAATTTCGTTGGGGATACGTCGGTTTCTTTTTTCGTAATTTACAACGACCGCCTGGAAACGAATCAAAGTAGATACGCGTTTTCGTTTGAGACCCAAACTGTCTTGAAGTTGCCAGTTGCAAAAAGCAAAATTTTCCTTTGAAAAAATTCAAGTAAGTACTACGCGTTCCGCGTTGTTTTTTTTCGTCGAAGTTTTAAGAGGCAAATCCTATTAACTGGTCAAGAATCAAGGTACTTCAACTGAGTTCAATTACTCAGGGACCTGACAGCCAATACTTTGAGAATTTCAGCGTAGTCGGTAAACAACCGACATATAACACGGAAACGAGGCCACCAACTACTCGCCTCGAGGTGGCGTGAGATGCCAGTTGTGAGCGAAAACTTTTATCCATCACTGGCCTGTTTTTGCCGAATGATGAACAAATATGAAAAATGAAAACTGGCCGTTCGTCCTTGCAAATGGAAACATATGTTGACATGACCATACCGCAGGGTCCATTGGCAAATTAGAACGGGTTATTTGATGACCCCAGGAATGTGACAAAAGATACACCAGAAATACCATTTGCACCCCTTTTATGTAGGGCATTGTCGTCAACCCATTAGTCGTTAATCGATCTTCCTTCAGTAAATAGTGTACTTCGTTTGTTCGGCGGAGAGGAAGTCCGTCAAGAAATTTTGCCGAATTGTGGCAAAAATCATGGACCACAGTCGTATATTCCTTGCTCTTCTTGTCTTTAGCGTTGCAGAAGTGGATGGTTGCTCCTCAAATTCTAACCCAATGTATAGTAAGTATAGTATCAATAGATAGCCTGTTATTATAGTTAAAGGCATTGCGCGACAATCTCTATCGTCTGCGGCTAATTTACACGGAACCTTTGAGACATCGAGGAGTCATGCAGCTAACGAAGTCGCTCTCACGAAATCAAACAGAATTTACTATCAAAAGCATAAAAGACTAGATTTTTCCAAAAGGTATCACGACATAATTCTTATATATAGTCGTCGTTTGGTAGCCTTTCGCGGCATGATATTCAAGTAAAATGTCTGGCTTTATGGCGAGGACAAAAACATAGCTGGAAGTAACTAAGAAGTAGGCCGTTTGTAATTTAGCATCACCTGGGTGGTTTTGTAATACCCGCACACTTTTGTGTACCGAGAGTGCAATCGTTAAACGTATAGTAATTATTCCGTGAACCTGGCAGACTTATTTCTTGGCCATTTTCACCAAGTTAGCACAAGTCAACAAAGGTCGATGCTTTTTTCTTTGCTGTCCGTCCCGCATCGGCTTTAAATTACTCATTTAAAGACCTTTGGACTCTGTCGCAGCCTTTATTTACTTTTCAGTCAGGATATGTTACGATCTATTCCAGAATGCAAAGTTTTTTATATAATATTTGAGGAAATAAAATCGCAGGTCTCCGAAACTTTTTCTGCGGTCTCGAAATCTCAAGACTCGTCACAAACAGTTCCGAGATTTCGAGACTGGATAAAAAGTTTCGGAGACCTGCAATTTTATTTCTTCTGAGTGTTTAAAAAATCTTCTTTTTGTGAGTTTGCTCGATTACTTGATTATTTTTGTACATTTAACACTCAATGCCTCTGTGAGTCTCGTATTTGACCGTTCACCATTCCTGAAATATATCAAAAACGTTGTTATTCTGCGTAAGTGAGAAGTCAGATTAATGGAGAAAAGGTGGCCGATAGGGACTATCCCCGAATTGCGACAGGTATCGACGCTTCCTTTTAAGTCACAGCTAGGGGCCCCTGTTACAAGCCCGGTTCATCGACTTTCAAATTGTTTACAGTTCCCTCAAGGCGTTGCTGTTGTGTTATCAAAAAGAGTTACAAATTAAAAACAGTAAATTCATTTCAAAAGAAGTGTCTTTTTGATCACAGCGTTAGTTGTGGGGATTAAAGATCAGATAAGACGATTCTATTTTTGCTCATGGTATAGGCAGCTAGCTTCAGTGTACGCAGCGGTCTTTATACCATATGTCTTATTCAAATATCGGTCTTTTTGGTGCGTATTTTTTGCGAAAACCTAATTCCTTTTTTGGAGCCAAAAACTGTGTTTGCATATTTTGCTAAAATCCAAAACCAGATTATGAATCTAAGAGTTCACCTTGGTTTTAGTCGCTAAATTGTTAACGTCAGTACTGTAGTTTTCGACTAACGTTATTGAGCAATAACCTTGGCTTGGGAGAATTTCCGGCCGACATAGGTAGATAAACCGGAAACAAAGTCACGTTTGTCGAAAATAGAAATAAAGAACAATCGCTAAAGCCGTGTCTTTTTTTAAAAAGCGCTGCTTAAACTACAAATTTGTGTCCTAAATGGGATACTTCTTACGGAAGCCATATCTCAATTTTTCCTTATCTAAGTCAGGGGCACCCAGTGACTGTTTTCTGTGAATTATCTGTTCGGAGAAGCAAATATTGCCTAGAATTTTCTTTTGCTTAAGGACGACTAGAAATTTCTAGATGACCGTCCCATTCAGGTACAATTTTCAAAGCTTATCTAATAACTTCCCTACGATTTTCTGAAGTTTAATTTCTCACATTTTACTCCCCAAATGTGGGCTTATTTTCGCAGAAAAAGGGAGCCAAACATTTTTAGATTGCATCTAAAATTTTCGGGAAAATAACACTGAAGTCCTTTTAATTTCGAAAAGACTCCAGTTCCTCCTGGATGACAGAACCGACAAAAATTTTATGGCGCCGTTTAGAATACATTTCTAAAGATCTAAAAGTACTCTGGATAGCCTGAAAAGAGTTTTCATTGTATTTAGGAGGAAACGGTCGTTGGGTGCCCCTTCTAAATTTCCCTACTGTTTCAGTATTCTAATTTATTAATCATATGCCAAACAAGTAGATTTTTTCCAGTTGACCACATATTGTAAGGCCAGTAGTTTATAAAAGTAAGTTTAATTCTTTACGCGGATTAAGACAATTAGAGGACCTTTAAGTTTGTTGGTAAATTGGTTCAATTCTAGGTAGCAATGTTTTCTAGCCCTCGCTGTATACACAAGTTCTTGACAATGTTCAAAGACACAATGTTTAGGATCAGATTGCGAGCGGTCTCTTATTTGTCTTTTGAGTTATAGCAGATCGAGAACACGGGTGTGTAGAGAACGACGAAGCCGCGAGCAACGAGGGTGGAAGCCCAAACGAAGTAGGGGTTGGTAGAACTCAGAATGGCTGACTATTATGCTATTCACGATCAGTTTAACACGCGCAAAACTCTGTTTTAATCATGAGCCGGTTCATACAGGTTTTGGTATTATGAGATAGTAATCACCAACCCTCTTTTGAACAAGACGAACTACTCAAAAATATTGTTGTGTAATGACTTAGTGTGGACAGGTATGGAAAACAATTGGTAAACTATCTTCATCTTCTTGACTTGATACCAGAAATTGCTTTATAATTACAATTACAGCCTACATCAGTAATTGTTTTCTTCGATTTTTTAGAGTGTCAGTCCACGGTATTTGGTTCTTCAATCTACCGTTTAAAACCTCTCTCCTCATCTTGGCCATTTCTTTTATTGAAAATAAGAGTAGTTACGACAGTTGACGCTCTTATTAGAGACAATACACAGCTTTCGCCGCTAGCAGAATGACGACTATGATATCGAAACTCGGGTATTAACTAATTCTTCTAAGTGGGTAACAAAAACTAATATCATATTCAAATGAAAACCAGCGATGAAGTGCTTTTATCCGCAATTCCGAGTCGCCGGTTTCCAGGTTATCTGTTAAGGATAAGATTATTGTGGTATTTCTAAAATTCAATTGAATAGCAAATTACTTTTACGGCTAATCTAAGAGAGTCAGGATTGCGAATTTCATTTTTTAGGGTATGGCTCATTTCAACTTTTCAATTGTTTTAGTTGCCTCAACGTTAGCCTCCACCAGTGTGAATTCGAGAAACGGACCTGACTTACCCGTATAATTTTTCAGCTAAACGCAAGAATTTCTGTATTTCACAGTTTAAAAATAGCCCGTTTTAAGGATTATTGAATCATTTACAGTTTGAAAGGATATTATTGTCGATTGTGTGCAAACCAATATAACCCGAACCAGGATGATATGTTAGTTTTCGTCTTGTGTCGATAAGGCTCTGGTGAGATGGATCACAAGCAAACTAAGTGTTTATGCCCCAAATATTGCCCACTCTTTAGGCCTCATATTTCCGCGAGGCCTATGCTTTTCGGGTCACGTGGTCCGAGCGAGCTGTTCGTCTCGGATACGTCACCGAAAATTCATTGACCGAGAAGGCCTGGGAAGACGCCGTACATGGACTTGGCAACCCTAAATACAGAGTTGATTAGTTTTGTTGTTGCTATCATTTATGTTGTCATAGTCAGGTTGAAGTCGCAGTTAGTACGTTAACACAAACGTGATGTAAGAAAGTTAAGCAGAGGTTATTAATTTTTTTTTGGTATTAGTTGTGCTCTCACGGCTAAAATGACTCGTTTTCATATCACATGCGTGAACCTCCGGGACAAAACAAACGCAAAAAGAAAAAATACAGGTGTGAAGAACTCAATGGAAATTTTAACGCATTTTTTTCCGAGTGAATCGGGATCATACAAACGCAAGAACAAGAAGACACATGTGTGCCATTTGTGTGAACGGCAAATGCAAGCACAAATGCAAGGTGGAGCATATTCGTCCGCCATTTAAAATTGCCTGATAGTGGAAATCCACCCTTAGGCTCACTTTTGCTCGATGCTCTGTTTATGAGGAGTCTGTGATGGGACTTTTCATGCTTAACAATATACCGTACTGACAGAAATTCCAAGAATGTCGTATAAGCCTACGAATTACACATGCTACATCCTTTTCACATCAATCCAAAATGAGTTAATCATTTTGACCAATTAAGAGCCTACTGATCCGACCGAGATCCTGCTTATCTTAAACTAGGAGTGCTAAACATTAAGAAATTCCATTAAAATTTGTGGGAGAAGGACAGCAAGATAGAGTAACCTCTTGTAACAGCTCATATTTCAAACGGAATGGCGCCAACCATTTTTCAGTTTTCTCGTTTTTAAATGTTGATTACTCTAGTATTATATTACTAGTATGGAGTATCAATCTTAAAACATGTCACTTTTTGTCAAAACATAGAAAAGGTCTCGCTAATTATCCCGGGTATTTGTCAACGTTTTTTTATGACATGGTCAATAGAAGAGATAATGGCCTTTCCCAAATTTCTATTCCATGCACCCCAACAGAATAGCTCAAACGACACGATGACAGGATCGTTTCAAATCTCGAATACCGTAAATCGTCTATTAACCCCTCCCCCCGGGGGACTATTTATTTCAATCACGTTTGAGGGAGGTGGGGGCTTATTTGGGGGCTTATTTAATTTATCGAACATGGTGGTATCAGGTCTCCATAAGAACTAGAATGCAAAGTGGAAAAGCTCAAGTACAAGACGTTAGAAGTCATGCAGCCGGGCATCAAAAACAAATCCGAACTTCCAACACGTGAATTAGTACAAATGAAGTTTTACGGTCGTGATTGATTAATACAGTCTATTATTTATTAGTGAAGAATAATGAGGAGGAGGGGAGGGGGGCCAAAAAGGGAGGGGGGATTATTAACTTTATTCCCCTGAAAAGGGGGGCTTATTTGAGAGAGGGGGCTTTATAGAGAATTTACGGAACAAATTTCAAATTCCAGTGATCTATTGTAATGAAGCCTTCTCCGTAATAAAAAAAACTGTTTTAGTCACCATGAGTATCTTTTAGATTTGGAACTCTTTAAACTAGTGCTGAGTCTAATTTAGTTCAAGACATAATTGTGCTTTCCGGACCGATTATTCAGCTATCTACGAAAACCTTATCAAGTAAATGTCACAACACCCAAACGATTAATCACATTGGTTTCTCTTTCCAGCGTTATTGGCTGGTCGATAAAATGTTTTACGTGATTGTAAAGTTTATTGACAGTTTTTAGCTTTTCACCAACACAAGCATTCCATAAATCCTCGATTTAGCACCCCTCTCAACTAAGACCCCTCTCTTCAATAAGCCCCCCCTTTTCAGGGAGAGAAAGTTAATTAGCCCCCCTCGCCTCCCCATTATTATTCTTCACTTATTAATCAATGACGACTGTAAAACTTTGCGAGGACTGATCCGGGATGGTTATTCACCAACTGGAAGTTCGGATTTGTTTTTGATCCTAGTCTGCATGACCTCCAACTTCATATTACTAAGGTTTTCCACTTTATATTCTAGTCCTTTGTGACGAACCGATACCATCGTGTTCGCTAAATTGAATAAGCGGTCCCCCTCTCAAATAGCCCCTCGTCTCTAGTCGAAATCCGAACAAAACAACACCTTTGCAAAGACGGTGTTTACTGGAAAGAGCACCCCGACGCTTATTTGTCTGTTAAGAGTTTTAATCGCAAATTGTTTTATCAACGCTTTTGACTGACTCGTCGCCAGTCGTCCCTTAAAACTTTTTCCCCGGCGCGGATCGGTCGCGAGAAACTGGCACGGCATCTCGACAACGGAAAGGAAAGGAAAAGATAGTCCGCTTTCCCTATTTCCTCCTTACCATTCCCCCGAGCCTGTCTACTCCGCGTTTCCCTTGACGACTGAGGACGAGTCATCCCTTGAACATATATACATGTATATTGGAGACAAATATTATTCTTTATCTGAACCACTAGTGGTAAGAGCGCTCTCAAATGAAACAATAACCTTTTGTTTTATTTTCATATTTAGTGTACTTTGACAAGGAAACAGACTTGATGATCAACACTACAAGCTGTCAAATGCGATGGTACGGTAAACATGAATGCAAAGGCCAAATCGAGGACAGATCCTTCACTATACCTGGGCAGTCCAAGGATGCAATCATTCCCTACAAAGTGTGTAAAATTGAATTTTCGTCAACAATATTTATCGGTAGTAAGGTGAGGGTGAATATCACTGGATCGCACGCGCTTTCTCTTGTCAGCTCCCATGGAAACATTGAGGTCCACTCGCCTATAGACATCAGCGGATCACCCTCTCGTTCTTTTGGAATGCATATTAATCAGAATACAAGTGTTGGTGGTTTCTTCAAGATAAAAGAAGATGGAATGGATGTAGGTAAGGCTAGTCTCAAGCTATTTATTCCTCTTATCAGCTGTGTTCGAGGTTCAGAGCCGCAAATAACAACTCGTTATCGGAATGAGTTAAGGTAAAAGGTAAAGAGTCCTTTTTTTTCGTCGGTAGCTCAAAATAGTTAAACCTGAGGCCGACGATGCGCTCATTCGTTCCTCCCCTCTCTCTCTCTCAACATTAATACTCAACATTATAATTTTGCAGATGAATAAAATCTACCTCCAGAACATGTCCAACAAACGCAATACTCAGTGTACTTGCGATTTGCACAATTTTCTTTAAATACACGTAATGCGTGCGCTCTTGATCGGAGGCCGACCACATTTTTTTTTTACCAGAATATTGGCTTAGCTGGAAATATTCGTAGCTCGGTGGATCCGTAATGTGAATTACAGAATAAAGATCCGTAATTTACAGTACGGACCGAGGTCCGAAAAAAGTTCACTGCAAGTTGTTTATATTATATGGGTTTTACTCGCTAGTTTCTATTGTTCTGGCACAAGGAAGAGGTGACAAAGTCTTTGAGTGATAAAACGTATCTTAGTCGCCCGCCATCCTCTGCTCTTGATTTACCCTTAGATTGGTCAACTCTGCATTCCACAGTCAATCAGAACAATCTCCCCACGTAAGGGAATCCAAGACAATCTTGGGTTCTGGATTCCACGCCGTGGATTCCGGATTCTAGGTACTGGATTCCAGTATTTGAACTGTGATTCTGGATTCAAATCGTTAGTAAGATTCCGGATTTCTTGAGATGTAAATACGTATTCCAAAGGCCAGGATTCTGGATTTCACCAGCAAAATTTTTCCGTTTTCCAGATTCCACCACCATGATTTACCCTTAGACTGTTCAACTCTGCATTCCACAGTCAGCCAGGACAAAATGGTCTGTTGGCTATTCCCAAAGGGTTACCACCTATTACACAGGTCTCACTCCATTGTTCTAGCTCTCCATTCTGATCAAATATCGCTGGTTACTGACAATTTCCGTGTCGTCGTAGTCTCATGCCGAGTAGTTAAATAATTGGGCCTTTTAATTTATCTCCTATCAGGCCCTGCGAGCATCACGAATTGCAGCTCCGCTGGTCTATACGGAGAGGATTTCAAAGCGCTGTTTGGCGGAAGTGTTTGTATTTCTGGTAAATAAAATTGTTCTGTATTAAGAAAATAATCCGTTATGTCTTTCAACCCATTTTAAAAAATGACCATAGCCTGCTGGTTAATATTGAGTTAATATTGCGGTCAATTATTATTCAGCATGATGCTTTTTCTCATGTTAAAATCGTTGCTCTCATTCGCCACTTGCACATCTCCCATAATGCACCTTATTTGCCCCCCAAATTTTGCAAGACCTTTGTTTTTCACTTCCCCTGGGTATTACAGCCGTCCCAAGAGAAATTGAAAACAATGCTTATGCGAAAGTTTGGGGGGCTAATAAGGTGCATTATGGGAGATGTGCAAGTGGCGAATGAAGAAGATGAAAACAATGACGTCAGCAAAGATTCTCTTACCGACTAATAGGGAGCTTAAGCAATCACGACGGCAACGGCAATGAAAACGTGACTTGAAAAGCGAGTTGGCACTTTTTAAACTTTATTACTCTTGTTCCATTTCATAAAATTTGTTTAATGTTGGAAAATTCTTCTGGATTTGATTCTAAAGGACTGTATCTAAGTTCAGGAAGATAAAAATGAAATAAATGTCTTGTGTTCCCGTCCTCCATAAAACGTGAAACTAGGACGTTTCACCTCTTAGTCTTGCAACGACGGCAAAGAAATGTACAAAAAAGCGTGATGCACGTGCAAAAAATGTTGTTTTGCTAATCTTCACCAATAGAACGTTTTCATTTACGTGGCCAGCATCCATGCAAATTTTTTGGAACTAAAGAAAGCGTTAACATAAGAAAAGATTTCAACTTCCACAGGATTGGTATGTAGCACCAACATGGCCGCCGTGACGTCATGTCAACACTCTCTATTTCTTTTTTGCCGTCCTTCGTCGTTACTTAAGCTCGCTAATAGCTGCTAGTTGCTTTATAACGTATAAAGTGCATGCATGGTGAAGAGAATTTTGCCGTTTGTTTTCAAAACTGCACTTAACAAAAAGCCCTTGTTTTTCATAAACAGTCGGTATAAATGTGACGGCCGTTGGAGGAGGAGCACTTGAGCTGAAAGCGAACCAAGGGACAATTGTCATAGGTACATTTGATATATTGATCAACTTTACCCCGGATGCCAGAGGGGTTTTTTTTGTCTTATCTTGAGGAGCGATAAAACGGGCAACAAAAAACGTGCAACTTGTTTTGTGACTTTTCTGCAAAACGAATTGACTAGCGAGGTTGCGCGTTTTACGAACCACGGAAAAAAAACCTCGCAACCGTATTTGTATTTTTCTGAACGTGTGTGGTAAAACGCGCAACATTGCTATTTAACTCGTTTTGCTGCAATGTTGCAAAAAAACGAGCTTTGTTTGTTGCCCGTTCAGGGTAAAAGATTTTTAAAGAGGGCTTTTTAAGGTAACAACGAAAAAAAAAGGAATAACAAGAAAATCTTATTCTTTCACATTGCAGTTGAATTTAAATTTCTCTTCCACCCAAGAAGAGGACAAATTACAAATTTCAAAGAAAACTACAATCTAAAACAAAATAATTGCCTGTGGTGTCTCCTTTTCTTTAGGAATTCAGATAAACGTAAATTGCACCGTCGGACATTTGACCCGAGCATTAAACGACAAATCTATTCCATGTGCCCTGAAAACGTATTTGGATATCAACGCTCGTGCTATAAGTTGATTAATAAATGGAAGCGGGACCACCTTAAAAACTTTCAATCCGTTGATTTTTGCTACAAGCGCTGTCCATAGCCCATTAAAGGGTTAGATCTTGGAGTTGTCAAATGCAAAAACAGTACTTAGGGACGTCTTGGGGTACAACATACAAAGGCCACTCAAGCACCCTTGTAAAGATTAACATTGATGACATTTTTATGCCGTAGATGCCGCCATTAAAGCAGACGGGTTTTCAAATAGTGAAAATACCGGTTCGATGGGCGGTACTATCCGATTGCATGCCCGCCAGGTAAGTTGACAACCAGTGGACAATCTTTTGACCGCAGTCAAACAAGAAAAATTAACAAAAATGGAGAAAAATGTACTTAAAAACCTGCAAACCAAAAGAAGCCAATTTTTAAGAACCTGATAGTCTGAGATATTCAGTTTAAGCCGACTTAGCATTAAAAGCTGTCCAGCCGTAAGTTAAAACAATAGGCCACTTTCGAGTTCCAAAAACCCTCACTTTCAAAATGAGGCCAAGTGCACAACCTTCCTTGTGAAAATGAGTGTTATTTACATGAGAATGAAAAATCATTTCCACATGAAAGGTCGAGCATTTAACCTCGTTTTGATACAGAGGCCCGAGGGAACTCGGAAGCGGAAATGGCCTATTCATCAAAGACATAAAACTCATAAATAAAAATGCAAATAGAGAAAGCTCTAATGGGTATTGAAATTGAGCCAAATTGCCCGGGGGGTACTCCCTTTCAAGAGGCAAATAGAGATGTGCCACTGGATGGGATCGCATTTTCACGATTGGATTGACTATAATGGGGTCGCATTTTCATTTTGGGGGTAGGTAGGGATTCAAAATGGGAACATTCTCTGGTAAAAAATCAGAAAGTTGTTGTTTATTAAATTTAACAATAAGCTAGCATTGACCGCATTACATTCCGCCGCTTGAAACCACATTGATAAGGTAGATGCATAAATAGAAAGTGACTAAGTTGGGTTCACGAAAATTACATTTTCCAAAAAGTGACTAAGATGGGGTCTCTAAATGCCCAAAAAATAGACTATAATGGGGTAGGGGCTCTGAAAGGCCAGCGGCACATTCCCAGCAAAAATTAACCCAAGTACCCTCCCCCCGGGCCAAATTGCTTGCAATTCAATCCAGTACATTTCATATATACACACAAATTATACTGACATCTAAGTCTAGCGGATTTTTTGAAAACCAGCTTTACGAAATTTTGCAGTCGGCACTTTGAGTAAACAGGCATCAAAAGGCAGGCTTTTTGGGCCCGATAAGCTCCAAAATCAGAGTAATGAAGGAAATGGAAAGGAGAAAAAGAAAGAGCGCGGAGGGGGAAAGGAGGAGAAGCGAAAAAAAAAAGGTTGCACTCTTAGTTTTTATAGTAGCTTCTTTGGAGAAAAAAAAACTGTTGGCTGCAAAAGGTCCGTAAAGTTTTCAAAAATCCGTCTAGAAGTATAGATCACTATGTATACACAACTGTAATAGCCCAAACACAATATGCCTGTTTTCAGTAAGACAGCGTTAAAAGTACTACTGTGTAATAATATCAACTATTAAAGGCGTATTTTACCAGCACTAAGAAAAAGAACGTGATATGTTTCCTTCACACTGTAGCCTTAAAACGCGTTTTGAGAACCTCTTACAAGTTCTCATTTTTGGTTGCTTCCTGTATTTCAAAGTAGGACTGAGAAATGTCCTAATATTTACAGCACCCAACACAAGTGAGTATCAAAACGTAACGAATTGTCAGTTTAACCTGACCTCTCAAACTGCTAGGGTGCACCATACAGTCAATAATTTGACACTATTCTTAGTTAAGGACAAAAATTAGAAATTATTTTATTCCTCTTCATTGTATTTTATTCTTCTCGCTTGTCAGGTGTTTCTGCGAAGAAACGCTGTTTTTACTGCTCGTGCCTCGTCCAAGGGGCGTCACTTGGCCGGCGGTGGTATTGTCCAGATTGTGAGTGACAATGATGTGCAAGGAATCTGCGAGTCGATTTTCAACGTAACTGGCAGCTCATTGGGTCTTGTAAATATTCTTGGTGAGTGGAGTCGAAGTGATTAGAATTAATCACATTGATTAGAGTTAAGTATAGCAGGCCCAGCTTTAAACGACTTTCTGCTTCCTTCCAGTACGAGATAACAACTTAATGTAAAGTTTTCTGTAAAATACAAAAACAAAAGCAGGGGTGTTTTTTCATCACTAGACAAAGACGAGGTTTTCATGCACCAGACTTTGTACACAGGAACTTCGAGTTTTACCGAAGGGCTAAAAAATCTCTCATCCAGATCTGTTGATTCATCCTATAATTTTCGGCGTTTTTGGTTTTTGTTTTTAATTTTCCCAAGAATTGGAGGTAAAATAACTCAGTCTTGTCTCCCCATGAAAGGGTATCCAGAATTAGGGAAAGTTTTGCTTGTGGAATCGGAAATTCGGGAATTTTTTGCTTGTGGAATCCGGAATTCTGGGCTCTCGGATTCGGAATACAGCACAAAGAATCCGGAATCCCACGATCAATTGGAATCCAGAATCCAAGTTCCACTGACAAAGAATTCAGCTTTACTTACCTGGTATCTGGAATCAGCAATCCATGGCGTGGAATGTAGAATCCAAGACCGTCTTCGTTTTCATAGCAGGAGGCGAGTCGTGTTTTATCTGATTTGAAACACTCATTAAATTTTATGGACTTTTGCTTTTTCTTTGACCCGTGTAAAAAAGCACTCTGGTAATTCGCCAATTTGTTTTGTTTGTTGAAAAGTATTCGTAAGTACTAGAACTGAGTACTTGTGACCACTCTCGCAAGCGACCGGCTCTTTCTGAAACCGTGTTTGAACTGTGACTTCAACTTTGTAATCAAGAGCTCTCGTAAGCGACCGCCCCCGTAAGCGACGGGGACCACTTTTGGGATTATCACACTGGACTTCTCCTTTGTTTTTAAGCTCTCCTAAGCGATCTCTCAACTCATTCTTGCACTGATATTTAGATTTGAGGTTGTTTTGGTCTAAAACGTTGCACGTGAAGTTTAGGCGTTAAAGGTTGGACGTGAAGGTTAGCCGTGTCTATATCAGATACAAAGATAGTCATTAAACATTTCTTTCTTTTTGTTTTCTTTATGAATTATTAATGATCTTCTGAAGCTCTCGTAAGCGACCACCCTCTATATTGTTTTACAATGCGGTCGCTTACGAGAGCTCATTCTCGTAAGCGACCAGCTCTAGTAACGACCAATTTTTAAAATTTCCTTGGTGGTCGCTTACAAGAGTTTCGACTGTAGTATCTTTCTGTTCCTTCTTTTTTCAGTCTCAACGGCCGACACGATTCAAGTACAGTACATACAACAGGGAACTCTAAAAATCGACACTAACAATGCAAGATGGACGCACAGAACATCATCAAATGGTTTTATGGCTTTTTCTTACTACGGTGAAGTAGTGCCGCATTCTTTACACGCTGAAGCTCATTACAACGTTTCAGAATTTAAGTTTAAGACTCCTATTCTGATAAACGGCTCTGCTGTCGTTGAAGTTTTAGGAGAAAACTCGCTACTTATTTTCAGCTCGGAAGGAATATTTATCGGCGTGGATATCCAAGTAGGAAAAGCTAAATCAGGACTTAAGAAATCTGTGGGAGGATATTGTGTCAGTGATCAGAGAGCTTACGGTAAGGAGCTGAACGTAACAGCATCGTAGTCGGTATTCAGATGCAAAGCTGCAATAATAATTTGTCTCTGTTGAATGGAAATAGAGACGTTTAGATTTGGGGACTAGGACGACTACCAAGACGAGATTTAACTTACAATTTTTTCGCGTATTCTCCAAAAATAGAAACCCCAAAAAGCTCCCGTGTACTTTTTTTTCTCTATAACGGCTAACACGGTTATTATTATTATTGAAGGAGATTAAACCTTCTCTAACAAGCATAATTTTAAAACTTCTAACATTTGATAACATTTTTTTCGCCACCATCGCATTCTCACTAGAACTCGTAGTAGCATCGGACGACGGCTATCGCGTTTTCCGGCCAAAATAGGGACTTAAAGATCCAACGACGTCGACGCGGACGACAACGAGAACGTCAAAAAAACAATAGGTTTAATTAGCAAAAAACAACTTTGCACGTGCATCACACTTTTTTGTACATTTCTTTCACGTTTTTGCACGGCTACGACGTGAAAATACCTAATTTCGCGTTTTATGGAGGACGTAAACTAGCAACGACGAAATTTTATTTCTCTTTCTGAGCTTGAATATGGTTCCTTGAAATTCAGCTTCAGAAGGGTTCGCCTACAATTGACAAAGTACGTGGGTAGGAATAATCACTATAAAGACTGAAAGAACGCAAATTCACTTTTTAAGCGACGTTCTTGTCGCCGTCGCGTCGTTGGATCTTAAAGTCTCTAATGACGCTGGTTAACGCGCGCGCACTACTTAGTATTTAGAAAATCTCATACTTGTCCTCGTCTCGCTAAGTCAACACTTTGGTTGGATAAAAAAGTAAAACTGTGGTCGAACTCAATCAAGGATGCTTAGGCGTGTTTTACAGAAATTGTGCCTACCGTTAATGATCTAATAGTAACATGAGGAAATATGCAGCCAAAACGCTTTTAAAGAAGAAATCATCTATGTTGCATTAGCAACGATCGAAATCTTACGCTTAACCTTATGGAAGCAATGTCTTATAAGTATATTTTTCTGTGCCAAATTTGAGCTTTGAACCTGCAACGATTCTTAGATGACACCGCAGAGAATGATAACGACTCATAATCTTTCAAATTGTGTTCAGCCACCTTAACAAAATGAATTGAGGAAGTCATTCTAACCTCCTGTTTTTCTAATTATTTGTTTCAGTTGGTGAAGGCCCAGGCCGAGGAAGGCCAAATGCTAATGGGGGCGCGGGGCATGCTGGACAGGGTGGTCTATTGTTCGAGGACGACGACGACGTCATTTTCGGGGATACCTACGGAGTTGAGCCCGAGATACATCTTATTGGTGGGAGCACTGGTAAATAAAAAAAAACTTTCAAAGCGCGCATAAGTTAGTTCATTTATGTTCAGTTATCGAATGCAGAAGCCAATGTCGACTGTCAACCATGTCGCTTCAAAAACTAGCCAGAGTCAAAATAAGACAAAAATTCCAAATTCCATTTCGAAGAATGCAGATAAACAAAAAGAACCATGTAACAGTACTTCTAAAGAGGTTTCATTTGGATGGTCACTTCACAGGATTTCGACCACAGACTCAAAAGTTAGATCCGCCGTACAAAACTCCACGATTCACCTGAGTGAATAGTTTTCTTGAAACAATGACACTGTTAAGTCAACCCATCCAGGATTAAAAGTGTATCGTCAAAACAGGCACATGACAGGGTCGAGAAAAATCGGTCTACTCTTTTTGAGTCAAGTGACAGGAATAGGCCCTTTGTAGCTAGTCATTCACGTGGTACAAAACCGCCATACTGGAGAGCAAAGAACGCAGCGGGACAAGATAAACAAAAGAAATTACCATTTTAAATAATGTGTCCCAGTGCTTTCTTTCTCTTCAGAATGGATAATGACTAACTGTAAAGGGCCTCTTCACTTTTCTTCACAAAACAACATTTGGCGTCGTAAAATTGCTGAATCCCGGATCTCAATCAAATGGCGAATCGCGAAAAAACAATCTTCGAAGGGGTTTCCTTGGCTATAATTTTTGAGCAGTCAAAAGTCATTCTCAGTTTCATGCCAGTTTTGTTTTTGCATGCCAAGCTGGGCGAGTGCGTTTAATTCTTTTCGATTTTCATTACCCCCCCCCCCCCCCCCTTCCTTCAAATGATTGACGGAACTGAAAAACCCAAAATCCCTTCGAAGTTTGCAAAACGCGCAGCGCGATACAACGAATTTGGCAGTAATTGCTTATAGGGGTACTCCAACTCTGTTTTTGAAAGTGGAAATTATGTAATGACGCTAAATAACTGTTTCTTATGTTAATTTTGTTGATCACAGGAACATCAAACTGTACCGCAAACAATTGTAAGTGGCAGTGACAGACAGACGGCAATAAATCAAAGCAACACACAGACACTATTTCGTCTTATTTTTTTGGCCAGTTCATGCTTTAATACCCGAAAACAAACATTTGCTTTCATTGATTTGACAAGTCCATATGAAAGGCTTATAACAACACTCGGACTTGATTTTAAATTTTTGATTTTTTGACCTATCAGTTTCAATCAGAAGGCGTATGACGTGATGTGACTTCAAAATACTTTTTGACGTGACGTCTTTCGTTTACGTGACCTCAGTTTGTGTGCGTGACGCATTTTCCAGTTTACTACAAGTTTCGTCTTGCAGGTACAACAAACGCGACTAAAAATGACCTGGTTGTAGCATGTGGTGGAGGAGCCGTTAAAATTAAGACCGATAAAAACTTAACAATCAGTAAGTAACGGTTTTCACATGTAGCCAAAAGTTCTATAATGTTATATTTAACTCTTTAATGTCACGCAATTTGTGCGTCGAGATAGCATTGCATAATAGCGAAAGTTGATTTGTATCGGGGGCGATTTGAGGGCAAAGTTAGAAACGTGATTCATTGTTTTTTTTTTTTTCAATAACGATTGCTTACCATATAACTCCTTCCTTACCAAATACAATATATCTCAGACTCTATCTCTACGGTCGTGGGAACTGAAACCCCAAGCTCGCAACAAAACAAGTCTTCTTTGAATTCCTTTTATGCTGATAGATATGGAAAGTTTATCAGCACACTGAGTGAAAAAGGGAAGAAATGACTCCAAACCAGTACAAGACCAACAATTACAGACAAAGGACTCAAACCCGAAATATACAGCCGCGCGCGAGAAAAAAAAAAACCTTGTGTACGGCCAGGGTGGCAAAAAAGTAACTCCCGTTTCAACAATCCTGTTGCTTTTCTGCTGTAGATGCTGCCATAAATGCAAATGGAAGTACATATTCGGTTTTGGGTATACCTACAAGCGGAGGAAGTAGCGGTGGAACGATTATTCTGGAGTCTAAGAAGGTAATAATCATCACGTAAGAATAAAAAATCTGAACAAATAAGCTACGGATGAAAAGATTAACAAACAAACTGCGTTGCATACAAACAAAGCGATACACAGATGCCAGAAATAAACATGTACGTTATCACTCGTGTGGCAAACAGCTATGCAAATTTATTGGAACCTAAGGCCCAGTTCAGACGTCGTGCTTCTGCCGTGCCGAACTTATTTGTAATTTGGTTCGACTGTAGCACGGCAGGAAAACAACTTTGATTCAGACGTCGTGCCAGAGTCGAACCAAATTCAGGATTTACTGATGCCTCGTAACAATTCTCCTCCTAACTCCCCCTGGGAACGCAATCTCGCCAAAATACATTAATATAATTTATGAATTTTGTTTAGCGCGACAGAAGCACGACGTTTGAATTGCTGCCGTGCCAGAGCCGTGTAGCACGGCAGCGCTTGCCGAACTTAATTCAAAAGTTTGATTCAGACGCCGTGCTTTTGTCGAACTTAATCCTGAATTTAGTTCGGCACGGCAGAAGCACGACGTCTGAACTGGGCCTAAGAAAGAGTGCACAAAAGAAAGGAGTTTAAAAATCCCACAGGACTCAGTGTTTTGGGACACCAACATGGCCCCCGTTTTATTGTTTTGGGACACCAATATGGCTGACGTGACGTCATGTATGAGCTCTTCATAACGTATTTCATCGGTTGTCCCGTCTATATCCCCATTTCCTCGTGTCCCAAGAAATGTCTGCTCTTTTCCACCGACTTACAGTCAAACCGACAAACCCGTGAAGACTTGAAATATTTAAGGAATGTTTATTGAGTTACGACCAATCACAGCAAAGATCAGGCCACGCGAGCTAGGCACAAAACTAATCTCGTACCCAGATTTCACTCTGTGTTACGCTTTTTGGCCGTGGGGAATCTGGGTACTAGATTGGGCACAAAACCACAAGCTAATTAACGTTCTTGCTTGCGGTTTAGTTTTCTCGCTCTTTTGTAACACATTATTACGTATTTTTTCAACATCAATCTCATTCACAAATTTTGCTTTAAAATAAAGAAGGGTCAATTGAAACATACCGCACGCCTCATCCAATTTTTTCGGGATTAATCACCCGACAAAACGTTTTTTCATCCTTCTTTGTTTTATTTAAGTTCGTGATCCTCGGCGACAAGGCCACATTGGAAGCCAAAGGAGCTGACGCCGCGAAAGAAGGAGGCGGTGGAGGGGGTGGTCTGATTAGTATCTCTTATGGTGAAGGATTTGTGGGGAAGGAGCCTGTTGCGAATGAAAACACCAAAGGAGGGGAGGGTAATGTGACAGGAGACAACGGCATTGTGGTTATCAACGGTATGCTATTTTCGGATCAATTGAGGTTTCTGGATAACTGAGCACCTACCCCTCCCCTAAGTCACAATTTTGCTCTATGTGAGAAGTAAGCGTTAATGTTGACTTGGGGAAGGGGTAGGTGGTCTCAGTTACCCAGAAACCTCCCTATTTTCTAGGAAGACAATCATTCACTTCTCAAAATAATATACACTTAATGTCAGATCCTGAGGGAAACAGTTAGTTTTGTTTTCCCAAGAGTCCTGATGTTTCCCAAGACGAAGTCGAGGGAAACATCAGGACTCGAGGGAAAACAAAACTAACTGGTTTCCCGAGGGACCTGACACTAAGTGTTTTGTTATATTTCTAGACTTTCACTTCAACGTACTTTAACAGAAACAAAGGAATACGCTTAAGAGGAGCGAATCAAAACAGTACGACTCGGTACTTATAAGAACACAAATTTAATTCTCAAACCACTGAATGAATGATTTAAAAAGCACTTTCCTTATATTATCTGCATCTTCCTCCACTAGCTGCTGTTTCTCTTCTGGGATAACTTTGAAAATCGTTGCTTTTTAGCTTGAGGCTTCATGTTTGTGTTGTTGTAAATGTTGTTGTGTTCATTCACGAAAAAGAAAACTGGCAGTGTTTTTCCCGCCTTCTGTCACGCCACTTTCCACCATGCTCTGATCACATGCTGTAATGTATCCCGAGCGGGGTACATTGCTTGATGTATGACGATCGGGATACATTTGATTCTAGTCAAGGCGACGTGACCAAGAATCAGCCAATGGTTGTCCCTGTTTAGTTGAGAGAAAGTCTAGGAATATAACAATTAACGATGTCTTGCGATATTACATAAAGGCCCATTTCGAGTATTCAGGCAGTTCTAGAATTTTTCTCTTGACTTGCCAATAAGCTATGGTATTTTTTATTTCAAACTTTTTGTATGTTTACAGCAGGGTTTTCAATAAAAATTGAAGTAGCCGCCAGTGTGTTTGAATAGAGTAACCGATTGTATCAACAATGGGCCAGTAGTCCACGTTTTGGGGTGTCTGGGGGTATGTTCCCTCAGAAATGTTAAAAATTACAAAGCCCTAATAAGCGATTTTCAGCGTTCAGAGGACTAAACTGAGTATAAAAGAGCGCGTTTTCCATCCAAGAGGATTTGGGTTTAAGTCAAATTTTGATTTATTAGCCACACAATTAACTCCTACAAGCAAGGAACAAATGATAGTTAATTTGTTACGTACATTTTTGCGTGAACAAATTCTATTTTTGTTCATGACATTATTCCAACTAGTTGCTTCTTCCTTGGGGGAAAAAGTAGCCGACTTCTCGGAGCAATAAATCCGACGCGATTCGTCAGTCGTCGGTGCTTTTTGAATCCCCTGTTACAGTGTTCATTGTAGGGGGCGTTATTCCGTAAATCGTGCACGTTTTTTGCCTTCTGACATAAAAATGTTATTCCTGAAAATTACATCAGCCCAGTTACTCGCTTACTTCGTTCTTTCGCTTAAAAAGGTTCTTGATTTATTGTTAAAAACCGGCAATAAATTTGTTTACAGCCGTGTAGAGTTTATAGATCTGAATCTAAAGCTTATGCGCGTTTCAAACGTTGAACTTCACCTGTGCCTAATGTAATGCAAATGAGCGAGAATTAACAATTGGTTTATGAGTCAGCGTGCGTATGTCGAGATATAAAGCACGCGGGAAGTCTTGAGAGCACAAAAGAGGTGTACAGAAGGGTTGTTCGAGGCGCAGCCGAGACTTTTGAGTGCTCTCCAAACTTCCCAAGTACTTCGCATCCCGACAAACTCACAGCTGAAGCATGAACCAATTGTTTTGTAACATTTTCAGTGCGATCAATGCCGCAGTTGACTTAAAATTCCATTGCAGTCAAAGCAGTTCACGTCATTGTCTACGTGACTATTTGTTCTTTTTAACTCATATGCCAGTTTGCAATTGTTCATATCTTCAAGCTGAGAGAGAAAGATTGATAACAGAAGTCGTTTAAGATAACATTCAAAAGGGTTTTAGAATCCGTATTGAGATGGAAAACGTTTAATTCGCCGAAAAAATTCTTTTAAACGAAAAATTTTTGCCAGGAATGATTTACACACGCCATAGCGGGCGCAGATGACAGCCATAACCGACAGCACTCACCTCTTTTCTCTGCTATCTGTGGACAAATTCAAAAATGTTTCTCTTTAGATTACATTGTAAAACACATGACAAACGCTTCATCGTGTACTAGTTAGTCATGGATGCACTTGGGAGGATTGCTAAGCTCACAAGAAATCGAGGTTTTTAAAAGTTTGTTGACGTCATCAGCGTGCTCAATGGGACTATGAAGCACCCTCGCGCTATTGAATTTGATTAAGCGAATATTCTAGCTATATCATAATAGTAGATTTTCAAATTAGTATACTGCACATTTAAAGTTCGACGTTTGGAATGGCTCAAGAAGTAAAGGCTTGTCTTTGTTTACACCTCGTTCCCAGTTTCCTCTTCTCCTCGTCCCTACGAAGCAAGAGACAGAGAACCCTGGGAACGAGGTTGTAATACATCTGATATTTTTTTTGAGTTTTGCAATAACGACACCTTTAATTCAGCAAATGTCCGAATTGTTTTTATCAGCACTGAGACATGTCCCACTTTGAATAATTACCCATAGAATAAACATTGCTTTTATAAACATCTTAAGCAATGTATTTATAAATAAATAACTTCTTTTTTAAAAGTCGCAAAATTTGGACCTCCATGTCTATTTTATAATTAACTCTACATCCTTTTCACTCAACAGGAAGTAAACATTACGGACTTCCAACACCAGGTAAAATTGAAACCTACTTTGTCTCGCATGCCTTCCATATTTTATACCAAAAGACCCTTGGCCAGTGTGAAGTGACACCGGTGCCCCAAAATGAGATGGAATTCTAGCGTAGATCTAACATAAAATTCACCAAAATTTGAATCTTCAAGTGTGTCCACCTCTCGAAAGTGATCGCCTACTCAAAACGTCAATTTGAACCTCTTTCAAAGCATTTCAGTTGGATCCTTTCGTAAACGATCGCCTTCCGTAAGCGATCAGTGTGCGGGTCCCTTACGAGAGGTTTGATGGTGGACTGTATAAAGCAATTTTGCCTTCACTATCGAGAAAGACACCCACACAAGCGTAGATACAGGGGCCTGTAGGTCAGCGAGGACGTCGAACCCAAGTGTATTGTAAAATTACCGGCAAGATTACAAAACCGCATTTAAACCTCTAAGTGTGAGATGTACACCGCCGGATACGAAAACCCCAAACCACTTTGTGGAACAAAGAGAACGTATATCCCCGCCTACTGAAATCAGCTGCGGTGCCGGCAACTCTGGGGCAGAGGTATGCAAGAACTAACGACTGTCAAATGCCTACAGGCAAAAATAACAAAATTGGCAAATAAAATAAAAGTTAGGAGCTCTAATGAATGCTGACCTACACTGATTCAAATTTGTACCGTACAACTAAACATATCTCAAAACTATCCACAATTCCTCTTAGTCGACTTAGTCGTCTGGTCCGTGGCGGCAAAATAGCTATTTCTGTCTTATGTCCCGTTATACTACACTGTCAGAAATCCCATTATTCGTTGGTTGCTTCGATATCACATGACCAGCCTCGTTAACAGTGAAGCCCTAGGCTTGTTTCACATGACATCTAACAACAAAACTGTTATGCAAAATTTTGGGGGTAAACATGCAGGGTGCATTATGGTTCATGGGACTGGAAAACTAGGGCTGCGGTCAGATCTGGGCTACTAACTATAGTTAAGACAGGGTTAACTATAGTTAGCTATTTCGGTAATGTGACCGCTTCTCTGTTCGCTCTAACTATATAGTTAGAAAATTTACGCCCCCGTGATCCAAAACAATACAGACGAACTATAGTTATACCCAAGCAGGGTTTGTGGGTTAGTCTTAAGTTTACAAACAAATAACCAATCAGAATGTCACACTTCTTTTCTCACGTGCGAGATGACAATATATATAAATATGCAAAAAAAAACCAAGCGTGAAGCGAGAGGGAAACCAAAAACAACAAACAAAATAGGACTCCACATTTCACTCTGAGAATGAAGGCTAAAAAGGAATGGTTCATCTTTAGAAGCAGAGCACGTGATTATCGATTCTTTGCAGCTGATCAGTCACGTGGTACAAAAAAGTCATGCTTGAGAGCAAGGGACGCAGCGGGAGAAGACAAACAAAGGAAATTACCATTTTAAATGATGTAACCTTTCTTTTTACTATGTCTCAGTGCGTTTCTTGCTTTCCAGCATTGCCTTATTTCGAGCCTGCATCGCAGACGTAATCAAACCCTGTCTGCGTAGCAGGGCCGACATTCTTGTTCTGGAACCCTACGAACGCAACGAATTACTGGAAGTGGGTTTCGAATTTCCTTTCGATAATGGCTTCTTTAACAGGCCAATCATGACACGTACTCCAATAGGTCTTATCACGGTTTTCGACGCCATCTTGACCAGTAGGCAACCGCGTGAGAAATTACAGTGTTTGTATGAGAATCCAATGTCGAATAGTTTCCGTAAAACGGCTGTCCTGAAAAAAATATGAACTGTAAACTAAAGCTACACAGCAAAGAATTTTACTATCAAATTTTGGGGGCCGTTACTGTGCTTAAATTTCTCCAGACGCTTGCTTCAGATTTTCCACATATTTGTCTGCAATTTTCTCCCGGGAAACGTTTACAGGCAAATGTATAGAAAATTTTAAAAAGTGGTTCTAACGCACATAGCTACATTTAACGACCTCAGTTTTTTTCAGAAGAATCGTTAGGAGTGAAAATTTAGTTTACAATTCATTTTTTTTTTTCAGAACAGCCGTTTTACCGAAATTTTTGGACATTGTAATTTCTCACGCGGTTGCTTACTCGTCAAAACCGTGATGTAAGGCCTATCCTGGTACACAGTTGGGGGTCACAAACAAGGATTTCACCACTGTTTCACAGACAGACTTAACCGGAGTTAAGTTTTTATATTACATCACGTGACTGGTCAGCTGTTCATATATGATTTGGTTTAGTCGATGATAGTTAAATGTTCTTTTTCTAGTTACACCAGATCAAGGGAACTATATACCTTGTGTGAATATGACCGAAGTGTACTTTAGTGACCCCCATAACACACTGAGAGCCCATGAAGCCGACCTTGCACACTGTAATGAATATTGTGAAGGGGAACACCACCTTTGGGCATTTATATCCCTGAAGGAGTGTTACTGCTCGAATGATAATTACACCGCGTACAAAGTGGATGACAATCTATGTACAGCCAGGTGCAGGTCAAATACGTCTTTTATCTGTGGTGGTAGCGGTGGTTTAGCAAGCGGACAAAGGACAGGTGAGGTTTTAGCCGTCTTTCCTCTCTCCTCGCTGCTAGGGACGTTTCGCATTAGATACGTCTGCGCTTCAACGACAGAAGGCACTTTACGATCCGACGATTTGATGGCAACGAGAACGTTTAAAAGGCAAAACGACAACTTTGCACGTGTTTCACACTTTTTTTGTACATTTCCTTGCCTTTTTTGCACGACCACGACGTGAAATAGCCTAATTTTCCATTTTATGGAGGAAGTCAAGCGACGACGAAATTTTCTTTTTCTTTTTGAAGTTGCATAGAGATCCTAGGAATTCAACTCTTAGGGGATTCGCCTACCTTTGATGAAGTAAATGGGTAGGAATAGTCGCGATGAGGACTGGAAGAACGTAATTTCACTTTTTAAGCGACGTTTCCGCTGCCATCGCGTCGTCGAATCATAAAGGCCATAGAAATTCCATTCTGACGACGTAAATCAGTGCTAACATAATTTATTTGGTAGTCATGGAATTCTAAAGGTAAATTTGTTCGAAAATTAAATTAAATTTGTTTTTATTTCTCCTCGTCTATTGATTTCGTCAGCCAAAGAGATGCAGCAATCTCATGAAATAATAGTAATCTCATGAATGATGACCGTTTTGTAGTAGATTCAGTTGAGTTTACATTTGACCGTTGTGAACTTTTGCCTTATGTCTGTCATTCGTAAAGAAAAGCTAAACAATATAATTACTGCGTCGACCAATCAGAGCTCCAGACTACGCTCCGGACAGACTTTTCGTCATCAGTATGGAATTTCTTTCGTTGAGGCGCAGACAATTCCGGTTTTCGCCTTGCCAAAATACAACTTTTTTACCCAATATTTGCGTAAGCACGACCATGATACCACTATGGTATCCAGGTGAAATTGTACAGAATGGCTCTGCAAAATTTTGGTGGCAAACAATATGGGTTGAGGGAAATACCCAAGTGGTGAATAGGCCAATTTAGGGTTTTAAAAACCCTTATTCATGTGAAAATGAGTTTAATTAGCATTAAAATAAAAAATATATATATACATGTTAGATTTTGGTTTCAGGCGTTTTTCCCGACGCTTGTTGCAGTATTTTGTTTGGGAGTATTGTGATTAAAATTCCGAGTTGCTCCAAGCCTAGCCTCTGTCTTAAAACGAGGGGAAAGGCGGAGCCTTTGATATGCTATTGTCAAACAAATGAAGCTCATGTTCACTAGAAAGGCTTGCCAATAATCTCATTTTTAAGAGAGGTTTTTTGGATCTAAGACATGGTCTGTTAGTTAGAACCGTTCAATAAATAGCATGCAGTATCACGGGAAACTAATGCTGGAATAGATTATATTTTCGTCAACCCCGGGTTCATTTTGAACTTCTAAAACGTCGTAATCTTGTGTGACTACCCCCGATTATTCAAACAATTTCCATTTCCTCAGGGGATTCAAAATTTCGGGGCTCTACAGTACCTTCATTAGAACCTCCTTTACAGAGGAAATGTTTCTGCGGTTAAGTAGCTTTTTCCTGTGAATTCATTGCCATCCACACACACACACTCAAATCAGGGGCACCCAACGAGAATATAATTCAAAACCACTTAAACATAGCATTGTTGAACGTATTTTAGTATTTAAACGGTAGATATAGGCATATTTTTATCCCCTAAAAATTTTTCATCTGTTCGGATTTCCTGGCTGAAAGTCTAAAGATCGGAAAATTATAGGGATCAAAACTTACCTTTTCGAAAATTTCAGCCAGAAAAAAAGCTCCCGAAAATTCTAGGTGACCTTTTCTGGGTAAAAATCTGTTAAAAATGGGCAATTATTCCATTTTTGAAATGTTCGAAAATCGTAGGAGAGGCAGGCAAGCAAGAAATTTAACAACAAATGTTCCGAAAATTCTAGATCTCAAATCGTCTTCCGAACAGAAATTTTCCAGTCAAATCGGTTAAAACCATAGCCTAATGTTCCTCAGCATTTTAGAATACTTATGTATGTTCTCTTTGTCGTTCACTGTTAGCAGACCAGCCCCTTTTCCCTGGTATTATTCGTGGGGGAGAAGAAAAAAAAAGAGCCCTCTCTCCCGCCCATTACCAGGAAAAAGAGGCTAGTCTGCCAGCAGGGAATCCCAATAACTCGCCCAAGGGGTATACTTCTGCAGTGAACTGATTTATCTTCCTTCGTAAATAAATGAAAATCCGTTGCCAGAATACGCTCGTTCATAGGGCAAAATTAGACGAGGCCGGAAAATCGTAGACATCGAAATTCAATTGTATCCAGTCCATGATCAAAATTTAAAGCTTGCGGTTAATCGCACTTTCACTGCGACGTTTTGCGGTTAAAACAAATCCTTCTCAAGCGCTTTATTAACTACAGTAATTTTTTACGTTACAGTCAGCTTAGTGTATTTACCTAGGCAAACCCTAGCTTGTTACTACGGTAAATATAACGAGTCGGTTCCTTTTGAACTTTAACGTAAGACAAAAAAGGCCCCACCTGGCACCATAAAATAACCACATTTAGGAGCTTGTTTGCCTATCACCCAAAGAAATGAGATTGCTTTTTCATTTTGTTACGGTGTGGGGCGCGGGATAAAGTAATGTTTTTAAGGTACCCAATCGTTTCTTCGTATTACCGAGGTATTACAGTTTCCATTGGATGTTGCTTAAAAAAAGTGCGTTAAATCATATTGGCATGATTGAAAATGCGAATAAAATGCTCAGAATTGCCTACTATTTACTTCAGTCTATTTACCCCATTTTGCGCATAAAAGCCCCCGCAGAATATGGCCAACACTTTCCTGTCCTAAAGTCACTGCAAAGTACAATCGCACTTTAGAGTTTCTGGCAAAAACATGAGACTTTATAATGTATATTTTTTCGGCGAATTTTATTTTAACAGGGACAGTTGAACAGTGCAATTTGGTACGTAAAAAAATGCACTACCGGAAGATAAGGTTCCATGCAAAATACAAACAACAAAGCAACTTCGTGGAAATTAAAAGAACAAAATTAAAACAGAGAGTAATAAAACTAACTCCCTGCAGGATCTGATAAGTAAAAGATTTTATCATTAGTTGTACTATAAAGTCAAGTCAAAACGGAGCTGGTATTTACATTAGCGATAAATAACTGACAGATAGATAGAAGTTCTTAACAACTGCCATTAGACTTAAGATCGAAGGTAGTCGTGATATTTAATCTTTTATGTTCATTATTTAATTCACCTCTGCCTTCAAAAAACCCACGAAAGTCAGGTTTAACGAAAAAAAAAGTCAATCGCCGAAGCCTCTCGTAAAATGTTTTGTCAGAGAAAATGTGTCAACCGTGGATTAATAGAATAAAATAGTCTGATTTACTGATAAAGATATTGTAAAAAAAAGCTGTACGCTAGTCTGATTCAGTCTCCAAGTTATCTAGCAACAAGGTGAGAATACTCCATGAAAATATTCTAATGACAAACAATTTTATCTGGGAGCCTGCAACTAAACAGGGGACCTTCGATATTTCCCACTCAGTCTGTCAACAGTATTAAAACAGTAAAAAGATCGTATTTTTTTTTGTAATGGTAACAGCTTTGACTGTTTTAATTTATTCAAATTACCAATTGCCTGGTGAGATTTCACAGCAATATGCAAAATAAGAGAATCTATGCGATTTTGCTTGTGTGGGTGCTTTGAGGGATATATCTATCGATCGGTTGCTAAATATTTCTAAACTTAGTATGTGTGCTAAATACAAGTATCCGAGAAGTACAACGACCCCTTTTCCCGTTTTTCCAATATTTCCGATATTCAGTACATTTTTTGAAGGCCACCAAAAACCATATAATGTATAATCGATGTTATTTTACCTTAATAAGTCTTAAAAAATACTAATAAATTCAGTTTATGATTTACAGCTGATTTTAAAAACAATTAATATTTTTTATTTTTTTTCTGCGGAGAGAGCTCCATTTTATCTCTGTGTCATTAAAGTGAAGTTCACTTGTCATCTTCTTGGATGCAAATGAAATTATGGATCTGATGACTGGAATTCATAACCTACAATATTTATTCAATCGTTGGAAGAGAGTAGTTTACAAAACCTTTAGAAAAGCGTAGCCGTTACCTTTGAACTTAAAATGTTTTTTTAGTTTTAATGAAAGTAAAAGCAATTTGACTGACAGACTGTCAAAAAAGTTAAATGAGCCGATATTTAACAAATGGCATAGCTTGGACCTCTTGATAGTTTAGAACCTGTTTTCCGGTCGATAATTCCTAATTTTTTTCTACCGATGAAATTCCACTAACTAATTTGGTGAATTAAACTTGTTGTCACAAAACTAAAAGAACGTGTTCATGCATTGTTAACCTAAAAATTGGATAATGAATTTTCTGTAGACGATATAACTTAGCACGATGGAGATAGGCAAATATGAAAGCTTTGGATGTTTAATTTGCATTTGTAACAAAACTTGGATATACGTTTAGTTTTGATGGACGTGTGATTTACCATCTGTTTGCTCAGGAAGGGGTGATATTTAGACGATATTCTGAATTTAAATGTTGACTGCTTCTTGTTTAGTTCTGGCAGTTTCTAGAGGACACAATTGAAGCTACAAAAGCGAACAACTCTGTATTAGTTATAATAATTTTTTTCAGTACTATATGAGACTACAAGTCTAGATGAGCTTAATGAGTCTATTTGTTAAGATAAGGAAAATGAACGCCAGTTGCCGCAATGTAGGGAGGAGAATATGTCATAAAACGTCAGCTTTTATAGGGCCGATTTTATTAACAACGATGGAGAATGACTTGTGATTTGCATGGGAAATGAGTCTACCGAAGTTGCTCAGACTACGCACTTGGTGGAATAGCTTTTACTAAGTGGTGATTAACTCTGGGAGCGCCTATTCTGTTGAGAAGGTACCAAGTTTCAGGAAGAATTTTTCTTGAAGAATTAGTCAAGCAACCAGTTGATGCAGTCGAAAACTGAGGTCTTTAATAACAATAACTACATTAAAATCACCGACAATGGCTGAAAATCACTGTGCCCAACTCAGTAAGGTTCTACCGCAACAAGGAAGCCTTTTCGTTCCGTATGTCCTCAACTGTGTAATTATGCTCGTCCTGAGCTTAACGGCGATCGTCGGAAATGTTTTGATTCTGGTATCCATTTGTCGCGCGCCGCAATTTCTGCGTCAGCCGTCGTATTTTCTCTTGGTCAACCTCGCCTTCGCCGATTTCTGCGTCGGGCTTATCGCAGAGCCAGCCTACTTGGTGTACAAGCTTTCCTATCTGGTAGATCCCTTTTCTTTGTTGTCATGCTACGCTGGAATCATATTCAACTTTCTTTCTTACTTTTTAACATCTCTGTCGCTTTGGACAGCGGCCACCATTTCGCTGGATCGACTATTGGTGCTTCATTTGCACATGAAATATAGCGCGATAGTGACAAAGTGCAGAGTTTGTATTCTTATTGCTGTTTTATGGCTACTTGGCATAATCTTTGGTTCTATGTTTGACTGGGCTGTGGACGCACAAAACACTGTGTTTGTGTGCGCAAATACAATGGCGCTCTTAATTGCATTGCTGTCTTATGTGCGGATTTTCCAAATCGTGCGCTATCATCGAAAGCAAATCTCCATTCAATTGTCTGAGGTGTCTTTCTGGCAGAGAGATGAAGACAATTCTGTGTATACCTCGTTTTGTAGAAAAGACAGCACCTCGAAACAGTGGGAAGATGCTATGTCTGAAGAAATGGACGGAAATGAGTCGGTTAACTCAAAGACATGCGATATACATATAGCACCAGTTAAAACCCAAGCCAATGCGGAAAGGGCGGACTGTGAGAAAAGGTCTTGTTCCACAGAGAAGGCATCAGTGCCACATCTGGTGGAAAACCAGTCCTTGTGTGCTGGGAAGGAGGCAGTGACAGGCAGTGAAGCAAGGCAGATTGGTGTAACGAAACCGGAAAACCACGAAATCAAAACATTGGGGGTGGCAAAGGCGAGTTTAAACTATGATCGTGTTTTATCGTCATCGAAAAGGGAAGTGAACGGGACAGAAGCGTTCGAAAGAGGACAAGAATCCTCAAATGGTCTGGCGAATTCAAATTTGAAGTTTTCAAAAAACAGAGGCAACGAGCAAAATCAGGATAACGTAGTTGGACTTAAGGAAGTGCACACTGAGTCGCTGGCAAGCAAGAATTGGATCATGAAAAGCTGGCAACAGAATCAGAAATGTGCTTCAGTAGATTGCACTATTGAGGCCTTTAAAGAAGATACGCAAAACGAGGACGGCTCATCAGCTGGTAGGGACCAAGAAGGAGTTGAAGAGACATATAAAAGACCATCCGAGGAAAAGGCAGGTTTGAAGGAGAATCAGAATCCGACATGTTCTTTTGAAGATAATGCCGTGTGGAGTGAAAGACAAGAAACAGATCAAGAACAGAGAAACTTAACAGAAGTGATGCATGAAAACTCTGTTAGCCATCGGAAAGATACGAAAAACACATCAAATCACAGTCAAATAATAACCTCTTTTAATCGTCACGCTCAAAGTTCAAGTTCCGCAAACTACCCAACTACAAGAGACAATCAAATTGCCATTAGAAGCAGTAAAAGATTGAAAATGCGGCATTTTAAGAAGTCTGTTTTCAACATGTTTGTCATTTGGTTTCTTATGCTTGTCTGCTACCTCCCTCTCATATGTACATCTGCTTTATTCACGCTGTTAGGACGAAGTTACTCGATGCATTTGGCCTTCAATTTTACGACCTCCGTGATGTTTCTCAACTCTAGTATGAACCCAGTTGTGTTTTGCTGGAGGATACGGGAATTTCGCGCAGCTGTGCGAAAAACTCTGCGAGAGTTATTTGGCTTTTGGGCCAATCAGATTAGTAGAATTGAGAACTTTTCCTCCACTATCAATTAGTTAGGGAGGACGGAAATTGCTGTTGTAGGTCAATTCTGTTCTAGTGGAGTTATTTTATACGGTTGTAGGAAACTGGCCACCTGCCCCTCCCCTAATCCAACATTTTGCTCTAAATGAGAAGTAAGTGTTAATGTTGGTTTAGGGGAGGGGTAGGTGGGAAGTTTCCCAAAAACGCATAATGATCCCTTATAGAAAACTAAAGTGTCACGTCATGAAAATAAAATTTCTGAAATTATGGGATTTGCCAGGATATTCAGAAAGAACAATGTCCAAGAGGCCTACTTGCCAAAAATGAGCATTTCGGGGCAAATTGTCTCTGAGATCGTAGCCCAGTTATGTTTAGAAAACTCCATACAAACCCTTCTAATTTGTTTTGGGTCGACCCAATGCTCATATTTGGCAAGTAGGCCTCTCGGACATTGTTCTTTCAGAATATCCTGACAAATCCCATAATTTCAGAAATTTCATTTTTATGACATCATCACTTTAGTACTCTATTACTTCTTTCCTTTACCCATACATAAAATACTCTAGTAGAGTTACGAAGAAGATATCAAACAACTTTCACCAGGGAGCACTATCCTCAATGATTTTTTTAGTGATTTTTGCGGGCATCGCATTAAAACTTGAAAACGTTGGCCCAATTTTTTCAAGTCTCAATCCATGTCCATCCTTAATTGCCATCTCTTACAACAGACAACAGGAAACAGTTTCAATGCGTAAATGTAGTGTTAAATAACAAATCTAGACCATTATTTTTAGAATTCAATGGAAACGAAGAAAAGTTTTAGCTTTTTTCAAATACAGACAATAGCGTGAGATAGGATCTTTAAGAGATATATATGAGCAGTAGGATTTTAGCATTTTATACCACTTAACAGCTAATCAAATACAGACCTGACGTTCAACTAATCTATCCTCAAGCTAAGTGCCTTATATAAACCGATTAAATGTCGGTGGATGCTAATATAACCTCGCTTCTTTTTTTCGCTTCAAAAAGGCGAGCATTTTTAACTTCGATATGACAGATAAACTCAGATTAATACACTTATCCTTGCTACGCGTGCCAACTGACGTAAGAACCTATTTCATGTATGCGTGCACGCACAACATGGAACAAGTGTATTTGTTTGTTTACCATAAACTGTTTTGCGCTTTATCGCTTAGTCTCGCTTGCCCGATTTTAAATATTATAAATGCAAAAAGCGCCAACAACACCATAAAAGCCCATACATACATTCATACATACATAACCTTTATGTTAAGTCGAATTTTAGAGTAGCTATACTATATAGCTAATATCTTCGAGAAACAAATTAAGATCTCTAAAAACTGAAAAAAAAAATACACACAAAATAAGACAAAAATTAGTGAAAACTAACTAAACGTATTGAGATTTTACACACGTCGCTTAAAATCATTAAAAGCACTTTTCCTTAATTCGTCGGGAAGATCGTTCTGTTGCTGAGCGGAAAAATAAGAAGAGTGTGGTCCGTAGGTTGTAATGTTCTAGGCTTGCTTAGAGTCGTACAAGCCAATATATGGGTAACGCGCAAGTTATAGGTTGTATGGCGAACTGTAAACATGTTCCTCATAAGTTGGATACTCATTAAATAGTAGACTCTTGTAAACTAGTATAAAAAATTCTTAATGCGGTTGTTGTACAAAGAAGTTGGGTCGAATGTGGTGGAGTCGAGCTGTTCTCTTGACAGAAAAATAGAAAGGTGATGGTTTTCGGAAGATGCAAATAAATTTGCTCCAGAGGCAAGGTAATGCGCCCTTACGGCCAACGAGCGAGTCTCCCTTTTAACATAATGTAATTGTACCATGTACCTAAACAAAGCGCGTTTATACTACTATCGAACGTGGGTTTGATTTCGTCCGTTTCTGCAATACACCTTATTTGCTTCACTTCATTATGAAAATTTTTTTCCGACATTAATTGTTAAGGTATATATTATTTCGGTTATTTCACCGGAAAGGCATTTTAATAACATTTTGACAGCTGCTGTCATTCAAATTTGTACCTGATTGCCAATTTACCTCAAGGCGTCGTTTCAAGAGCCCAACCAAACTAGTCTGCGTAAAAGCTGAGTATATTCTGGATAAGGATATGTGAAACTAGTTTTAATTTACTGTTTGCCATTTGCGCGACTAAATGATGAGTTAAGGTCGACTTATCGGCCTCAGCTGGGAACAAGAGAGAAATCATTGTCACGTGCCCTCCCCTCCCCCCGCGCTTTTTCGTAGTGTTTTTTTTTCGCTTGCGGAACTGGTAACTGCAAAGCACTTGCTGCCCTTATTTGCATGAATTACTATTAACATGAGTATGAATAGACCTCTTTAGCCTGTACGTTTTGTTTTCCAATGAAAATCTCAGGGAAATTTGCCCGTTTCTCCTAAATTATGCGTAGATATGCACATGAATAAGACCAAATAATGTGAAAGAAATAGTTCTCAAGAGTATTATCACATGACCTACATTAGGAAAACAAGTACATATAGCATCAACCCCAACCTAGTTTCGAGACAGTGCTTGACCCTAACCAGTAGAGGCAGTGCTTGACCCTAATTAGTAAAGGGGAAAACTACGTTGTGTAAATTTCATGAGGTGTCCGAAGGGGCTACGGTCGATGGGATCTAATGATAACCTTTTTAACGGTCGATACCATCATTGGTAACCAAGCCTTTAGTCATAATAGATGTAATATAATCCCTGGATTAAATTACAATAAGCAAAATAATACGTTTTTGAATAGTCTTAGGAAGAACGAAGTTGAAGCCCAAGTTGAATTTACGTTAAAAGTTATGGAAAGGGCTAGGGTCACCTACTATTGATGTATCAGTTCCGAAAAAGAGTTTGTTGGTTTATGTGTACTCAGATTTTTTGAGATTTTGGCGAGCCGGTGTGGTAGTGTAGTGGTAAGGGAGAGAGATAAGGATACGAAGGGTCCGGGTTCGACCCTGCGTTGCAATTTTCTTTCGTTTTAACAGAAACTCTCTCAATAACAACTCAAAAAATTTTCTAAGTGTCTTAAAAATGGCAGCGACCGTTTACAAAAGGGACAATTGCGCCGGCCTCCGACGCGTTCTTTCGGGTAGCCGCCGACCACATTTGTGGCCGAAACTTACTGTTTTAAAACTAGCATCGTTTAATGTGGAATGCTCGTGCCCTATTAAGAGTGCACGCTGGAAATTTCTGTGCCCAGAGTTGTTATCGCGCAAGCCTGTTTTGTAAGTTGTGTCGCACGTGACTTAGACGTCAGTGGTTGTTAAGGAAACGCTAGTGTATGCGTGATAGCAGCGGAAGACGTCCCAAGCATAATTAAAAACGATACTTAAAATTTTGGCAGGTAAACAAGGTGTATTATGGGCATGGTGAAAGTGGTGAATTCAAGACAGCTTTCCCCCCTTCCCTTCTCCTACCACCCCTCCCCCTCCTTCTACCCTCTCCCCATCCCCCCTCACCTTCTTAACCTGGAATTTGAGCAAGAGTTCAATGTAACAAAAAGTTTCAGTTAGCTTTCTGGAATCAATTTTTGGTTATTAAGGTTACTTTCGTTGGGAATTGAGATTTTAATTCTCGACTCAGTCTTTTAACTTGCTTAGCTATAGAAATAACGTATTAACTTTCGAATAATATATAACATTCTAACTGATGTTAATTTTCAGGTTATGATTCTCAAATTCGATCTTCTTTCATCGTAACGATTGGTTTATCCTCGGTTGCCACTCTTTAAAGTGAGACAGAACGGATTCTGTTGTAATTCTGTTGAAAAATTTTAAACACCTCTTCTAAGAAAAACACGTATACCCTGAAATGGCACAAGTTTCTACTTAAGAATCTATATCGTTAGATAGATAGTCTGCTATGGCAACTGAGACTTTCATAAGATTAATACATACTAACCTATGAATAATATAATAATACGCTTACTGATGTTAATTTCCAGGTTATGACTCTCAAACTCCATCTTCTTCCATCGTAGCGAATGGCTTTACCTCAGTAGTCAGTGCTACTCTTTCAAGTAAGACAGTAATTTTGTAATAGAATTAACGCCTCTTCTGACATTAACGCATAAACCGCTAAATGACTATTGGGATGGGTGAAGCGTCGAGTATACTATCAAAGCCGACATAATACCTTGCTTTTCTCTCTTTTAAACAATTTTTTTGCGACATTCTCCATCTACATAATATTGTAATTCCTATCATAAATTCAGTAACATCTGTAAACCTAAAGAAGGCTAGTAATGGCCAGCCGAAATATTGTTATGAAAAAGCAATACACGTTGTTATGATCAGCTTAGCATTAGTCTTTGGACTTCTCGTTTTTTGGTTCTTAATATTTTAGCCAATTAGATCTCCTTTGTGCAGATCCAACGTTGACAACCAGCAGGATCTTCGTCCACGGTTTTTGCAGTTAATTTCTTTATCATAATACGGAGGCCCCGTTCTTATGGAGAAAACTTGTCCCGGGTGGAAGGGTCACCTCCCTACCCTAGGAGCCCTGGGCGAGACACCTTTTCATACAATTCCTTTCAAAACGTGGGGGACCGTTGCAAAACAAAGTTCGCTAGGCTACCAGGGTAGCCCGCCTTGCCTTGTCTTAATGCAAATTCCACTGCATTGCGAGCACTAATAGTGTCGAGTGAGAGAAGCTTCAAATTGTTTTAGAAAAATGCTCTCTGGTGATTCTAAACAAAGACGTTTCTGCGAAAAGCCGGATTTTCTCCTCTTGCTATGAGCTTACAGATAGCAAAGACGGGTTAGCCAATAAGAATTAGGGATTTGTAATACAATATTAGTGGATCAGAATTTTACGAATGAAAATTAATTTGTAGGTTATGACCCCCATCGTTCATCTTCCTCCATCGCAGCAAGTGGTTCTACCGCAGTAGTGAGTGCTGTTTTGCCAAGCAAGACTGCTTCCCCTGTAGAATCAACGTTATCTTCAGAGGTTATGCCTGCCGTCGGCTCCTCAATTGCGCCAACGCCAACTGAAGCAGCGACAGCTTCCGAAACGTCCACGATTGCCGTTACCGAAACACCGACTAGTTCTACGGAGGAACCGACTACCACAGCAAAACCAGGCACAGAACCTTCAGATAAGGTATATTGTTTTAAAGCGGCTATATGGAAAACTTAAAGAAAGAAGACGGTTATACTACTTTATTAGATTTATATAGATTTATTTATTCGTTGGACAGCTTACAGATTCGTCAGCTGTCGAATCAACAAGAATGTGTTTAAGCGTACAACTATTTCATGGTGGTGGTGGGGTCTCTGAGTGAACGCATTGCCGGCCAGCATGATGTCACATTTCGTCTTAGCAAAATTCAAAATGGCGGCTGAAGTTTTCGAGGAAGAGACGATATAAGTTTAAAATTTGTCATGGCTATTCTGGCCCAGTATTTTCTCACGTTTGTTACTAATATGCTAATGTATTTTTTTATTGAAACTAAATGATATTCTCTTCTTGAATTTGAAGTTTAAAGAAGTCGCCAATGTAACGATAACAGAAGAAAACTCGCTTGACGTGGTCGAACAACTAGAAAACTTGACGATGGAGGAAAAGTTGAATAGCGGAGATACAAAAGTCACCATTGAAATCCTTATAAAAGTCGTCGAGAATGAAAATTTGCTCCCACAAAACAAGACAAAGCGGCAACAGTTGGGACAGGTGAGTACGATGTAATGAAAAATAAGCATTTTTAAAATGCGCCCTCGGGCCTAAGAACCATTTTTCATGCAACATTATTTGAACAGTGAAAAGCTTGGGGCGTTGGTACCTACTAACAACCAGCTGCAAAAGAGAGTATGTTCCTTATTTGGGGTTAAATGGGCTGTCCATGATCGTTTGCTTGTAATCCCCGCTCCCCGGTTTTCAAAACAACTGGCAATACGAGACCATGCTCAAGATTTTTGTAACTGGTTGAAAAATCAGAAAAATTTATGACGCCTCACAACTGGTCGAAGACAGCCGAAGCATTCTAAACAGCCTTAACTGTACAGTGTTTCGAAGTGTTGACTTGAAGCTTCAACGAAACACAGTCGACAACCGTTAAGTCAAGATACCCTACCATATTCCATCTTTTCAAATCTGACCCCCGACAACGATTTGATACAAAACCTTTCTTTGTCTTTAGTGAGCTGTATAATTAGATTTTAATTTCGTTTTTTTTTATTTTTAGAGTATCCTGAACGTTGCAAGCTCACTCCTTTCGGAGGAAAATAAAGAGACCTGGGGAGAGCCAACAGAAGGGAGAAATCAATCAATCACGGTATTTATCAATGACATTAATTTTTAGTACTATTTGCACTTATACCGTTGCACATCGTTACAATTATTAAAGCACGTGCGATAAGCTTAGTAAAGACTAAAAATTTCAAAAATTGTTTGCTACAATTTGGTGAAGTTGTTTTTTTAAAAACGAGGGTTACGTAATGTAAGTTGTGTGCAAACTCATCAGGAAATTTTATGACTGGATTTTAGATAAACCTACAGTAATAAATTTAATATTTAAACTTGTTTCCAATTATTTATGTTGCCATGGCAATGATAGAAATCTTACGTTTAACCTAATAAATGTGATTTCTTTTGATTATATTTTTTGTCCGTGCCAAATCTTGGCTTTATACCATCAACGCGTAGTAAATAACACCCCAATGAGTCGTAACGATTCATAACAGTATCAAACTGTGTTGAGCCACTTTAATTGAAATTTATCTTTAAGGTTACCTCTCCCATGCAAGTTTTGGAAGTTATAGACAATATTGGTTTGAAAATTGGAGAACAACTTGGGGACAACGAAAGCTACGTCATTTATAGCCCCAACATTGGTATGTAAGATAAAATCGATGGTAACTTTGATTAGGTTACTGAAAAATGCCTTGTATGGAGGACTTGCAGAAAATTCACTTTTATTCTATACACTCACATCTTAGTAGCTGATGAGTTTAAGTTAATATTGTCCGTTTAAGTTAATAAATTGTCTCATTGTAAAAAAGCTTTCATCTTTTCTCTTTTTACACCATAAAGCAATGGGTGTAGACACCAAACTGCCCGAGGAGTCAGACACTGGAAAAGAATACCCTCGCTATAATGAACTCAGCGATGCCGGATACGATTGGACGGGAAAGGATCACGTGTTTATTCATAAGGAAATATTTGATGAAATGGCTAAAGGTCAGTGTTCATTGAAGTAGAGACTGGTATGAAAGTAATATATAACATCTACAGTGGCGGATCCTAGTCTTTAGTTAACAGCGGAGAGGTACATTCATTCAGACCCCGAGGATCTTATGGAAAACAGTAATCCAAGCGTCCCCCTCTCCTAGATCCACTACTGATTATATCTTGCACCAGAGATTCTTTTACCACCATTATTTTCCACAAGGAACACTAAAAGGCCAGTGTGGCCAGTACCGGATCCAGAACTTGAGAAAAGGGGGGTGGGGCGGTCATCCAGACCCTTAGATAAGAAGGGGGTGCAGTCTCCCAGAAAAAGGTTTTTCGGCCCTTCGGGCCTCGGATTGGTCCAAGAATAAAGGGGGGCGGGGCCTCCGCTTGATCCGCCACTGGTGACTCCCTAATAGTGGCTTAGAATAAAGTTATCATACTAAACAGTCGACGTTATTTTGTAGTTTGCCAAGAGAGTGTTATTTTGGATAATCGCTCATTGCCTGAGAAAATAGCCGACATGTCGTAACGTGACCAATGATTTCCCGCGAAATGAAGTCTGAGAAACGAGCGCAGAAATTCTAAAATGATGACGCTTCACTACTTAGATCTGGGTTGTGGTCAGTCTAATTGGTTGAAGCCAATTTTTCAAACGGCACGACCAGTACCACCCAGATTTGGGTTGTGGCCCGTCATCAGTATGAAATGTCGGTGCTCGTTTCTCAGACGTCATTTCACGGGGAAACTTCTGGTGGAGTCGCAAAATGTCGGCTGTTTTCTCAGGCTAAATCTCTCAAAAAGCCTTTGTCATTGGCTTTTTCACACCTTGAAGATGCTAGCGGAAAATTTCGGAGGGAATTGTCATATTTGTATACCTTAAACAATAATTCGACTTTGAATTCCACTAACTACTTTTAACTTACTGTACAAGGGAATGTACTTTGTCCGTTATATTATTGATAGTTTTGTTTTCTTGTAGATAATAGCACCAAGACTGTAGTGGTTTATACCATTTACAGCAAAGTGAGCGAGCTTTTTCCGGTGAATGATAGGTTGGTCTTCGTGTCATCGGCACTTTCTTAATTCTTTATATGTTTTTTCATATTTTTGGTTTGTCCTTTCAGATAGCCGTAGACCAAGGCCCAGTGATCCGAAGGCCGGTTATTTTTAATGTAGTTAATATAGGATTTAATTTCATTCCAAGTTCCTGTTTCGTTAGTTTAAAGTTAAGTTAAACCAGTCCTTTGGAGTCTGAAGAATTTACTGTTTGAATCCAAAGCCGGTTGGCCCTAACACTCAGGTTATTCTTAACCCTAAGCAATCCAGCCCAGAAGACGTCTTATTGAGACGCGGTGTCGTTCTTAAACATTCTTCTTCTTGATACATAAAGAAGTATATTATTTTTGGCACAAACTGTGGTTGTTTTTCTTCCAGCCTTCACAATGTGTTTGTAAACTCACTGATTCTCGGGGTGCAATTTAACAAGCAGCTTCGAGGTCCTTTTACGACGCCCATTAAATTGCGGTTCAACAAGATTAAGGTTAGCTTTAGTTTGTTTATTTGTTTGTTTGTTTACTAAATTCTAATCTGGTCCCAGTTTTTTCGTCTAATCCTACGATTTAATGGTACATACGCATCATCATCATCACCATCATCATTTCATTGATTTGCCTGTAATCTTGAATCCATTATTCAAAACAAAAAACCTTTACATCAGTTTTTTACTACGTTATCATGACAAATAAAAGAGTGCTTTACGCCTTTTGAATTTTTTTGGTTGAGAAGTTTTTACATTGCCTCGATCGAGATTTTCCTCCTCCCCTCCCTCTCAAGATGAAAGCTTTTGAGATGACGTGAAAAAGTTTAGTTTTGCTCAATTAATGTAGTTAGCAACAGCTTGCATTTTATTATTCCGGATCTGCTAAAATATACCTTATTGTTGTTTGCAGCCCCAAAATACTACAAAGCCTTCTTGCTCTTTTGTGGACTTTACCAAGTATGTCTTCACTCTTTTGTGCCTTAAGCAAACATGGTTCTTAGCAATTTTAACTAAATGTAGCCATTCGTTTCTCCAAAGGGGTTTAGTGCGTGATCATTTAAACGGATATTACTGCATTCCAATACAAGCACTGTTTGATCAGACCTAGGCTATTCAGAGAAAACTTCCCATTGGGCTCCTGTGCGAGTTCTTCCCATCCCGTCTCGAGTTTCATTTGTTGCGAGTTGACTGAGGGGGACGATTACGTAAAAAGCACAAAAGCTAGACGAGCTTGATTTTTATATTTTCACGATGACGACATTAGAATACAACTACCCGAAATACTTTCGTTTTTGCTTTCTTATTTAAATTGGTCAATCCGCCAAAAGTTTAAATAACGATAGCCCTAATTTGCACAAGAAAACAATAAACTGAAGGATTCTGGTGGTTGTAGTAAAATGACGTCATCATACAATTTTCTTATTAACATTTATGTTTTTGTTAATCATAGAAACGTTGGCACGTGGTCAGACAGAGGATGTCGCGTGGTCGGAGAGAAAAAGAAGACCGTGGAGTGCGCCTGCGATCACTTGACAAACTTCGCCATTTTGATGCAAGTCAAAACATTTGAAGTAAGCTCAAAAAGAAATTTTTTGTTTTACTTCTGCAAAAAACGACTTTTCTTACGGTGTGTAGCGTTTAAAGGAAAGATCTAGGGCGGATATGAAAATGACTTCCCGCCCTTCGCATGCAAGAACTGATCAGCCCTATCGGGAATTTCTTGTTTTTGTTTTAGTTTCTTACTGTTTGCTGCCCTTTAGAGTGCAAAAACAGCGAGAATGCTAAGGTCCTGCCCACAGTAACATCGAAAACACTCTTGAAAGTGGATCTAAACCGCATGCATATCGTATTGGTGTGGACGGTCAAAAACGGTCGAAAGCGCATCAAAATAAAAACGATGACCGAAAATATCGCAGGCGCGTGTGTTTATAGATGGACGCGGGAAAAGTAACTTCTCGTACTATGCTAATTTAGTTGGCCTATTTTTGCTTTGTTTTTTTTGCACAGGTGAGCTTCTAACATTTTTATTTTTAATTTTTAGATTCCAAAGGAACATTATACGGCTTTGACGGTTATAACATATGTTGGCTGTGGAATATCGCTGTTTGGACTTGCTCTTACATTGGCCACCTTCTTGTCACTCGAGTAAGCTCTTTCCCTTTCAGACTTGGATGCGAGTAAATAGGCAGCAAATTTCGTTTTCATGATAGATAAAAAGAGAATAGACCATTTTTCAGTTGTGGGCTCAAAGCCACAGTCTTCGAGTGAATGTGAGACTGGGGTTTACTTTGTTTTGATTTAAACCTCCATTGTTTCTTTTGGAAATTCTGCTTGAACTAAACGAGTTAGCATAAAAACAACTTCATTTGCATAAGAAAGCAGGAAGGGTTGCATCAAAACAAGCTGAACTCCAGCCTCGTTTCCATCTCTAATTAGGCTATTATTCTCTCCACTTTTTGACCCACCACCTCTAGGCATACTACCTGACGGGATACCACCAGAGCAGGAGGGGAGGGGGGGTTGGGGGCAGAATACTCCAGTGCACAAGATTCCGGTATAAGCACGAACCACGCAACTAAAATTTTAGGATTAATTTAGTTTTCTGGGAAACTGCCCACCTACCCCTCCCTTAAGCTAACATTAAGAATTACTTTGGGCAAAATGGTGGCTTAGGGGAGGGGTAGGTAGGCAGTCTCCCAGAAACCTAAATTGGTTCAAATTTGAAGTAGTGGAGTCGCTGAACTACCGTATTGCCTGGAATAATAGCAGTCCCTCGATTAATCGCCTTCTTTAGACGGAAATATTTAAAATAATCACTTCCCTCGAATAATCGCCCCCCCCCCACCCCTCTTGCCTTTTTTGTCGTTCGTTTATCCACTCCCTGCCAAGTCAAAGTAGAGTCCGATCCATCAAAACTGATCAGTGACAATTCAATCTCTGATGCCAAGGTTCTTGACATTCACATATGTGATCGTTTTTTGGTTTTAATGGGATAATAAAACAAAATATTTAAGGCACGACTTCCAGTGAGCAATATTTGAAATAACTGCATTCCTCAAATATTCGCCCTGCCTTGAATAACCGCCCCCGGCTATTATTCGAGGAAATACGGTACTCTACTTTTAGGAGTATCATTATTGTGTTACTAAAACAGTTTCAAAACCTACTCTTGCCTCTCTTTACTTGCTTTGGAAACATAAGCAGTCATGTTTAAGACCCCATATATAAAGGCATTTTTATCCCCAGGACACTGGCCTCTGAACGCACCTCGATCCACAAGAACCTTGTTGTTGCTATTGGACTTGCGCAGATCATATTTCTGGCTGGAATAGATGCCACCTACAATCCTGTAAGTATCACAATCATTGTTGGGATTAAATTCTCCTACCCCTTCCTTAAGTCGACATTAACGCTTACCTATCACTTGGGGCAAAAGTGTGATTTAAGGGAGAGGTAGGTGGTCAGTTACCCAGAAACTCTTTATAAGATATACCACTGGTTTTTCTTATTTTCTTCAAGTGGGTTCCTGGCATCTGTTTCTTACTTCTTTGCCTAACAGTTTAACTATGACGTTATAATTGAAACCTACCAGATAATTTCTTTTTTCCTAATGGAAAAAGTGGTGTGTTTCTTTCTCTTCCCGCTTTTTTATCCTCAGTCTTTGCTTTGCTTTGCAATTTCATTTTCTTATTTTTTCTTTTCTTCCCTTTTTTTTTACACCTTTCTTTTTTTTTGAATTCCGTTTTTACCGCCATTCTCTACCTCTGTTCACATTCTCTTTTCTCCTTAAATTTGTTTGTTCGTTTCTTCCAGCTTCTATTTGTCCGTTTTTCTTTATTTCCATTCTCTGTTCCTCCCTCTTCCTCTGCCGACCTCATCACACGTCCAAACATCTTTTTCTATTGTTTATGTTGGTACAGATAATGTCCGCTAGGTGCGATTACGTTCCTAATTCCTGAATTAGCATGATTATTTTTTTGCAGATCGCTTGTAAAGCTGTAGCCTTGTTCCTGCATTACCTATACACAGCGGCGTTCACCTGGATGTTATGTGAAGGAATTCATCTTTACAGCAAGATAGTGGAAGTGTTCAGTGAGGGCTCTAAGATGAAATATTACTACGCCCTAGGGTGGGGTAAGTAACAGTTGTGGAAAATTCCTTTCCCTAAGGTGTCCCATTACAGTCAAACTTCCATGTCCTACCACCTCTCATAACCGACCACTTATCCAAAACACCATACTTTTCCCAGTCAAAGCCTTTCAGTTTGAACCTCTCGTAAAACGACCAGGGCTGGCGATTTTGATAGTTTTCTGTAGTTCTAGTTTCTTGTAAGCGACCACTTGATGCATGCTCTCATCTCTCCCCGGCGAGAGGAGCATGAATAGACCATAGTCAGCCATTGTTTTACCATCGTTGAACACGGTTTCCAACCATGGTCTACCATGGTTTGGCAGTGATATAACCATGGTTTGGCCATGATCAAACATGAACGTTAAATTACACTAAGGATGACCATGGTCAAACATGGTCAAACTGCCCATTGTTCGCCGTTTGTATGATGCTACTCATAGTATAAAAAGAACTTTTAGTGACAACATGGAACTACACAAATCGTAACTTAGAAATTGTACGCAAAGATGATTATCCATAATTTTGATGAGTCCGGAGACTCCGGGCCTCCAAATACAGACTGTGGTCAGATTGTATTGGGCAACAAGTGAACAAATCGAGGGACTCGTATCTGGGATCCCCGCAGATTTTTGTGGGCGATTGACGTCATCACCAATTTGCCAAGGAGAGAGAGAGAGAGAGCCTGGGAAGATAACTTTTTCTGAATCATATTATTGATTATTATTTCCCAGGTTTACCATTGACGATTGTTTTTATCTCTGCCTGCTCTCGTTGGAGTGGCTACGGTAATGAGCGCGCGTAAGTATTGGATTTTAAACACTGAATAATTAGCATTAGAATCACCACAATTATTAAAAATTATTAGAAGGCTAAATGTTTTCGATTCAGTATTTTAAGAACTTGAGATCAGACTTTTTACTTCGTTTGCTTCAAAACTCTCCACTGTATCTAAGTGTGGCATATTTACATTTCAGTTGTTGGATATCAATCAGGGATGGCCTTATATGGGCCTTTGTTGCTCCTGTTCTCATCATTATGACTGTAAGTTTACATGTAGACCTTTATTACATTACTTTTTTTTTAAAATAAACCTTAACAATTCCCGTAGACAGTACAGTCCCTGATAATCTGTTTCAGTTTTTCTTACCTTGACTTTCACTAGTAGACAATTTCAGTCTTGAGTTATATGCCTCTAGCGACTTAATAGTAGGCTGTTCTCAGTAGTTTCTAGAATATTTTCAGGACGAGTGAGACCCTCCCTGCTAGCAGAGGGCCCTTTTCCTTAAATTGAATTCTTACTTCAGAAACTCTAGGAAGAATGGGTACAAGCTTTGCTTGCAGTGATTTCTGGGATCGTTTCCCTTTGGCTGAACAAGTGTTAGTTATGATTGGTTGATGGTATTCAAGCCAACCATCAACCAATCACAAGTAACGCTTGTCCACCCAAACATCCCAGAAATCTTTGCGCCGAAGGCTTTGTACCTATTATCCTTATCGTTTCTGGAATAGAGAATTCTATGAGGGGAGGGTGGGAGGACTGAATTTTGTACATTTTTTTTATCAGATTAACTTTGTTGTCATGATCATGGTAATCAAGGTGATCATAGCATCGGTGACGTCACTGCAGAATCCGGGCAACACTTCCCAAGTCAGGTGAGGAAAAATGAAAATTGATTGGTTGGAAAAAACGGGTAAAACGGTTCTGGGGGAGCAAGGAGAACGGATTTCATAGGTTTGCGTAAGCATTAGAGATCCAGGAACATCATATAGTTTTGTAAAACACCTTGATATAAGACGGTAAAAGATACTGGGAGTGGAAATGCCATCTATCTACTTCCCCCTGCCAGAATTGATGTTCGGTGTCCAACCAGATGTGGCTTATATAAAATGAAGGGCAATGCACTAACTGCTGCCCGAAGCCTTTGAATCAAAACAAGAATAGAAATGACGATAGCTTTTATCGGCTGGAAAATTAGTTGCGACACGTAGCCCTAAAAGGCCTGTCTGACGTTTTGCCAGCTTAAAAAAGGGAAAATAAACCTTCCCTTCCTCCACCCTCGATGGAATGTTGTGCCACGGTTAGAGCTACTTGTAGAAAACAACGACCTCAGCTTTGAATGGAGGGGGGAAGGGGTGTGGATTGTTTTGTTCTCTGAAGTTACCCTATTTGAGGACAACAGCGTAACAATTTTGTTGCGGATTGTAGTTTTATATATTTAGCTGTGGCATGCTTCTAAAATCTTCAGTTTAGGTTGTGGCAACCGACAAGACCAAATGCCGAACAGTGTTTGCAACATTTTCTTGAAAAACCATCGGTATTAACTTATTGTCTGACTTCAGGGCTGGTGTCAAAGGCATGATCGTGCTGCTGCCACTGCTTGGATTGACTTGGGTGTTTGGTATCATGGCAATCAACAAGAATACCATCGCATTTCAATATCTTTTTGCCATCCTCAACTCACTCCAGGTAAGAAGGTGTATATTTTTTTTCGTCGTTTGAATTGATCAGACTCACTTTAAGAAAAGTGGGTACTGCGTTGCAAATATAAGAGTGTTCTGGCGTGGAAAGTGTTGTTGTTTTAATCCATTTTTTAATATATAACGTTTTTGTTGGAGTTATGTGCATAATAAGACAATACATTTCTCGATCTTGTAAATTTCTTTTCATTTGAAATTTGTTAAAATCACACTTCTGCTAATAAACTTTGCGCACAAAAAATAGTTTTTAGGGACCAAAATGTTTTTGGGAGTTTTGAGGAACGTACGCCTGGGCGGAATCTTCTCGGAATAGCGCTAATCCTGCGTGGACCATAATCAGAGTGTACGAGTTTTCATGCTATCTTAATATGGATTTGCTCCCACCACCAACTTGTCCGTGACGTTTTCGCTCCCAGTACTTAACGATCGATAGCATCAAAAACGCTGATCGCATCTTTTTTTTTTTATTCTACTATGATCACTTTTGTACTTCTCCTCAAAAGTCTTCTTTCAAAGCCCTCTTCACTTTTCACATCTTAACCTGGAAAAGGAAAGAAACGCTGTGTTCAAATAGTATAGTTTAATACCTGTAATAAAATCAAATCTGTTCACTGCAGGGACTCTTCATTTTTGCTTTCCACTGCATTGGGAACACCGAGGTATGTATCCATAATATATGTTTTGGGATTAATGTGTAGGCGGGGTTTTTTCCCCTCCTACCCCTGTTACCCCGTTGCGCGTCGAATCCTGTATGAGTAACAATTAGCGGTCAGCTTACGAACAGGGCGTACGACGCGTAAGGTCCACCTTAAGATAAAAGCGTTATACTACTCAGACGAGAAAAAAAACTAAGTAGTCTGGGGTCGTTCGTTTACTTAAGATAAAGACCAGTGACGTGAAGATCGTACGCCACGTGACCATATTAACGCGCCGTACATAGGTGTTGAGTCCAGGCTGCTATCCCTTTTCAGTTTTGGACTTAATTCCTTGATGAGTAGTGCCTCCTTAACTTGAGATTTTTTTTCTTGAGATCCTCTTGTAGTAATATTTTCCCTCTTTTGACCAGGTACGACATGCCTATAAAAGACTTCACGAGAAAAGAACCTTGGCAAAAAGTTTACCTGAGCACTCTCTGTCCACATCACACCACAGCCGGGTAAGCATATTCACTTCCTCTTACGGCAGCCTTTAAAGTAATTGTCCAGGTAAATTTCAACAAGATGATGTTATTTTAGCCTGCTTGGCAGGCGTTTGAAAGGAAAGGCGAAGCGGATTTCGGGTACGCGAGAAGCGCAAAAGGCACGCGAGGGACAGGGAAGGAAATAGGAGGCAGAACGAAAAAAAAAACATGGCTTGTCAGCAAGCGTTACCCTTCTCTTTCCTCCCCCGGGCGTTCTAGCGCGTCTTTAATTCTCCTTTCTCCTTTCCTCTTTTCCGGCCTTCCCCTTTCGAACTGTGCATGCCTCGCAGGCTTATACAAACGTTTACTTCTTTCTTTTGGTGTTTATTTCCTTCTCTGGATTTTCTCGTTTACAGGAAAAAAGACGAATGGATTCCCACGAAACTAATTTGACTGGTGATGACGAAATCATTGTTACAAAGACTATCCGTAGTGTTTCTGGTAAGTTTTTTTCTGTTGATTAAACAATTCGCGTAACTTAGTCTCATGTCTTAATTTCTCACTACGAAGACAAGAAAAGAACACAGTTATCAGAAAAGTACTGCATGAACTCTTTCATGGGTTATGATCTTTACCGGATTAATCTTGTTTACAGTGTCGTAAGAACAGTTGTCATGTCATATCCATGCTCAAAAGGTTCTTGCAAGGTTTTGATATACTGTTGAACCTCTCCACAGGTGGTCCGGAGAGGTGGTCGTTGTGGAGAGGTGGTCGTTGAGAACTGGCCGTTGTAGAGACGTTGTGGAGAGAGGTTTAAGGTGGTCCTTGTGGAGAAGTGGCCGTTGTGGAGTGGTGGCCGTTGTGGAAAGGTGGCCGTTGTGGAGAGGTGGCCGTTGTGGAGTGGTGGCCGTTGTGGAAAGGTGGCCGTTGTGGAAAGGTGGCCGTTGTGGAGAGGTGGCCGTTGTGGAGTGGTGGCCGTTGTGGAAAGGTGGTCGTTGTGGAGAAGTGGCCGTTGTGGAAAGGTGGCCGTTGTGGAGAGGTGGTCGTTGTGGAGAGGTGGCCGTTGTGGAGAGGTGGCCGTTGTGGAGAGGTGGCCGTTGTGGAGAGGTGGCCGTTGCGGAGAAGTGGCCGTTGTGGAGAGGTGGCCGCGGGAGGTTCGACTTTAGTTAGTACAGGAGGGCCGGTCTCCCTTTAGTAACAACTGATTTTGAATCTCCGCCCGATTTTTCTTCATTTCTATGTACACAAACGTAACAGTGTCAAAACTGTGAACAGTTCACTCGCCACTCAGGAAACTAGAAGGGAGCTGCAACCGAAATGTGTCCCGCAATTGTTTCTGAGATCTTTACTGGTGACGCGCCATTCAGCCATTGGTCAATTTTTTCCCCTGCTGCAAGTAACAGTCCCAGACGTCTTTGCGAACGTTAACTCGACCCAGTCCCCTTCTCGTTCCTGAAGTGACCAATTGAACGCCCTATTATAATTTAGCATTATCTGAAGTAGATTCTAAAAGGAGTTTCAATACATTGTCAAACTGCAATCTGGTTACATTTTTGCCTTTCTCTCTGTATTTTCAGATGTGAAGATTACGGGCGAGAACATGGCCATGCAAATGGTTAAGTATAGAAGCAAACAAATTTAATAGAGATATATACAATTTTGACGGTGTACAAAAAACAATTGCTTCAAAAAGTGAAGCAGAATGCTTTTTGTATAAAGTGAATGGTAGTCAGGCTTGGTACAGGAATGACTGGAAAAACACAAGAAAAATGAAACTGAATAGTGCAGTGTTAACCTCTATTTATATCCAGTTTTGTATCATGATCGTACTTATTACTTTGTTTTTTATTGGCCGGCTTTAATAACTCAGAAAAAAACTAAAGTGTTCATCGATTAAGGCAAGCTAATCAAGCATAACGACCTCAGTTTTTAATTTTTGCTACTGATATGCATGTAAATCTTATTTTTTTTGTTAAATGATATATCAGTTCAACAAATGTTTTTTTCCTTTCTAATACACAGACGTCTATCTACAGCTTTTAAACTCAGATTATTAGCTATGTACCTCTAGGTAGTTTACTTCTTCTCAAAAGTGACGTAAAAGAAACTTTATAGTGAACAGTCTCGACCTCTGAAATATGAGAATCGCATAAAATCAAAAAGAAGACCCTACTTCGACTTAGGTAGTACGTTTCAAACGATTCGTTGGCGCTCTATCTCGTGTCTACGTCATTAAATTTCTTTCTCATCCAAAGCGGTAGCAGTTCATGTTGTGAACTACAGCGATTACTGGCGAGTCTATTCTGTTATACCCGCTGCGAAGCACCTAGACACCTCATGCAACATGGGAAGGTTAACGCAAGGGGTAATGGGAAGGATCAGGCCAAAAATGAGTCAGCGCGTCCCCTTCCTCACTTTCCCCAAAGTGCCTGGTGCGCTTCGAAAACTCGTTCCCAAGATTTCTCTGCCTGTGTACGAGGGAGTATATCCGGGGTCTTCATTTAAAGGGATTTCATATAGTAGCGGTTATGACGTCACCAATACTCATGTAATATTATTGTAACTTAATTAAAAAAAGGGGAAATCCTTACAATTTTTTATTTCGTTTGATTAGCTAAAAAGCTGATTAACATCATCTATTTTTTGTCATCTTTTTTAACATGAGCATGATTCCATTTAAACGACGCTGACTATGAATTTTTAAAATATCTAGACCAAACGAGTTTAAAGCTATTATATAGTCCACCTTAAAAAATAATAGTTTTTTGTCTATAATCTAAGCTTATAAACAGTCATAATAAACCTTTTGGGATAAACCTCTGTCATATTGTAACATGTTATGTTCACTTCAGTTCGGAGACACCGATTCTGGCCGCTGGTCTTTAAACTGCCCTTCACCAGAGCCGTAAGTAAATATCACTGACATTTTTAAAGACAGGTCTGACCGGTCTAAATATAGCACATTTGATTTTCCATATTTATTTTAAATTTTATTGGCAGAGGTCATTTCTATTCTATAAATTATTATAAACATTTGATTGGGTCATCTCTATAAACGGGCGTTTGATGAATTAATGGTTAGATCAATAGTAAATTTTTTTCTAAACATAACATAATTACATGTCCCTATTTCTGAAACTTTAATGTATAGAGATCCGGATTATTAGGACGGTTGAGTGCGTGTTTTGCGATTCAATTTTTAGTTTACCTTTGCTGAAAACGTGATTCTAAATCTTACAATAGCTACAAGCGCGATAAAATCTCGTAGACATTTAAGACCTGAATTTGTTTCTAACCAGCCCCTATGACGAAGACAGTCATATTCAAACAAAAAACTGAATTTGTAATTTTTTTTTTTCTTTTTCAGGTTCCGAGACCTGGATCACGTAAAACGAGCATAAAATCTACAAGATCATCAACAAGCGGACATTGCAGAGTGGAATTTGACTGCGCAGAAGAAAAAACTCTTTTACGAAACAAAGTAGCCAGAAAAAATAGCAGAAATAGTGACACAAAATCTTACTTACATGTTTTGAAGCCCAAGTTTTGGAATTCTTGTAATATCGTATAACCCGATGCCTTGTCTGTTCCTTAGTGATCACGCTATCAGTTTTAGTTTATTTTGGACTTTCTGTGGACGAGCTTTCTGAATACTAGTCAATCAGTGTATAAATTATCAGAGTCTCAAGGGTTATCCTTTCCCGGGACCAGGTCACGCATATTATAAGCATTTTGAGCAGTTATTAATAGCCCACGTTTGATTTATTAAAGTTCTATCATGACTCCGAGGCGTTAGGGACAATATTGCAAAGTTTTCACGACTCCATTGTCTCACAGTTCCCAGAAGAGATTTGAGCACAAGGAACACCAAACCAAATATAAAAAAATTACTAGAAAGCCCCGGAGTCATGTTAGAATTTTCATAGATTGAACGCGGGGTATTAGTCATAGAGTAACCCATTTTACAGTTAAGCCCCGTACAAACGGACTCAACATTGTTGAGTGTTACATGTTGCGTCCGTTTCTACACCCTGCTGCATGTTGTTGCGTGTTGCTGGGAGTTGTTGCGCAAAGTTTGAAAACTTGAAACCGGTCTAACGTTTACCTACGTGCAAACGGACGCAATAACTCCCAACATCGTTGGACCAACAATGGGAGTTGTTCCGTCCGTTTGCACGTTGCTTTACAGGTGAAAACGAGGCTTGACTTGACCTTGTTTTGATACAACCCTTCGTGCGTTACTATGTCAATCATGTTGTTCTCACGGTAACTAGCATTTTTTAAGGATAATTTCCATAAGAATAGGAAAGAGGCAATTATCAAAACACGGTCAACCTCAGCCCTCGCTTTCAGTCAAAGGTTAGAATACTAAGCCCACAACTGTAAAATGGTGTATTGACTTGAATCTCAAGATAACCAAACATACCCGCCGAAGGTAAAACGTAGCATCAATTGAAAACTTTCGGAGAGGAGAAAGTAGAAGTTATTCGTCTAACCGACTTTCTTTTTAAAGTTTTTTCTTTGATTTTGTACGAAAGTTAATTTATAATGCTCCTGAATCATCATCGCAAAGTGGATAACTTTGTCATTAAGGGAATTAGAAAACCATAACTTTGGTCCCTTTTAGGAGGTAGGCTCATAAGTTAAATCAGTACAGTTTTTAGTTTTTAGTTGGGTGTCGTGAGAAAACTAAAAACGAGTCACGATCAAAGGATAATAAACATAAATACACTAGGTGATAGAAAAATCTTGAGGGTAAGTCACCAGTGGTTTCTGAATTTTTGGAATTCTGATTGTTTTAAAAGTGATGCAAAGCCGCGAAAACCTTTCGACACTTAATTGAAAATTGATCGAAGAAGTTGTCAACATACAATTATTTGCGACAATTTTACTCTACAAAACCGAAAGAGTACAGATTTTATGCCACTTTGTGGATGTTATTTTAAGAAAATGTACATAATGGTATGCATGAATAAAATAATGGTATGTATGAATAAAATGTTTCTAGTAGTGTAGTAGGTACATTTTAGACCTGATTTTTAAGCGAATCCCATCACTGTCTAATAAGGTACTTTTCGTAGATGATAGTCTGCGAAGGAGGTCTCCATGCGTAAATAAACTGTTTAAGTAGTGTAGTGGGTAAATTTTACACCTGATTTTCATGCGAATCTCATTATTATCAAGTGAAAAACTTTTCGCGGATGATAGAAGCGAGGAAAGAGAAAATGGCACTTTTCACCATTCTGAAACATCGCCAAACATCATTTCCAGGTTCACTGAAACTTTGAACAAATACAGAAGAAATTTTAGGTTTTACCCAAAATCAAAGGCTAACTTCTTTGGAAGCAATCTAAGATGGCAATAGCTAAAATGGAATTTTTTATAGATGGTCTCGGTGGCATTGTTACAAAGCGAGTACTGTAGCCAGGGCGACTAAAACAAAGTTGACATTCAATCGGATAACAGGAAAACGACACTACATTTTGAGAATGTTAGCTGTCAGTCGTTACTACAATGAAACGAAATAAACAACATGGATGGAAATCATCCAATCACAACCCACAGATGTGACATTCTTACCCCCCCCCCCCCCCCCCCCCGAAAAAGTTTGTGCTTACTGTCTTTTCTGACCAAAATAGGGAAGAAAAAGTGTTTGGTCACGTTCTAGAAAACTAGCCTAAGCCTTTCTAGACTGTAAAAACATCGATTTAAGACATTAGTCCATGGTTTTGGACAAAAAATGTGAAATTTCTTCCCCTTGACGTTTTTGTGGCGACATTCTTGCCACAAAAATAGCCTTTCTTTTAAAAACATTAATATGAGAAAGTTGCAAAACTTGCATTTTGCCAGAGGGGTTAGTCCAGCGTTTTGGTGAAAAATTTGAAATTTCCTAATCTTGACTTTTTTGGGCCAAATTGATGAAAAAAGTGTTTGGCGACATTCTTAATAGAAAAAATAGCTTTTCTAGACTACAAAAACATTGACATAAGAAAGGTGCAGAGTTTGCTATTTTCCAAAGGGGTTAGTCCATGGTTTTGCTCAAAAATTTAAAATTTCTCCACGTTGTCTTTTTTCGGCAAAACTAAATAAATAAAAAAGAAAGGTGTTGGCGTAATTCTTGCTGGAAAAAAAAAACTTTTCTACACTACAAAATGATTGATAATAAAAAGTTGAATATTTTCATTTTTTCAATAAGGGTTATTCCATACTTTTGTCAAAAATTTGAAATTTCTTCACCCTGTCTTTTTTCGGCAAATTGATCAAAAAAAGTGTTTGGCGACATTCTTGATAGAAAGATAGCTTTTCTACAGTACAAAAGCATTGATATTAGATTAAAAATTTGAAATTTCCTCACCTTGACTTTCTTCGATTAATTGTTCAAAAAAGGACATTTTGAGGACATTTTTGATAGAAAAGTAGCTCTTCTAGACTACAAAAGCATTGATATTAAAAAGTTGCAGAATTTGCGATGTCCCAAAAGTCCATGATTAGTCCATGGTTTTTATTTGGTCAAAACTTTGAAATTTCTTTACCTTGAGTTTTTTTGGCAAAATTTCAGAAAAAAGTGTTTTGGCGATATTCTTGATAGAAAAATAGCTTTTCTACAATACAAAAACATCCAAGATTTTGGTCAAACGTGAAAATTTTCCTTCTTTTCTTTTCAAATGCTTAAAAGTGTTTGGTGACGTGCTATAGATAGAGAGGTAGCCTATCTGAACTACAAAGACATCGCTTTTATTAAGAAAGTCGCAAAATTTGCATTTTTCAAAGGGGTTAGTTCAAAGTTTTGGGCAAAGATTTGAAATTTTTTCACCCATTCGTTTTAGGCAAAATGGGCTGAGAAACAGTGTTTTATGACGTTCCTGACAGAAAACTAGTGTTTTCCAGATTAAAAAACATTGATTTAGGAAGGTCGCCAAATTTACAGTTTCATTTAGCTATTTAGATCGAAAAGAGTTTTTTATATCAAAATCAGGTGTATGAGTAGTACAGGGTGCTCGAAATCAGATGGATAGGTTTTGCAGTGCTCTAAATCAGCCACAGTGGAACCTCGATATAACGAACAATTTTCTTTGCCCCAGTTCTGGTAAAATATAAGAAAAAGGACTTCGATATAACAAAACCTTGTTATAGCGAACATATATTGTCACTCCCTTGGCCCTTCGTTAGATCGAGGTTCCACTGTATTGTCAACAAAAACCATAATAACTTGATTCAGTCTTACCATACAAATTACAATTCTTGACCCAGAATCATAGCTTAACGTCTTAAGGAAAAAAATCCAACGGCGTTAGTGGCATTTTCAAGACCCCCAAAATATCGCCACTTATTCTGTCTTGGTCTATTTATAATATAAAGAAAACACACACAAAAACAACGAAAATTTTCCCACGTTGGGTATATTTATTTTTCATAAAATAATTTCTATTTACACTTTTCTTTTCGGCAGTTGAAGTTTAAAAGTTGCCAAATACATTTCCAAATAATAATTTGTTTTTTAGTAACTTTGTGTACATTCTATTCATATTTACAAATGAATCCTTTTATAACTGAAAAACATCCTTTAGCAACATTGAATATTGAGGGGAAACGATAGCTAATTATTCTTTCGTCCACAGCAGACAAGTTTGGGTCACTGACAAGTCTGCAAAATATACTGTTAAATATTGAGGGTAAACCATAGATAATTTTTCTTTCACCTAGAACAGATAAGTATGGGTCACTGACAAGACTGCAAAATATACTGTCCGTCGCACGCCAAACGCGAGGGCTCTTTGCTCTTGCTGTTAATAATCTCACTAGTCTCTATGCAGAGATTCTAGAGTTATACAAACAAAAACCGTCTACCGTGGTTTACATATTGAATCCGTCCCTGAACGTCAAGTGTGGCCATCCAAGTGAACGCCAGTGAGCGACGCCCTTAAGGTTTTGCTCTCATTTGACAGAACGACGTAAACCGTCCCTGGACAACTTCACAGTCGCCGCCATTTTATAAGCAGAATCTTTTCTTTTTTTGCCCGGCTATAGCAGAACCTTTCTAATCTGTTCAGAGAGGCTTTCAGTTTCAGAAGCTGTCTCAACATATGACTGGCTCGGAAAAAAATACTTCTGCGAGGAACGGAGAGTCAGCAGTTGAGAATGCTTGGCTGGTTCGTAAATTGCTTCATCGGCTTCGTCGGGAAATGGATTCAGAGTTAGGGTTTTTAGATGAAGCACCATGTTGTTTAACACCACGCTGCGACGCGTTTGGTAAATTGTAGGCAGCGGAAAAGCTGAAATAAAGAACGAAAACATGAGGCTTTGCAGGTAAGTATTATGTGCTCCAGTCGCAGACGTAAAGTAATACCGGTCAGTGGCGGATCCAGGGGAGGGGCCCGGTGGTCCCCCTCATTTTTAGATCAAACTAAGGCCCGAAGGGCCGAAAAAAAATTTTGGAGACCGGGTCCTCCCTTATCTCAGCGTCTGGATCCGGCACTGCCGGTTAGCATCGCCGATATCCTTGTTCTGGGCCCCTCACGGACTCAACGAATTACTGGAAATGCGTTTCGATTTTCTCTTCAACCTGATTGGCAAATTGACGATGGTTTTTTTAAAAATGGTGAATCATGGCACCTACTCAAATCCTGGTACACAGGTGGGGGAAAAGATCAACGATTTCGGCGCTGTTTCGCAGAAATTTTTTTCTTGCCTTCGCAAAACCTTTCTTCTGCTGCCAGCTGTTTGACAATTTAGGTGCCAGAAAAGTAAATTTGGATTTAAATCTGGGTAAGAAACTTCAAGGGTTTGTGTCACGGCTGGCAATTTCATTTTGTTTGTAATGCCAATTATTCGTCTTATTCACTACCACTACGAAAATTTAGAAATATATTAAGAACGAATATATTACAGCTTTGTGTAAAACAAATATACCTCCCAAACATTATTTGAAACGTTACAAACAACAAAAATGAACTTTGAAAACCTGCTAGGCTAACAAGTTTACTAAAACCACGATTGCAATCCGTTTCAATCTTTTTTTAAGTTTGTCTATCCGTTCCTCCTTTTGTATTTGTTGTGTTATCCATACATTCTTTCAACATTTTGAGCAGATATTTTTGTTTCACTCAATTTGGTGGCAGTTTCCACTGTTTGGATTTTGAAAAATTTCTTGACACAGCTCCTTTAAGTTGCATCTCGTGCATAGTCGGTATAGGTACATTAAGCTTAGGACACACCAGGCGACCTGCCCAATAAATGTCGAATTATGTAGGGAGGCAGGGGCTGCGGATGGCCCATTTCGGTCGAATCATTTCGATTTTGTAGAACTAGATGGCATAAACACGATGTGAGAGCAAAAACTTGGTTAATTTTGACTCCACGACTGTAAGTGAAGCGTCTGCATTATAGAGGTGCATGTATTACAGAGGTAAGGATATATTGGTGCAAGAGACTTTCAGAATCTAAGAAGAGGACGACTACAAGTACAAGATTTTCTCAATACTAAGTAGTGCGCGCGTAAACCAGCGTCATTTTGGCGGGAAAAAGGGATAGCCGTCGTTATTCTTCTTCGGGTTTTAGCGAGAATGTCGTAGTATCAATTTGCGATCAGAAGAGGGCTTAACCACCTTCAAAAACAATAACCTTGCTAACTTCTCTGTTAAAGAAAAAAGTACGGTGAAGCTTTCCGCGGGGTTTCGATTCCTGGAAATTACGCGAAAAAAAAAGGGTTAAAACTCGTCTTTGTCCTCGAATCTAAAGGTATCTATTCCTGGGACCAAGAGAACCAGTGTCCGTAATAGAAAGGTATCCGTAAGTAAAATTTCGATTTATTGGCAGAGAAATCTCATATCAGGCCTTACTTAGACTTACCTAGCGCAAGAGATGTTTCTCTTTCTGGGTGGCAATGGCTGCAGTGTGTTTCTCCCAAACGAGCTAGGCTACGCTTACTGAAAAAACAAAAGGGTATATACGTTGTGGTTCATTTTTATCCTTGGTTTAAATTTTATTTCCCTTTGTTTTAAACTCATTATCATACATTACCATACCAAGAATAAAATTGAACCACAACTTATATACGTTTTAGTCCGTCATACCCAGCAAAACGTAAACAATGAGATTGTTTCTGAAAATAAAAGAAAAATCAAACAAAAAAAAACGTTTTCAGTGGAATTTACCGGTGTGTTTAGGCAAAAGAAGCCTAGAAGCCAAATTGTTCCCAAACTCAAGAAAAAATTAATTACCTTTCAATTCTTCTGTAACTTTCGCGACACCTTATTAAGTTCCTAAAGCAGAAGTGATCCTTTCCTTAACCGTTTAACAGGGGAACAAAAATTTACGAAACTTTTTTTTTTATTGTAATAAGCAATTTTTTTTATCTCTGATTACTAGGAGCTCAAACTAGAATCCTATGCACTTGAAAAGGAGTCTGAAGGAAGCCTCAATGCATTGCCGTGATCACGGCTATCGCAAAACGCGGCTAATTAATCGCTAATCGCCGAAAGAAGGACACCTACCTGTGTATCTTTGGAAGAACAAGAACCGTGTTTCTGGAATTGTCCTGAACCTGAACGGGAGTCTTTTCTCGAGTCCGCAAGCGTGCTCGTTCCAGTTCCTCCTCCATTCTGATCTCACAGAAGTAGTTGATCGCTTCTGCTGGCGTTGCTGTGTCAGCGGCTTTGCCTCCCAGAGCCTCGACATCAAATGAGACTAAAAGGGACAGGTGGAACGGGTGAGTTGGTAATTGAATGAAACCTATTTTTTTGAAACCGGAGATGCATATAGCTTCTCTAGCTAGTGTCCAGGTAATCTACTTAAAGAATAAAGTAAAAACCCGCTAGTAAAAACCTGGTTTTTCAGAAGCTGTTGGGCTAAAATTTGCCAGTTAGGCCCCCTCTATAAAGAACCTGTTTAGCCTTTACTCACTTTCTAAAATCTATTTTAAAAAAAATTCTCTAGACTTGGGATCCTCTTTGGAGGATAAAGAGCCTTATCACTCAAACTGCAATGTAAATGAAGAAGCTATAAATAGCCTAGGTTTGTACTAATTACCATTTATGCAAGAGCCTGTCTAGCCTAACTTGGGAAAACGAAGGTTCTTACTCGCCGCCTTTTATTGTACTGCACTCTGAGAGTCATGAAAAAATCAAAGCACGACACGATTAAAAACCCCAACTGATAGGAGGGAAAGCAGCTAGTTATTTACAAGTATGGTCGAAGAGTTGAACTCGCGACGACCGAGAAACAATTCTACATTCCCAGTTATAATTATTGAAACGGTTGCCGATTTCTGCGCCCCCTTCCCCTTCAATGTTGATTTTGCAGACGACTTTATGCCCAAGCAAACCCATGAAACCAACATTGGGGGAAGGGAAACATGTATTGGTGAAACCACTCTGATTATCTTGTGCTTTCCGGAAGTGTTTCAACAAAATATGACCGGGATTGTAGCCAGCAGTCCAAGGGGAACTCAAACCCCGAGTCCGACGCGCGGACCACTCACCCACGCTGCCTCTCGGGAGATGTAATGAAACGAAGCAACTACAATGACAAAGGAAAGAAAAATAAGACTTACTGCTTGACGGTTTGGATGTTACTGATGCCGTCCTCTGTTAATACAAAAACAAACAAAATTTCAGGCATGAAAGTTCCGAAACAAACCAGAGATCAAAGAGAAAAAAAGGAGAGAGATTGGTAGAAGTTAATTCGCCAATTGAATGAGTTTTAAAGGTTAATTGAAAAACCCACCTCCGGGCCTCCTCTATCAGTTTTTAAGATACCCTTGATTGAACTAGGCGTCCTTGGAGTCTTGGTTCCTCTGTATAACAGGAGTACAAAAAGCAGGAATCAAAATATAAATTCTCATTTGTTACCCCTGGCCATTCCTGAGACATAATGGGGAGAAAGCCTTTAATTTCGTGACCACTGTGTTTTACAAAGCTTAAATACAGAAAGGAGAAATTTGATGCTGATCTCTCTTAAGGTGATGTTACACGAGATGATTCGCAACAACGATTTTTAGCGCAACACAGCGTTGCAACATTGTTACGACATTGTTTGAAATAGTTACAACATTGTTCAAACATTGCAACGCTATGTTGCGCTAAAAATCGTCGTTGCAAATCGTATCTTGTAACATCTCCTTTAGGGCATAAGATGTTAACTAATGAGAAGAACAATTGTACATGTTATGAAGATATGCGGATTGAAGAACGAGTTTGTCAGTTCTTGTCACCGGTGCAATGTAAGTGGACGTGCCCGTGAACTAGCGTGGTAACGCACAATGATCTGTAGCGTTCGCATAATAATAACAACCAAAAAAATCAGTCTTACTTGACGACACTTCCAGCCTGTGCGCGGCTGATCTTTCCTGCCAGGGAACGGATATGTTCCCTGAACTGAGCAAGCCATTTGTTAAGCCACTGAACACACATGTCTTTTACACGCGCCTTTCTTCTGTTTTCAGGAATACCCTAAAATTTGTAAAAGGGAGCAAACCGTAAACTGACTTCCAAAGTTCATTTGAAGAGGATATGTGGTCCAAATGTAATCGGGCCACATGGCCCTAGGTAACTTGTGACAACTTGAACATGGTTTTTAAATGTGTTTGGTGTTGCCTCCAGATCTTACAATATCTTAACGAAAATCGCATTCAATTAATAAATAGATTCGTATGGGTAGCACATTTCTTGGTCATCCAGTTTTTTTACCGAAACAAGGAAAAACAAAGCTTCGAGTACAACGCAAACAAAATATAGACACATCGCCTGCGCATGCGCCAAAACAACATACCGCTGGACAGGGAGCAAAACATGAGTGTGCTCAGGGTACACTCATGAGCATAATACGCATGCAAAACCTACAACCACAAAAAATAAACGTACCGTGGTATCGAATAAATCCAATTCTTTTGCAAAGTAATTTGCTGTATCTGGGACTCCGATCGAGGCTAACAACTCCCGTACAAAATTCCTGCAAAGCGGGAAATATGCAAAAAGTGAATGAAAAGTCCCAGGTTTCCCCGAAACATCGCCAAACGATAACCATTCATTGCCCCAAGGAAGTTCTCACTGCTGCAAGGTGCATTATGGTCTTGGTGAAAATGGTGACTGATGCTGAAGCGTGCTAACTACACAACGCCAGCCAAAATTCCCACGATAATAGATCTACTTTTCTAAACAAAAACAGGCAATCCCTGAAAAGCCAATCAGAATTCGGATATCATTTGTCATTTTAAAACATACCTGATCTCCTCATCTCCATCGATAAACTGAGCCATCAGTTCGGCCACAAAAGACACTTCATATACCCTCATTGTGTGTGACAGCTGCAGAGCAGCGCGTAAATACTGCTTAGCCTGGGTCGAGCCATGCGCAGAAGGTGGATCCGGGATATTCAATTCAGCCATCATGGTCCGATTGACTTTCTCACACGTTTGGCGACTAAGTCCTTCTTGGCGATGTAATAGCATGATAGCCTACGAAACATTAGAGAGCTTTAGATTTGAGTATGAGATATAACTTAAAGTTTTTGCGCGTGTTCCCTTAAAAAAGACACCCCGGAAGCTTCATTTTACCTTTTTCTCACCAAAAAAGTTAGTACGGTTATTTTATACTGAAGGAGGTTAAGCCCTCTCCCGATAGTAAAATTGAAAACTTCTTACATTTGATAACTTGTTGCCGCTACTACGACATTCTCGCTAAAACCCGTAGTAGAACGACGACGGCTATCACGTTTTCCCGCCAAAATGACGCTGGTTCACGCGTGAGCAATACGCAGTATTGAGAAAATCTCCTACTCGTAGTTGTCATTGTCTCAGAATCTAAAGTTCTCGATTCCAACCTAACTTAAAAACTTGAAACGGTGTTAGGCTACTTGAGACGGGGAAGGAAGAAGACTCATTACTATCCAATAAGTAATTTATGCACAGGAGATACAAAGTTTCGTCTCATATTCATACACCAAGAAGTGGCTTGATAAACTCTTTAGCCCGAATATCCGCATACAAATTCGCCAGACTGATCTCATACATGTCCTTGAAGAATTAGTTGAGAGAATTTGATAAAAGATCGAAGTATTTTTTCTTAGGTTATTAATTCTCATAAACTTTTTCTCTTGATGATGCATTAATACTGTCAGGAGCAAATTGATGTTGGTCACTCGCTAAAATCGTTAAACGAGGTTCTCGCCTCAACTTCATGGTGACTGTATTCGCCATTTGCACATCTACCATAATAACCATCGTTTGAATAACCATCGTTTCCAATTTCTCCTGGGTATTACAGTCGCCCCAAGAGAAATCAAAGACAATGGTTGTGCAAAATTTTTGAGGGCAAACAAAGTGTATTATGGTAGATGTGCAAATAGCAAATATCGGATGATTAATGATTCTGAAAGAAAGTCAAAACTACTATTAACAAAATTTTATGGTAATCAGCATCTACTGTCTACAGTTTTTTTTAACCACGGAGATTTCTTTTGTGTTCTCCTCATGAATTACAAATGAGTTTAACAAATATTTTCGTATATAAAACATACGGCACAGATCTGTGTCTTCATTTCGTGGTCAGGTGTCTTCTGAATCAGACTCAGTAGTAGTTCTACAAAGCTGTCTACTGTCTTCGGGAAGGACTGCAAATGAAAAGTCAAAGCTGTTTAAACTTCAGCCACATCGCGAGACCATTGAAACAGGCACCATTGGTTTACCTATGACTGGCTGTTCTCACACTAGAGACGAATAATCCATCTGCAAAGTCCGTCAAAATTGACGGATAAGCAGATGGATAAAGACACGCGGATTGTTTATCTAAAATTAAAACCGTTCCATTTTCAAATGAAGAAGTATATCTGTCTGACGCGAATTATCCAACAGATAACCAATCTCAGACGGAATGGGATAATCCGTCTCTAGTGTGAAAACTGCCGCTGCCGATTTCCCTAAGTAGACTAATAAAATTCAAGAAAAACTGCAAGTGAAAAACAGGTTGGAGGTCGACCAACATTCCAAATCCCAATTTGATCTGGAAAGACGGCCACAGGTTTATCAGTTCTTGAAGGTGTCAAGTGCTATTCTTTCTAATAATGCTATTTTTTGTTAATGCTTTCTAGTTCTTAGTTTAGATATCAGCCAACCTGAAATCATGCTGAACAAATCTAAGTTACAAACTGGAAAGGTTAGTCTCCTACTTAGCCATTTTGTGTGTCGTCACGCAACGCTCCTCCCAAAGATAGGATCGCAAAAGGAGCGTTGTGTGACGACAAAAAAAATGGCTGCGTACTGGACTAGGAAGGGTTGTATTAAAAAAAAAAATAAAATAAAGTTGAGACTCCCTTCTAACATCGACAGTAAATTGGGTTACGCACTTCATAGCATTCTGAGCAAACAGTTCAAGTTCAACTCTTCGCCAAATAACGATAAATACAGGAGAGCTAGGTATTTCCAAGCATTCTAAGCAAACACTGCAAGTTAAACTCTTCGCCAAATGAAGCTAAATACTTACATCAGAGTTGCCATCAGGAAAAAAGTTTTCAAACCACAGAGTTCCTTTGAACTGAGTTATGAAGGAGGGTAATGGAGTGGGAGGGGGAGGTGGAGGGGTTGGAGTTGGTTCCTTTGGAGGAGGGGGTGTCCTGAAAAATTGAACGAAAAAACGACAGTTAGTCATTGCTAAGACACCGGTTGAACTTGGAAAAATTTATTGCACTGGACAAACTTTCTCTCTACTAGAAAATTACTGTACATGTAGAGAACCTCATTTACAATATTTTTCGATGCCACGAGGGTGAAAATGTTTGATTTAAAACATAACGTTAGCTAAAACACTGGCACACGGCGGGTTATTGCTGGTATTTTATCGAAATTAAAATTGCTGAAGCTTTACCTACGCTAATATATAACGAACAACTATGATTAGATGTTGATATTAGGTATGAATTTAGTTCTTCAGTGTGAGTGTTATTTAAAGTAGCTGACAATGCCCGCGTCATTAAAGACATAAAAGGCAAGATTTACTTATCCCTAGATTAAATTGATTGAGGGTCTCAATGGGGTTGTTGCTTTGACGGTTGACGATTATGAAGTGAAAATTTATTCCAAGAGTTTAAGGTAACTATTAGCTACTGTATAAATTAATGTTAACTGTTGTGTTCCCGGGGTTGTCTAGTCTTGGCCTTTCACTTATAAAATTTCGAAATATTTTCAGATATAAGCAAGTTGTAAGGTTTTAAAATAGCTAGAGAGAGTGTTTCTGCGAACACGGGAACTGGTTTGTCCAGTTAAGAGATTCTATGAAGATTAGCTGAAACAGTGAGATTTGAAATACCTTGACACTTTTTTACGGTTAATATTAACCTCCACTTTTAACGGTCGGCGGCAAAAAATTACCTTTTTTGACGGTTGACGGTTGAATTTAAGGCCGTTTGACGGCTGACGGTAAACCCCATTGAAATCCTCTTAAATTGGTCCGGCTTAATATTCAGTTTACCTTTCCTTAAGCGTAAGTTCATCTGGATTGACGACCTCATTTTCAACAGAGATTAACTTAATGGCCAGCGACGAGGGCGACTGTGGCCTAGCATCCAAATTCTCTTCTTGGAGAGGCAACACCGGACAATGGTGGTCATGATGATTATGCGGGCTTTGTTTGTCCAGTTCCGAGTTGTTTGAATGAATGGGAGGTGAAAACCAACCATTTTGTTTTACATTTACGCTGGACAGCTGTGTTCTTTAACAAAAATTACAGTTTATGGTTTAGACATTTATTAATTCAAACTCCTCAAACAATAAGCGTACATTTTTGTTAAACAAAACGTTTAGGATTTAATGCGTGATGAACTAAAATCTTCAATATGTTTGCTTGAAGTTAATTAGTCTTCCTTCATTTAGTTTTAAACATTTAAATTATTAACTGCCTTTTTATTTCTTAAACTTAAGTAGACATATTACGTTAAAACAGGATTACGCATAGTTTGGAAAACTTTTAAACAGCAGCAACAAACTACCTGCAAACAGGGCTTAAATAAAGTCTCGGCCGGTAGTGCGGGACAGGCAGATTTGTTTCCTGGGCAAAGGTCCAGGCAAATCATCTTCTTACTAAATCATCAACTAAGATGAGCGAGAAATGGCCTGGGCAAGCAAAATATGAGAGCAGCTCGCCAAAAGGACAAGCTGGAATTCAAGCTTTTTTTCGAGCCCTGACAAAGCTCTAACTTTCCACTTGACTAGAAGTTTCTCTTAGGGAAAATCAAGTATTGCCATTGTGCAAACAAAAGATCTAAAGCTGTATTGCTCGTTATGGGGTACTAGATCGACCACGTTCTTGGGCCTGTGAATAAAATCCTACGCTGTGACCATGCAATCATATGAAAGTTGTTAAACAGTAACTTATTCCGGTTATCTTTTATTTGGCATTTTGTTATCTTGCAGATTAAAATTTTAACCTTTACATTGTTGATAGACCGTTCACAGTATCCTGTTTTTTTGTAAAATCGTCAGGATCGAGCACTTAGCGGTACGGACGGCCATCTTGGTTTCATATGCACCCAGGGGACGGCGTCGGGGTTTAAAGCGCTTCTTCGCAAACCGCCTCCCGCCCCTAAGTAGTACAGACACTCATCCAAGATGGCTACCCGCAACGCAAAGCGCTCGATCTCGACGATCTCACAGAAAATAGGGGACTGTGAACAGTCTACCTTGTTGAAACTTTCCATTGAATCAAAGGATTACTCCGATTACAGTTGTACTTACGGTTGTGGTGTTGGAGGCTTTGGGCGCGTCACTAATTTCTCAATCGGCTTAAGTGGTTTGATTTCCTTTTTAGCGGATGGGGTCCTCGGGGGAGATGGTTCTTTCGCGGGGGGAGGGGAAGGAGGCGGTGTTGGAGTGGGAGACCTCAGCAGTTCGCTATCATCCAAAGGTTCTGGTGATGGTATATCTCGTAAAGCAAGCTGAAGTTGATCAGCGAACTTCGATTTTGTCCTGCTCCGCTTTTCTTTTGGACTCTCTGGAGATTTTGGAAGTTTCTATACACAAAGAAAAAGAGAAAAAAAATTCAAGCAAACGTACTGAAGATTTTCGTTCATGACACATTAAATCTTAAACTCTAAAATTTTTAAACTGTCGTTAAATTTTTCCCTTACGCAGTTAAGGGCTCAAATTGCCTGTTGCGAATTAAAAGGAGATTTGAGTCCCGTAATGCTTGAGGAAATATTTCATGACAGTTTGAAAATTTCGAAATTTACAAGGATTTGTATGGACGACCATGCAAGCGTGACTGGATGGCAAAAGTTGTTTTTCTCATACAGCAAATGCTTCTAACTTTCGGTGGCCGTTGCAATCGCGGAACTAGCTTAAAGGTTCGTCTAGAAGCAGTGAAAATTTCTCTCCCGTATTTACCTTCTTTCTGCTTTCCAGTTCAGCTAATTGTTCTGCTGTGAGCTGAGGTGGTTTCCAGGTATCTGTTTCTTCCGTGCCTTCTTCCCGTAAATCCTTAAACATAGCGACAACCACAGAGTTCGGAATAAAACCATCGGGCGCAATTACGAACGTGTCCTCGTCTCCGTCATCAGCTGAAGAGGCCAGTCGCGAGAGTCTTTGCGATACAAGCTGGCGAGATTGACTCGGTGACGGGTACCGATCAGACTTCGGCACGTCGACCACGTATCGATCGCGGTCCCGATTCACCAGTGGTGGTTCTATCGGATGACGTCGGAAGTCCTGTCTGTGAGAAGGCGCCGAGTGGGATATCCTGGAACTTGTTTCCTCGTGAGAAAAAATCTCACTCTCTGTGTCTAAGGTAAAAGGGCGTTCAGATCTGTGAAGAATGAGCCATAAGTCGCTGTTAGTAATTTACCCTTCCAAAGTTACTTATATTCAGGATTGAAGTATTTTGTATGTGCCTAGATTGTTTGCTCACGCATCTCATCAACGTTTGATCCATTAGGGAGCTTAACCCTTTCACTGCCAGAGTACTTGAGTCTTCGCAAACGTTATCTCGGCCCAGTTTCCTTCTCGTTTCTAAAGTGGTTGAATGGAGCTGGGGTCAATTTAATAAGACTTTTACAAGTGTATTTAACAAATAGATTCCATGTTACCGTGCGTCTGTTCAGTAATAGATCACAGATGACGCGCAAAATGTGACAAAAACAAAGAAGCCGGCAAGTGTGTCACTGATGTTTTTACCACATTTGAATCACTATTTGAATAGCTCCCGCTAAACCTTTTTTCTAGGCTTTCACTTGCTTAATGCAAAATAATCTCACAAACATTTTCAAAGCCACGCACCATGTTGAACAAAACAAAGAAAACAAGTTTCCCCTGACGTCATCCATGTATCTGTACTCTTATATGGGCATCGACCAATCACAGCGTAGCATTCACATCATTGTATGAATAGCTATTGTTCTCAGACTCTAAACCAATTCCCCATAATCCTATTACCTAATTTGTCACACCACATAAGTAAAACTGTTAGGAGAAATTTGAAGCTGGTCAGTGTTGGTACTTTACCAAAAGACTAAGTGATTGCTTTGGTTTTGCATTTCGGTTCTCTTTGATTGGTTAAGAAATCTCGCGCCTTTTTGTCAACAAATCAGAAGTAATGCCAAAACCGGTCGGGACTCGTTCTTTGAGTTTTCCCGCCTTTTACGCAGGCTACGCCTACTTCCGTCTAGTTCTCATTGTTTTAACTGGACTGACCTGACCGGCTGTGATTGGACAGAGTAACCACTTTCGAAGCGATATCACAACATTCAATATTGAATAGCTGGTGTTACAATTGATTCTGAAGTCAAACATTCTTTTATTCAAAACAGCTTACGAACGGTATAAATGAAGAATTAACTAAATCGACAACAATTTTTAGTGGTCTGAAATCTTTTCGACCATAGAAATGACGTCGATGACGAAATGTTCAAAACTCAAGTGAAACCACCAACCGCAAGCGAGTGGTTTCACTGCACCGTTGTAAACATTATGACGTCATTTCTATAGTCGGTGAGAGTGCAGACCATGGAAAATTGATTGTTGTCGATTTGTTTTTACAATAACAGTGACAGCTTTTAAAGTCCATTACCATTGACGTTTCTTGGAAAATCGCGCGCGCGACAAAGACAAAAAAATTGAGCCACCATCATGCCATTTCCATGGTCTGCACTCTTACAAGAGACAATTCGCAACCTTGATTTTTAGCGCAACACAGCTTTTCAATTTCTTTCAGGCTTCTTTACGCAATTGAATAAATTGCGTTCACTGCGACGATCATTTCTTCATTTCCATTTCATTTCCGCAGTTCATATATGATTTATTTCATATATCATTAACACTTTTTTTTTCTACAGCTTTTCAATGTTGGAAAAATGTTGTAACTATTCGAAACAATGTCGCAACAATGTTGCAACGCTGTGTTCGGCTAAAAACCGTGGTTGCGAATCGTTTCGTTAACGTCACCTCTGTCGACAGTTCGACAAATAAGCGAGTGAGAAATCACTCAGTTATTGTAAAAAGCCCTTTCGCTTCGTTTCCATTGCTGAATGTACCGCCGATAACTGAAACAACAAACCAATGGGCTTACCTTGACAATTCATCCTGCTCTTTGCTTGTGGGCAACACAGGTGAGTCCCTGGCATCGTCTTTTAATTGTATGGGCTCGAACTCAGACATGGACAGACTCATGATCGGCGCTTTCGGAGCGGATTTTTCTGAAGAAGCCTCCCCCTTCTTGGATCTTGTCGACTGTCTGCTTATTGAAAAAAATCCGTTGCCTCTGTCGGGAGCGTATGGCTCTTCTTCCTCTTCATAACCATTTTCGTCCTCTAAATCGTCGTCTGGAAGATCGATACAAGGTCGTTTGTAGAAGATTTCCAAGTATCTGTCGAACGCTTCTCCGCGGACTGTGTCTAGGTCGATGTTTTGTCGTTTCCGGCTAAATTCGTAGGTTCCATCGCGAAGTTTGCGCAATTCGCTCTCGCGTTCTTGGATTTTGGAAAACGCCTAGGGAGGAAAAAGATGATAACAATCAGATGTGTTCCGTTTAGTGAAGACGTCCATCCTGAATCAGATTGCTACAAAGTGGGTGGTTTCTTAGCGTCGGGGATGGCTACAATCACCAGATCACGTGATACAAAAGATTGAGAAGAGACTGAACAATACCTACACCACAGCAGCGGCGTTTTCGAGCGACGTACGTCTACCGGAAGTGGATTTTTTGCACTCTTCGGCCGTGATTTTGAACAAATGTTTGGACAAATCGTCTCTTGAAGAGTAAGGGCACTTAGCAACACTAATTTGGTAACGTCAAGGGATATTAAAACAGAAAAAGGCTCACTTCCGGTTAACACGCGTCGCTCAAAAACGTTCCCGCTTAAACTCCCTACAGTTAACAAACGATAGCTTCCGCAACATCCATAAAGTGGCGTGATTCAGTTGATTAGGTTTCTAATTGTCAATTGACCGTGATAAGCCAAAGTCTGTGATGCGCGTGTTTTGTTTGTCTATTTGTTTAATTTTTCGGGCAGTTGGATGAGCGGTGAGCGCTGGAATTCCGGGGACCATTTCAACGTATCTGACCGCTAGCTGGATTTGTTCTTAGTCCTGAGTTCAAATATGGCCGCGATTGTAAAGTTCGCCTCCTACCAGTTGGGATTCTTAACCTTGTATTTTCCATTCAAATTTATTTGTTTTTTGTTTATTTTTGGATTGCATATGTCGTTATGGTGGAAATTCCCGCCATCGATGCTAAAATTGCTCAATGGCCAAATCAAATTGCAGGTCAAAAATCTTTTCTCATGCTATAAAGTAAAATAAGAACTATTAACCAATTGAATAAATTAGATTCAACGTTGATGAAGCAACATAGTTCATATAAATGAAGTTCTTCCTTTTGTTTGTCTTTTTGTTTTTTGTTCAGTGTGGATGACAAGAAAACCAACTGGTTCATTTAATCCGGAGCCTGACCGCTGCACATTATTCTCGTTACATTTAGTTATATCTTGTACTGTAATGAATAAATTGGCTAGCCTCCTACCAGTTAATATTAATTATTATGACAAAGCATATTTTAAAATTCAAATTGATTTTATTTCATTATCCCTGAAAAGTCCCATACGGGAAGGGAATAGTTACGTATTCATCATTTATCATTTTTTTTTACCGTTAGCAAACACGTGTGGTGCCTAACCTGGCTTCTCCTTTCTTCCTCCTGAATTTTTTCGTCCATTTCATCCTGTGGTAGCCTGTCTTTGAAGCGGCTGTATTTGTGCAAGGACGACTTGACTCGGTTCAGACGCTGACATTCCTCGGATGTTAGACCAGCTTTGATGTCCGAGTCGATCTCGATTGGTCCTTCGGAGGCGATCCGTCGGAAATCCATCGCTACCATTCGGTAAATATACGATTGGGGAATGTCTACAAGGAAGGGAGTGAAGGCAAATGTAAGTCGAATTTTAAAAAGACAACAAAGAAAATTGCAACCGTGATGGAGGTTTAGGTATCGGGGCTTACAGAGAGGAGAGGTTGTTACGTCATGTTACCATGGTAGAAAAAATTTCTGGATGACAACAAACCGAAAACGTCACTTAAAATGTGAATTCGGACTTTTTCAAGCTTCATCGATCTTATTCAATTTCATTTAATTTGTCAAATGTTGGCGACATTTTCTGGGGTTGAATCCGAAAGGACCATACCTAAGTTTAGAAAAAGAAAGATAACATTTTTGTGTTGTGTTCACCTACTCCATAAAGCGGACGTGTGAAATTAGGAAGTTTCATGTCGCAGTCGTGCAACGACGGCTAAGAAATGTGCAAAAAAGCGTGATGCACGTGCAGTTGAAGGGAGGTCACTTACGAGAGGTGGTCGCACATGGAGGTTCGACTGTACTTACAAGTGGCATAGTTAATCTTATGTAGATGTTTGCCAATGCCTACTATAAGATCTCCCTTCTGACTGCAAAAGCTGATGCTGTTGGGAGTGGCATTCAACTTTATAACGCGCAGAAGTTTGTTGGACTCATCCCAGATCCTCACGGAGCCGTCAGCGCTGCATGACGCAAACAGCCTCATCTTAGGGCAGCTGGCAAGTCCCGTGACGTCATCCATATGGTCCAAATCACTATCATGATCAAACCGCTCTGAAGGGAAATTGACACATGCAGCATGTTAATTTGGTGAAAGAAAGCCACGTCGCTCTTTTGATTTACAAACGTGTTTAGGAATGAGAATGAGATCCGATTACACTAAAAGTTACCCGTAAATTGTAATGATTCTTAAAATTTGCAGAAAGGAATTAAAGGCCATAATGTTTTTAGAAATAATCATTATCTTTTACTTTGTATCCCTCTTACTTTTGTTTTTTCCCTTTTGATCATTTTTGTTTAGTTTGTTTAACTTTCTCTTTTTTGTTTGACTGTTTGTTTGTTTTCTATTCAATATCATCAGTATCATTATCATCATCATCGTCATCATCATCATCATCGTCATCATCATCATCATCATCATCATCACTATCATCATTTTGCGGCCAGACGTCCAAAGTGTTTTGCTTCGCTGTTGTTAAATTGCCGCTGAGTAAGTAGAGAAATGATTCAAACGTTTGACCGCGATTGAGGTGCCTAGAAATATTATGATACGTATTTGTATAAAGCACTTACTCTTTTGAGTAGTTTTGAACACCACGATATTATACGAAGCAGTAGCAGGTTCGTGGAATGCTGCGCAAAGTTTGTGGTGCGCTACGGTCAGACGTCGAGGGGTTTCATGGCAGTACAAGGTCATCAGAGGTGCCAGGGCCTCCTCAGCAAACGGGAAAAGGCGCCAAATCTTGATCGCATGATCTGCAACAAAAAAACTACCCTTAGTTTTTGCTAAAGAAAAAGTCCTTGCATCACGAGAACTACGGTTTGGCATGGTAACCCTAGAAATTGAAAACAGATACGACTTTTCTGTGCAGACTAGTGTGCCAAAGTTCAGTAAAATCATGGTAAAACTGGCGATGAAGCCGGCGATGGATTAAGTGGATGACGCAAACAAACGGGCAGAGTGCGCGCATACAGTATATATATAGTGCACGCGCAAGAGCGTTCTTTACCTATCCGCGGCGCCCTATTCTTTACAGTATATACTACTTATTAACCGAGACTGAGGTCATTACAGGGAAATCTCAATAAATCAAGGCCGAGCTCTGAGATTTGCCTATAATGACCTCAGTCTCGGTTAATAAGTAGTAGATACTGTAAAGAATAGGGCGCCGCGGATAGGTAAAGAACACTCTTGCGCGTGCACTATATATATATACTGTATGCGCCAGCGATACGGTCATGTGACACTGGTTAGCGGATACTCTTTTTGACAGCTGTCAATTGACCATAACAAGAATGTCCAGAAGGATGTCCATGGACATCTAGCTAGTATTGTCCGGTCATTACAAGAAAACAGCCAATCAGAGCGCGCGTACTACTGTAGCCATATAATAAATATGCGTTTTTGACCAAGCGTGAGGTCAGAATGGCTGGATATTGACCAAGTTCTTTTGTCGCGCTTTCATGGACCAAGACGAACTCGAGGTCAATAAAATTGCTGCTCACGTTCTTGTTTCTCTTATATTGGGCAAATAAAAGCGAATAAGGAACCTATAGTTTAGAAAACTGTATCGGCCCAGCGGACACATGTAATTAAAAAAAAAAACCCTAGACTCACCTAGGCCAGCTGATATGACTTGGTCTACAGCTGGATTTGCTACCATAGTAATCACCTCATCTCTGTGAGCCTAAAAATAACAACAAGCTGTGTTAACTACTGAGCATGATCATTAACTGTGATGATATTCTTTGCATTGCACGAGGAAGAGAAAATTGATCTCGAAATCTAAGAAATCAACAATGATTTCATTGTAATTTCTTGCTGTGAAATGGCGGTCGTTGAGACCCTCAAATTTTTGAGCAATATATCAGTGATTTATTCTCACGCGGGAGTTAGAGGCAAGAACCTATCCTGGCAGATAGTCATACGACACTTCATTTGACGTGGAGTCTATGCTTAGCTTTAGCAGCTAGTTTACAGGTAATCCACGGCCCTAATATATGCTAAAATTTATGAATTAAAAAAAATTTATTCTAAAAATTAAAAACTAAAAATGTACAATAATTCATCATATGAAAACTATAAAAGCTAAGAATCGATAAGAACAAAAGCAACAGGCAGCAGTTACTATAAATCCCGATGGACCGTTGTTCATTTCCGCATTCCTGGAAGGGCACCTAATCAAAGCTTGAGATCACAGAATACAGTAATTTGTATGAAATTATGACCTCGTATCATGCGCTCACCGTAGCGGGATAAGGGGAAGGGCCAACGCAAGAAAAGGAAAACGCCTCTCAGGGTTTTGTAGTTGGCTTTCATTTGGTTATCATAATAACTATCCTAAAGCTATCTATTTCACACTACACTACTTCCAAAACTGATCTGTTTGGCTAAGGGTTACGTTTTGTCTTTTCTTTGTTGTTTACTTGTTTGTTTAAAGGTTTAAAAAAAGGCTTGTTTATAGTGGAAAGTGCACTTAGCTTATCCAGCTAGTTTACAGGCACTCCACTCAAATACTTAGAAACAAATAATTCAAATACAACATAACAGGATTAAAAACCCCAACTGGCAGGAGGCAGCCACCAGCTGGCTATTTACAAGCGTGGCCGAGGATTTGAACTCGTGACGACAGAGAACAAATCCAGCAAGTGGCCAGAGCGGGACTTGAACCAGGAACAGCCAGAATGAAAGTCCGACGCGCTGACCACTCGGCCACGCCGCTTGTGTTTTATTTTACTTTATGTCCGCTGAACATATCCATTACGTCTTACCTCTACTTTAAAGGAGACTTTGCCTGGTGCACTATCATTCTGCCACTCAAACAGGACGATCGTTCCATCAAGACAGCCACCAAGCAACAGAGTTCGGTCGTAAGCGTTTGCTTGGCCTTTGCTCTCAAGCTCTTCGGCTCTTTTCTTCGATTTGAGGATGGTCACTAAATCTCCCCATGAATCCCCTCAAGTTCATCTAAAAAAAATGTGTTGGACGTTTTATTGAACATTACTCTAAATCAACACACCACTAAGCACTTTTCTGGGCTTCTGTCGTAGGGCAGTGCTGTTACTGTTCGTCACTGCCAAAGCATTTTGGTAGATTTCCACGACAAATTGAGCTTTTGTCTGGAGTTCAAGAAATGGCACTAAGAAACTGCCAGGGGGTGGGGGAGGGGCTTGGTGTAGATATGATTAACATAAAACGACTGGTACTCTGTGACATGTATTATCCTCCTACTATCAACGACTCACTTTAGAAAGCTGGTTTACTAACTTAGAACAAAGACGCCACTGATCCGTAGTCAACAGTTACCGGCACCGTACAAACGACTTATTGACGGACTCATGCAAAACTAACTACGAGAGAATGACTGGACAACTGACAATTTGACTAATAAACGACTGTTAAACTGCGACAATAGACGGATCGAAACGCACCAATGACATTTCGAGTCTTCATAGCCAATAACATCGCGGCTTAGTTGACCAATCAGATCAATAACCAGAGTTTAATACCATCAACTGACGTAAACAAATCACTTTGACTCTAAAGATGACTACCGCACAGGTTGTCGAAACGTCAGTCATTGTCAACAACAGTCCTATTCAGGACTACGTTCACCCAGGCGATCATACTCAACCTACTTACGAAATGAGCTCCTGGGTTCAAACCTTTCTCAAAAAAGGGAAATCTTGGTCAGATGCTGTAAACTGACCTTTGTCCCAATTGTAGTTAACGTATATGTGATTCCAAAACTTTCTTTTTGTTAAGTTTCTTACCTCAACCACATATTCATAAAGGCAAAGACAGCTGCACGGACTTGGAACTGTAACATGAAATAGAAACATGCTTAGTTTTCTTTCCACAAAAGATTGGCGTTTTTTCCTAGTTGATTGCGGGTATATAGTGCTAATTATTTAGTTCATTTAAGCAACATTCGCATTTTGCTTCAACAGGGAAAAAAATTAATGTTTAGCAGGCTACTGCGACATTTTCCGCTTGTATTACCTGAGCTTGGGCGTTGTCATTAGGAAAGGCGTAAACAAGGCTTAAGTCTATAGCAACGTAAATTTGACCAACGACAACCAAAAAATACATCAAGAACAAAATGCGGAGCATAAACGGTTAGGACTACGACAGTCTTTCTTTTTTTCTTCCGTCTCGAATATTTTCGCGCGTTTAGTCTAATGGGTCGAAAACTGAGTATAGATAAGGTATGTTCCAACAAGAATGAAAACCTCTTTCGACCAAAGAAGGACTAACAAGTTGATCATGAGAGAGCCTCTCTAGCCTGTGCTTGTGAGGTGTACTACAAGACGCGACCGCAAGATAAAAAGTTTGACTCTCCTAAAAACATAGCTAACTCTTACAAATGGTTCTGTTAGAGAAAGAAACCTTGGACTTTTAGTAAAAGATAAACGACTCTTACCATCTGGGTTGGTTTTCATGTCCCATTCCTGGAGTAGTTTACATGGATTTGTTAGCGTTGAGGCCTTCAAGATCCTACCATCTGAGAGCAAAGTAAACAGCAAATCTACAAACAAAATTAAGAAGGCACAGTAAGAAAAAGTTCTGCATTATGCCAATTATGGAACCAAAAACTTAAAATGATGTTCCCAGTGATATGTGATGGAACGTAACGTAAAGTAATGTAACGTGACGTAACGTAATGTAATGTAATGTCGCGGATAAAAGGGCAACAGTGCATGTCCTTTTTACACTCGCATAAGATAACACTTAAAAGGAATTGATCATGAAAGAGATGTACAAAACGACTTTCAACTTAAATAATAGATCAGTAGTTTCTATCACAAAAGTAGTTACTTTGGTTTATACAGTATTACACAGTAAGTCGCATCACTCTATAACAACGAGGGAGTGCAGAGAAAACCAATCATTTCTTGTTCGCAAGCATTTGAGAGTGCATGCGGGAAAACTCGCCCTATTTCAAAAGAGGAGTTTAAAATAACAATCTTGTTATAATCGTGCCTTTGAAAAAGAATAACTGGGAACATACTTTCAGCTGCAGCATAAGCCACGTCAGCAATTATACTCATACTGGGTAACAGCATGGTCGTGATGCACTCCCCGGAGCCTGGGGACAATAGGCGAACTGTTGCGTCACTGCAAGTGCACACCAGTCTCAAAGGCATCTAACAATAGTAACAAACATATAACATTGTTAACACAAATTACTGCTACTGTTGTATTCAATAGAGAGGAGAAGTGTGACGTCATGTTCACAGTTGTCAGTAAGGGCCGGTAGCCAACCAAAACCGCCGGCTAGTTAGCCATCCTTTCATCTCCTTCTACCACCACTTTTCTAACTGCTAACAAAAATTAAGCACCGTCGAATAAAATTGTAAAGAATTCGTTTCCCAGTTTTGAATGACATTTAACGCGTTTTTAAACAGGTTTAGACCTGTGAAACGTTCGAACCGTACGATGTCGTGGAACGCCTGGGACATTTCGACGGCAACGAAATGTCCCAAGATGCCTCGGCCCTCAAGAACTTGTGCCTTTGGTTTGAGTTCCAAAGCCGCCTACTATTCATTATCAGCCTGCTACTAAAAAACTTTTTGACAGCCCTGCATGTTACCATGGTAGCAAAATTTCTGGATCTCAACAATCTTTCTTGACAGAGACGGCCATTTACCTTGTCCAACGATGTATGGGCTACCGTTTTGTTCCTGAGCGCAGTCATGCACAGGAAAGTCATACAGGCCAGTTTTTTTCGTTTAACCCTAACCCTTCCTACCATATTTGTAGGACTACGGTTTGTTGAGATCTAGAAGTTCTTCTACGATGGCAACGTGACGTAACAGCTACTCCCCTCTATTTAATGATTTTCACTCAACCGAAAAAGAAAAACAACACTGTTTCAAAAAACCCGGTGGCAGGATACCCATAGTTGCATTTGATATGGACTGGGAAGAGGAGGAGAGGTCAGCCAAAAACCACCTGGTGGAGAATAGTAATGAAAGAGCTGGAGGAGTTGGGTTTAGAGTTGCCACAAGTTGACTGCGTCAGCGCCGAAGGAGTGAAGGACGTTCGCGAGGTGGGGGAAAGGGAGCGATCCCCCTACATGTCTCTAACAGAAACCGGAAACGGGCTTTGACAAAGTCCAGCGTTGGGTACAATATGGGGCGAAGTGCAAGCCAAAGCTCGGGATAGGGTTGAGTGGCGGCGTTGTTTGATTGCAGCCCAGCAGGGATGAACAGGTTAAGTTAGTGAGTGAGAGTGAGTTTCAAAACTTATGGGTACCACGTTCCCCTAACTACCGTGTCACATTCCCATTGCGACCATGCCACGTTTCCATATCCACAGTGCTACATATACAGTGTATGCTCCTATTTGGAGCTTGAGACTTAGTTTAAGCAAACGCGCAAACTTAGTTTAAGAGTCTGTGGAACTGGTTTTTCCTTGATTAAAACCTTTACTAAAAATACGTGTATCGCAGACCCTTGCGAAGCTAGTGAGGAAGCCCATTAATTGTCAGGGATGGGAGGGCGGCAGAGAATTGGAGTAAAGGTTTATTGATGAAGAAACACTTTTATTCATGTACTTACTCTTGGATGTGTTGTAGTTTTGATGGATTTTACTTTACTCCTACAGAGGAAATGGAAGTTATAGTCATAAGACAGTGGCATTTGCATCATTATTTTTAGGCCTGATACTGTAAAAAATTCATGTTCAAGTTCAAAAATGAAAAACAAAAAACACTCCTTTACTATTTGTATTGTCGTGTTATTTATACCTGCTTCCTACAAAAAATGACCATCACCTACTTACCCAATGGCAGCAAAGACGCTATGAATATGCTCAATTCTCCACAACTCAATCGATTTACTTCCAAACGAATACAAGTCATTTTTTCCTATAATTGTTCCCAATCCAAAGACGTGTTCCTTGGTGCTTATGCGATCCACTTCATCAGCAGTATCCAAACTCCAGATTCTGATGGTACAGTCGCTTGATCCTGACATGATGTACGTACCAAACGGATAAACTGCTAGAGTGTTAACTGACTTTAAATGTCCGACAAAGATGATTTTGATGTTCCCTTTGTCATCCCAGACTTTTATCGACCCATCCTTTGCCCCGGTTACAAGGTACTAAAAGAGAAGGTAAATAAGCGTGATTGTCAAACACTGAATCATTGGATAATGCAATTCTGGATCTCTAACTGGCTTAGCCATCTTAGTTTATGAGCCATTATACTATGCTCACCAAAAATGGTCACTGTATGCATCTGCTCAAAATTAAAAACAAGCTGAAAATCGGTTGTTTTTACATATAAAGTCAGGAAGAATTCTTGATATTTTGTGGGCATTTTTAATAAAACAGTTATTTTACTCGCGCTTGTTGGATTCATATGAGATGATTATAGCCAACTCATATCCAACCCGCACTAGTGAAATAATAATTGTTGACTTACAAACTCTTGGGTTTAGCAAATGCTGGAATTAGCACCTGGGCTAAGTCTGAAATGTCTTCCATCTACAGTCCCTAGCCTCTGGGCGATGCGGGACACGCCCCAATGGGTTAGGGGGTGGAGACGGATGGCATTCCAGACTACCAATGGCACTTTTTGCACTTTTTCAAATAAATTTTGAAGTATTCTTATAGCGCCTTACTGGTATACATTAGCAAGCAAATGACAAGCAATACATCACCTTCAGTGGATTGAAGAACAGGGCAGTGGTTATTTCTCGGGGATGCAGCTCCTTAAGGTGACCCTCACAGGAGCCATTCAGCAGGTTGTAAATGATCACATTATTGTGATAAACTGCAAAACATCTTTGAGATCTGCTGGGTGTGTCTTCTAAACACAGGATTGAAATAATGCTGGTTGCTGGCAAACATTCCTTGGAAAATTATAAGCAAAAGAAAAAGAATTAGAATATTTTCTTGTTAACTTAATGTCAGTAACAAGGTTCAGGACCAATATTGCACTTTAATAACTGTAACTGTAAATACATGGCAGGCTAGATTTCATCAGGTTCGGTCTCACTTGTTCTTTTCTTGGGCTGGAAAGTGGGTTCATTTTCCTAATTAAGACAGCAGCTGGTATCTGAGCCTCCAAAGAAGGGATTTTGGAATATGATCTAACTGAAAACACTTAATGTTGTAGGCAGGGAATGTAAACAAGTTCACATGATTGTATTATGAGGATTATAATATAGTTAGAAAAAGGCACTTTGAATGAGTTGTATTTTTCTTAGCCTAACTATTTTCTAGTAATATATTTGTTAGCTTATTTTTATTATCTAAGGTTTGATAAATTAGCTCATGAATAAATTTCTTAGGGAAGAGGAAGTCAAAAGGTATAAGATTGGTAGACACATGTTACAATTAATCAAAACACTCACTGACAAAACTTTCCGCTGAAGTAGAAACTTTGCCCCATATCTAAAGCTCCAGCACTGAAATAAATAAATAAATAAAAAAGTATCAAATAAGAAAAAAAAAAACAGGATTAGGTAAGACTGATGAGTTAGTTGTCTGGCATTCTGATAAATAAATTAACATCATGCAGGTACATTAAGCCAACAACTGCTCCAACAAGAAACAGCAAAATTTTAAAAAGGGACTTACGGTGATGTTTCCAACTCCTCCAGTTATGATCTCATTTGTTGTCTCATTATACACACCACTGATGAAAGATACAGTAAAAATTGTCATACTCAGTTGTTTAGACATGCATTTCAGCTTTCATTTACATCAAACTCTAAATTAACACATTACTCAATTATGCAATTATTCAAATATACCTCTTAACCAGCCATTAGCAGTTTCTAGAACCGCTAAATTATTTGCACCTTGTGCTAATTAAACTAGATAAAAAATATTGAAAACTTTAACTGATCATCTATTTTTTTTCTTGAAAAAAAAAATAATAATAATAAAATAATATTATAGTGCATGGACCTACCTGAATATTCTACTAAGAGAGGTTGCCATGCTGACAAGTTTAAAGCCATCTGACAGTAACTGCAAATTATAGAAAAAATATTAACAATGACACACCATTCAAAGAATGCACAAACTAAGATAGAGATGTTAAAAGATGCAGTCTATGCAAGTTCGAAATGAGACAGTTGCTTCTCTTTGAAGCCCTTCATGCTTCGAAACTAGCATGCAATGCACCTTGTTCATAATGACTTCTGTTACCCACTGATTACCCGCAAATACCACAACCTCTCACTGCTCCTTGTCACTGGGGACATTTCATGAGAGGTATGTCTTCGTTTTTACCCAAAAATTCCATACTGATGGGTATAAAGCAATTACGTAACTAATCGTCTGTTTGTGCGGTTCCATGCAGATGCAGATTTTTTCAAGTTTCTATTTTTCCTCGTTCTGCTGCAAATTTAATGACAGCAAAACTGAATTACTTCTTCAAAGCAACAATTATATTCCTAGGAAATGAGTGCTTCGTAATAAATTCAGTGCCTTGCAAAATATTGATCTTCACAACCTTTCATCTTCAGTCTGTCAAAAGGAAACAATAGGAGAAAGATTATGCAATCATGCCCTGTTAATACAGACACTGAGGGGGCCATAGAATGTGTCCGTCTGTATTTATGGAGTGTTGTATTAAGAGGGTTGAATTTAGAGAAAATTAGAGGGCTTTCCCTTGCAAGGAACAAAGCAAACTGTCCATAATAATGAGATGTCAGTATTAACCGGGTGTCTGTAAAGTGGGATTTGACTGTAACTTTGCCAACTAATCAGAGCTTCTGACCAGATTCTGGGCAGAGTTATGTCATCTGTATGGAATTTTTGGGCTAAAATGCAGCCATCTCTCAGACTGCACAATGACCCTGAGCGATGGCATTGCTGAAGTCGGTTACCATCTGATAGACGTGGTCATGCAGTGCGCAGCCCCTATCAGAGGAGACAATACAGTCAACAGAGTGGCCTCGAGTTATTGCAACCACTCTAGGACCACGAAAACTGTAGTAATGAGGTGGTTGTATTGAAATTAGCCTTCGAGATAAGGATCGAGACGACTGGATGGTTCTGATGTTTGGCTGAACGAATGTAGTCATTAGTTACAAGATGGTCATATGAACAGGTGCCGTAAGGCTTGGCTCCATTGTACATCTTTTGAATAATGTGCAATTAAAGACCCCCTGGTAAAGCATTAAATAACTTACTCTGATGTTTTCATCAAGTCCCCAGGCAGCATAGAATCTAGTTTTCTTAGCATACACTATTCCACAAATGGGACCTTTGAGGATGTTGGAGTCGACGGGTTCCGTATAACCAGTTGCCAAATATACCGAAGCGTTTCCCTCTCTGTCAATTCCAACAAAGTTATTATTAAGAGAATTGAAAGCCACAAAGGCGATTTCTTCTTCAGACGCCAAAGATTGCACCGAATGAACACCATGTCCCACATTCAAAGCCTGTTTCTCATCGAGTTTCTTCGGGTCATCGCCGTGTTCTTGTTTTATCGCGGATTTGATTAGTTTCCAATGCGAGCTAACTTTTAAGTCTGATTCGTCAAGCACGGGTCGTTTCGTCCGTGTTTCGATGAGTTGCATAAGTTTGCTAGCCATATTAAAAAGTGCTTTTGAGTTACAGATTCCGTTGTCGTATGCGAGATGAGATTTCCCGCCCGCGATGAGCAAAATTACCGCGATATTAAAAATTTAGCCATCCCAATCTTGTACCGATTTCACCTTATCTGATATTCCACATCACTTTTTCACAGCACCAATAATAATCCATATAATTCGATTGATAATAAAGTCACAGATGAACTCGATAAGAAAGTCACAAAAGCCATATTCAAAATGGCCACTTTCGTTTGGTTTCTATGACAACATTTGTCAACGCCGTAACTTATGCAGTTTACATAACGAAAAATATGATTTTGTGTGAATCCGCTGACAAGCAAATTGATTTTCTCTTACTAGTTACTTGTCTGGCTGTTTTTCTCTTTTTCTGTGATGCCAAACCAAAATCTTTCTGAACTAGATAAAGAATATGATCTGCGAGTAACTGGAGCATTCAAGATCGGTCGATCTCCGCTTTGTAACTTAACAGTAAGCGACAGTCATGTTAGCAAAGTTCACTGTAGTTTGAAAGTCTGCAACCAGACTGAGCTTGATTTGAGGTAAAGTTCTATGTGTGTGTATGTATGTGTGTGCTGGAATGGTGTTTTGGTTTGTTTTGTTTATGTACAGTAAAAAAGGATTTTATTTTATCGGCCTTAATAATCGCCGACATTTCTGAACAACTTATAACAAGTAAGCACGAACTGGTGTTACTTCCGGTTTACAATTGGCACCAAGTACTAGCCAGCTCTGCGATAAGGTTATTTGATTGCAGTTATCATGTACCAGGGTTCAATTTTTGTCTCGTAAAACAAATTCAAGATGAACACGAGAAAACAGCTGACATTTCACAATGCCACTACAACAATTATGCAGAAATTCCATACTGAAGACGTGTCACTTCCCGGCAGTGCTTTTGATTGGCTAAAATTTACTTCATCCAATGAGAGGCACTACGCAGATTAGGGAGGAGATGTGTCATCAGCATGGAATCTCTGTGCTCATTTTCAGACGTCATTTTTGCAGAGAAACCAGTGTTAGAGTCGTGACATGTCAGAATGATTCTTATCGATAAAACTGGCATAAAACTACTTTTGTGTAGAAGCAATAAACAGTAAACTAAAAATAGGGGGAAAACTTGGTTGTGTAGTACAGATTCATGTTTGCCAATTGATATAAATGTGAATCTTAATCTCTCTAATATTCCCAAACTGGTCCCTGAAAAGAGTTAACAATAATGGAAGAATATATTGTAATCATTCTGCTGCTGCAACCTATCATATTTTTGTGTTGCAATATTAATTACTGCTGATGAATAAATGTAGCCCACTTTACTTTTCAACAAAGAGGGTACCTCAGGTGGTGCTATCAGATCTCTGTAGTGTCATCTTATTGCCCAATAATCATCTGAACTGAGGCCAGGCCTAATCACTGCCAGTTTGAACTTATCCTTTGATGAAATGATGCTGGCTGGTTGTCAGACTAAATTGGTGGGAAGAACATTGTGGTTTTTCTTAGTAGCTTATGGACATTAAAATATATAGATTTAGCCAGGGCTAAAAGCGAAGCTCTGGTTAATAATACGTGTAAACAAAAAAATTAAATCGTGTAATACTAAACGGAGGACAACAGTGAAAATGGCTTCAAGACTAATAGATCTAATTAGCAAAAAAACAAATTGCACGTGCAGCACACTTTTTCTTCTAATTAGCAAAAAACAAATTTGCACGTGCAGCACGCTTTTTTGTCTTTCCCTTGCCGTTGTTTTGCACGACTACAACGCTGTTTTGTACGACTAAAACGTCAAACTTCCTAGTTGCACACTATTTTTATCCAGAAATTGTCGTATGTGCTTACCCAATATTTTGTTTCCAGTGTTCATGTTCGCTTTTAATTTTCACTGCTGCTCATTTTCACCTTGCTGGGCGCTAACATTTCTCATTTTCTCAGCGCCGCTTTGAATTATCATGTTTTTCTTCCTTCGAATTTTTAATAATAGCTCTGGCTGTTATGTAGTGTACATAAAAAATAACGCCGAAAAAAGACACGACTTTTTCTCTCTAAAAGTCTGGGCGGCCATGTGATTTCCTTCCAAATAAAACCTTGAGTTGCATTTGGGTTCCCATACCTGTTGATTGAGTTATTTTACATTGGGGACGGGTCACGTGATTACCAAATTTTCTGGGATGGGTAGACAAAGTCATTAAATAAAGCTATGCTAACTGTCAGTATAATTTACTTGAGACTTTACTAAGGTTCCAGTTCCACTTCAAACCTCATGCTCTTTCTAATTTTTATTAAAATGTGAATAGTTTTATTTTTTTGGCAGTGTTTGTCCAAAAGTGAAAGTCTTTATTACAGACCACAGCTCAAATGGGACCTGGATTGTCTCTGAAACTAGCAATGCAAAAACAAGACTACAGAAGGAAATGCCCACTCAACTGAACGAAGGAGACCTTATTTTGCTGACTCGTTCCACTGATACAAACCATGATGTCATTGCCTATAAGTATAATCAGTCTCCATTCCCACGAGTTATGAAAAGCATTTACAGACCAGCAGAATACTTAATTCAAGGAACTGAGGATTTGCATCAAAGTAAGAAAATAGACGTTGTAATCTGTGAGGAAACAGAAAAACCTATTGCCAGTGTAAAAGAGGATCATAGTGAGTCAGAAGCTGTGGTTTTAAACAAGACTCTGACTGAAGGGTGTTTGCGTAATGATGAACCTTTGACCAAGAATTGTATTGAATGTGGCGATCTCAAACATACAGGCAAAGGCATCGAGATTCATACACAGAACTTTGGAGGTTTAAACAATAATGGAAATGTAGGCAACACAACTACTACTTATAAACCAGCCCATTTAGATCAAAATGTTTCAAGTCTAAAACAAGACGACAAAAAGTCTCCCAATTTAAAAAGGAAAAGCGAATCTGGTGATGACTTTGTTTTGACGAGGAAGGTGAGGTTTAAGGAGCAAATGGAAGAGCATTTTGAGCAACCAGAATCTTACATTGGAAGCCCTTTTAAAAATGGAGAAAAGGGCATTGAAAACTTTAATATCCAAGCAGAGTTCAAATCTAGTAAATATTATACTTGCTCCGATGGAATTGGCAAAAGGAGTTCTTCTCCATTTACGAACACTACATGTACTTCTACCCATGATAATATAATACAAAAAAATCGTGGTAAAGGTGAAGTCAAACCCTGTACTAACTATTCAGTGGCAAAGAAACCATTAAGCCCCTGTAATCCGTTGTCTTACGAGAGCCCGTCAGAGTTGTCAAAATTTATGGAAGTTACAGAGAAACATGATTCTTCGTGTATGAATGTTGAACATCGTAGCAATGCAAGTGGTTCCGAAGGATTAGCAGATGACATTAAAAGTGGAGACAATTGCATGGAAAACCTTGAAAACCATGTGGAAGACATAATTACTGGCCATAGAGATAGTTATATTGGCTTCGATATTATTGGCAAAGGGAGTACCACTCCGCTGACATCCTCTCAACAAAACTCTTATACCAGTGATAACGGAATACAGAAAATATGTGCTAAAGATGAAGTCAAACCCTGTGCCACCACTTCATTGGCAATGAAAGCGACAAGCCAGTGTGACCAGTTACCTTCTGAAAGCCCATCAGAGTCAGGAAAAGAGAAACACAATTCTCCGTTTGCAGATGGCATTCCCATCTTGTTGCCAGCGTCCTCTTCCACTCAGCCCCCTGGGAACGAGGTTGATGACATTCTATATGGTAATTGCGTTCAGTGTGGTAAGCCGATACCACAAGTTACCATTTCCTTGCATGAAACAGTTTGTGAAGGCCTCAGTCAGGAGGCTAAAAGTCAAGATCATGTGTCATTATCATCGCTTCAACTTGAAAGTTGTTTGCCTGGAGATCATGTGAGGATTTGCGATGCTGGAAACGCTGAGAGAAAGGAAGACAGTGGTGTTCAAGACGACATTGAATGCGTTGAGGAAAACGAGCAGCTGAATGAGACAAATGGGCAAACAGATAACAAAAGTGATAATCCTGACGAAAAAGTGAGTGAAGTAAGCGAGGAGAGCGGTAGTGAAACTTATAGATCTTTTCCACGTACATGTGAGTCTAAAGAGGATTTAGGTAATTGTGTTTGGTCTAAGATCAACGACAAACGCGCTGATACAAGCTGCACATCCGGAAACATCGAAGGAAATATCGAAGAAACATTTTCAGGCTCAACAGAGCAGAATGAGCAAAACAGGTCCCTTGAAAGCGGCCCTGTATTAGTCTCACTTGATCGAAGTCAACCCACACTTGAGAAAGAAGAATCCAAAGAAAGATGCACGTTCTGCTCAGGTTTATTTCCTGTACCGGAACTCGTTATCCACGTTTCAACTTGCTCTAAGACTAGCGGCATGGCAAGTACCGATTCAGAGGACCCAGACAGTGTGAAAGAAGCCTGTCCTTATTGTGCAAATTACCTTGATGTTTTAGCTCTTGTAGAACATGTTGACCAATGTAAGCACCTGTCAATGATAAAGGCTGTTGAAATATCGCGGGAAGATTGCTCCCAATCTTCTCTCTCTGACCCGGGCTCTGACTGTTCGTCCAGAAGCGAGGACGATTCTCCGATGGAAGATAAAGAGCTCTGTCCAAAATGCCAGGGAGAGTTTTGCTTGTTAGAACTATTAAGCCATGCTGATAAATGTCTAGGGGAAGTGCGCAAATCTGGTTCTGGCTCAGAATCTCTGCGAACAGATATTCGGGAACATATTAATAGTGACGATGTTCTTGATCGTAAAAGAGAAAGTGAGAAAGGTGTCGAGAAAGATTGTCCGTATCGTGAGGGCAAAAGTATTGAAAACCATAGGTCGATTGAAGAAGAATGTGATAAGAAAAACAGCAAAAGGTTTGTAATCACCAGACCAGATAATGAATATATCGATGAAGACGGTTCCAAGCTTAGTAGAGGGGGAGATGATGAAGATAGAGCTTATAGTTATGAAGTTAGACTCGTAAAAGAGGATGATGACATCACACATGGTGATGATGTCGGTGTTCATATCGATGACGAAAACAACACCGGCAGAGATGGTAAGGATAATACTGAAGATGGAGATGATACTGATGACTTCGCTCGCGGTCACCATGACGTCCGTCTCGGTGACGACGAAAGCAGTGCCTACATAGACGACGAATTTGTTTCCTCTGAGGATCCTTCGGGTGATGGTGAACATCTCCTTGCAATGGAAACCAGCGAAGATGACGCTGATCTTGACCAATTTGAAATCTGCCCGAAGTGTCGTAAGCTATTTCATCTGTCTTTGTTGGTCGAACATGCAGCTAAATGTAGCGTAGTTTCACTAGACTTGCAAACAACCGGGGAAACAAAGACAGAATTTTCTAACTCAACCACCCCATCTGAGTCCTCTACAGCAGCTCCCATTGTTTTCAGTGACTGCAGCGTCTGTGGAGTACGGTTGCCCGTACACATGATGGGTATTCATTATCCCAGGTGTAAGAAGCGGCGTGCTTCAAATAAGGGGAGTGAATGCTCCAGCCAGTCTTCTGAAAGTGACCCTGCAGATTTTACGGGGCAGACTGGTGTCCGCATAGACAATCTAACCAGCAGAGTAACGGTCGAGGATGAAAAGGATGAGGCACACCCAGGATGTAAATCCGGAGAGTGGCCATCATCATTTGTGACTAAAGTGATTAGCTCTACTGGTAGTAGCGAGAGAGAGGCAGGTAGAGTAGAAGGAATTAGCTTAAAAAGAACATTTTCCTCGCTGGATTCATATCACAACTGCGAAGAACAGTGCATCTACTGCTTTAAAATGTTTGCTGTGAACGTTCTTGTAGAACATGTCGAAGCCTGTGCAACGCTCAATAAGGTAAGATATTTTTATTTCCCTGAAATAATTCTTAGTTAATATCTAAAACATGCCAGTGGATAGTGCTTGTTGTGGCCATTAGAGTATCAGACTTGTAATTCGGAGGTCCAAGTAGTACGTATCGCTGACCGCGAGATCACTGAGTGGAGGTCTTTCTTGTCAGTTGTTATTGCAAGTTCAGCGTCTTCGCCATTTGTGTAAATAGCCTATCGGTTTGCCTCCTCCTGTAGGTATAGCCGTTAATCTTCAGGCGTTGCTCTGGATTTAGCAGGATAATTTTTACCGAAATTTTTTGAGAGACAGCGTGGCCTAGTAGTCGGCGCATCGGACTCCCAATCCGTCTGTATCGTGTTCGAGTTCTGTCCCCCGAATTCAAATATTCGGTCACGCGTGTAAATAGCCAACTTTTTGCCTCCTGCCAGTTGGGGATTTTCATCCTTTTATGTTCGATTTGGATTATTTGTTTATAATTATTTGAGAAGGGTGCCTTTAAGTTACCTTTGATGCTAAGTGCACTTTCGCTATAAATAAATCTTTACGTACCTAAATTTTACCTTTTGTCAAATATAGGCATACCGAAGTTGGCTATTGGCTTACTACCAGCAGCAAAAGGTTAAAACGTCGTGATTCTCGGCTAAATGAACGGACGAAGTCGCGAGAAAATACCATTACCGTATTTTCTTTTCTATATACTATATTCCGAAAAAAATATAGAACATACATGGTGAGAAAAAAATTCGGTTTTTAGGAAACAGCTTTCTCTTTAATACAATTAACAGTCAAGTATCGAACTTTTGCAGGCTTCATCCACAGAGGAACTGGAGCAGTGTTGTTATTGTCTACAGACGTTTCCGTTAAGCGAGCTTATCAACCATGCACAGAACTGTGATCAAAAAGCAATCTCTGGCAGCCAGGTTTGATGCAGTGTCTTATTGTTAGATTTTATTATTTGAAAGTGATTTGTTTTGATTTTTACCTTTCGTTAATAAAAAAAGAATGCACAAATGTGCAGCAGAAATATCAGATATACTTAATATAAAGTGATACTCAGTAGTTAGTAAAGAGCATTAACCCAGAGCAAGCACCTCCCAACTAGGCCTATGTCACGACGTTTTCACGGACCTGTCTATTTTTAGATACACTTTAGGGCGCTTTTTCCTGAGTCCATGAGCGCATTTGAAGTATGAGATATCAAAAAAGAAAACTAAACGTCATTCAAAAGTCACAAATACCATTTCGAGGACTGTAGTTTTTGGTGACTGATTTGTGGGACTTAACAGATATTCTAAATTCGCGCAAAAATAGTTCTAAAAATAAACTGGTCAGTGAAGACGCTGTGACACGGGTACATGGAAGCTGCTCACTTCTGGTTATGAGCTCCTACTGAATTTCAAAGCCATACTGTCTCTTACAGGAGAATTCACGAGATGGAGTCTCATCTGGCAGCCAGTCATCGAGCACAGAATTACTTGAGAGATGTATGTATTGTTTCAAAGACTTTCCAGTCAGCAAGCTGATCCGCCACGCACAGAAATGCGATGGTGACATGTCAGGACCTAGAGAGAGGTTTCATGGTTTCTTGCCCTCTATCCATGATGTAAGTGAAAAGTCAAAAAAATAGATGTGGTTATAATTTGCGTAAGGTATCAATCGCTTTGTAAAGTAATCCGGAATTCTTCGCTTTGGAATGCGGAATTCAGCTAAAGGAATCCGGAATCCCACTAACGATTGCAATCCGGAATCCAGGTTCCACTACCAAAGAATCCGGAATCCAGAGAGTGGAATCCAGAATCCAAGTTCCACTTGCAAGGAATCCGGAATCCAGAGAGTGGAATCCAGAATCCAAGACTCTCTTGGTTTTCCTTACATGGGGTGATATCAATTTTTGTCACTGTACATTAAGGGAAGGTGTTGGCAAGATTCATTGCTTCTTGGAAATCCAGTCGATATCAACGCAAGTCCCATAACACTGATCGACCTGGCCTTTCTTAATCTTATTATTTGTGTGGACTATGGGGTCCTCTTGTTTTTCAATATGGTGGCCGAAGGGGAGAAACGGCATATTGGAAAACGTTGAGACCTGGGGTCGAATTTGTGAATATGTAGTCATGGTTTTTTTTGGTAAATAACACAGATCTTTACTCACGTATTGTTTTGTTTCGATTCAGTTACTTCACAGCATAAAAACAAACTCTCCCTGGGATGGACTTTTATCCCTTATAAAGGGAAAAGTAGTGATATCCAGTCAATTCATCTAAATTTTTGCTTAACCCGGCTCCCGCCTTGAGGAATTGAAATAAAACAAATTCTTTCCTTTCCTATCTTAATCTAAGCAGTCTTTACCTAGTTTTTCTTGTTTAGTTTTGTTCTTTATGGGGTTTATAAATGACCATTGATATTGTTTTCAGTTGAGTGCTATTTCATCAGTCGCCATATTAAATGACACTCAACGAGCCGCTTTACAGTACGTCATCACCCGCTCAGCTACAGAATCCAAGAAAGTTTCCTCTGGTTTACTTACACGTGTTCAACGCCTGGGTTACAGTGAGAACGACTTAAAAAGGTTTGTGTACAGCTAAATGTATAAGTGTTTTCCAAGTCTGAAATTAAAAATTAAAGAAGGTCGTTGTCCATTAGGGACCAAATGAAATGTCTCAGTAAGAATTTCGAAAAAAGAGCAAATGGTAATGAAATACTCTGGGAAAAGTTTTAAAATATCTGAACACCCTTCAATTCCAAACAACCAAACCATTCAATCGTACGGACAGTTGTGGAAAGAAAGTTTTTAAAAGTTTGGTTTGCCTCGAGGTTATTCCGGTTTTCTCCAATAAATCAGGATAGCCAATAGAAGTTGTGGAATTGGAAGTAATATTCTCCAGTGGATCAAGTCCAATATCTCTGTACTTGATAATGTTATGTTTAGGCTAGGACAGCCAGTTTATCCCAGTTTATCAGGAGGTAGACCAGCCAGGTTCTCTCATCAAGGAAAGCAAATAGTGATAACGTTGCCCCCTTGATTAACTGATGCTTTTACTGAGATGTTGTTCGTGAGACGTAAATCGTCTCGATTGTTCCTTGGTTTGCCGTTATTACCGTTTCCCTCCTAATTAACACGCTTGGAGAAAGTCTTTTCATCCCTTTTGGATTTGGGGCTTAGAAAGGCTGGAGTCTTATTTCATGATAATTTTTCTTTATTCATGTTAAGTGGGAGAATGTAATCTCGTACCCAGATCTCCCGCGGAGTGAGATCTGGGTACGAGATTAAGGAGAATCTGGACATGGTTGCCGAAGAACGTTAACAACGGACATGGGCTCTTGCACTAAATTTTTGTTTATTGTTTATTGTCTTTTACTCAGGACCTTACAATGGGTGCGCAGTGCCGCTCCTATCATCATCCACATCAACCTTGACAAAGTTTTGCATTTTCTAGTTAAAGACACGCATTATCGCAACCAGTTTGAGACTGGAACAAGCGGTGGTTCCACTGATCTTAAAGCTAGAAAATCTTGGGAGGTGAGAACTGAAACCATGAAAAACGTAAAACTATGCATACAATAGGCGGCCTGTTGCTGAAAAAGTCGTTAGGTCATACATTAGAGAGCTTTAGATTCGAGGACGAGGACGACATTTAATGCTAAGTTTTCTTGTCTATTTTTTCTAAAAATAGACAGCCCGCAAAGCTTCATTGTACTTTTTTTCACCATAAAAGTTGGCACGCTTATTTCCATTGAAAGAGGCAAAACCCTCTCCCGACAGCTAAATGATAATATTTCTAACATTTGATAACTTGTTTTTGCCACTACGACTTTCTCGCTAAAACTCGTAGTAGACTGACGACCGCTACCAAATTTTCCCGCCAAAATGACGTTGGTTTGCGCGCACGCTACTTAGAATTGGGAAAAACTCGGTGCTGTTACAGCTGAAATATCGACCATCTCTTTTCCTCGACCGATCATACAAAATCAGACCATAAGTTTGTGATTCGTGGCTGCAACCATATTCCGTCCTCGCAACAGCTTTTTGGGAACGTAACGCAAACGAAACTTTTGCTGTCCTTTATCCTAATGGCAATCGCTGCAGCACGTGACGTGCACGGAGCTTTTTGATAAACATGCAACGAAGAAAAGGACAAAACATAAGTAAGCAACGTGAATAACCGGGTCATAAACGCGGCCCGGTTTTAGCCCATTTTGTGAGCGTCGGTCTGTCAAGAGGGAGGTTGCGGGTTGAAAAAAGTTAGCAAGATCATGCTGGTTATAATCTAAGATTTTTGTTTCCAAGTTCTGATGATCGGGTCATGAGGCTGTGATCCTTCCAAATCAATTAGAAGGGGACACAAAAAGTCTCGCACTGCTGTACGAAAAGAGTAGGGGACGCAAACCCCGAGGGTTTTCTCTTGTAGGGGGAAGGGGAGGGGCGGTAACGGGCCCGCAGTAATTGGCGTCACACGGTTGCGGTTACCCTGCCCTGTTACTATTGTATGATTATGGTCATAAAAGTATTTTTTTTATTTATTACATCTTATTATTTTTCACTGATTATCTTAACCTCTCCATTTCTCCTTAGGATCGAATATTTAACAATCATTACAAGCGTAGCAGCCCCTTGGAACGTGTCAAATATGGCGTGCTAAACATAGGTACCAACGTGCGTGCTCCTTTTAACTCACTGACGGAAATCCATGCTAGTGTTATTTTAATATGTCAGTTCTCATTTTTCTTCTTACACCCTTTTCTTTTCCCCTTCTATCACACACGTTAAAACGATTGACAGCAGCAATAAATTTCCAAGGAGGATACCTCTTATTTTGCGCCGTCTTGCTTTTTTTTCATTGACTTTCAGTTTTTCGTTGTTTATGTTCAGTTTGCAACTGGTTTACTCGCCTTGTCGTTCCAGGCCTAAAGGAAAGGAATAGCATCATTTTCAAAAATTGTTCTTTTAAAACTCTTCTTTGTTACTCATGAAAGTTTAACTGTCTAGTCGAATCGATGTAGCTTTGACTTTACTGTAACACATACAGCGCCGAGGGAGGTAATTAGACGTTGAATCGACTGAGCCGTCATGATCATTCCTCACAGTTTACATACTGCTATATTTTTACTGAACTTGCGTCTTTACTATCTTGTTTTTTTTTTCTAGTTGGTGATCCCCTTGGTGTACGAAGCTGTATTAATTACGGCGATTCCTTTCTTCAGGTAAGTCGAATTTTCAATTTCACTTTTCATAGTTTAAATTACGCCGCGGATATGTTTTATTCTACCAAGTTTGACTGATCGTGAGTCAAATCGAACTGTCAATCTTTCTTAGCTACTACTTTTTCCCTTATTTTCAGCTAAAGAAAGTTCGTCTTCGTACAACGTTCGCCTCAATGGATACTTCAGGAAGTGGAGTAAAGTTATCGTGCTGTGAACATTATGAAAATGTCATGTACGCGTACAGCGACCCCGAGATTACCGCGGTACAACAAATAATAACATTTATAATAACAATGGCACAATTTTGGAGGTGTGACGATGGTGATAATGGGATTGAAGAGTCAGTTTATTAGTAATGGTAACAGGACTGAGTGGAGTCCAATTCGGTCTGTAATCATACGAGTGATTAACAAAATCGGACGACCGGGTAGCGGGAGTCCGATTTGTTTAATCACGACTATGATTACAGACCGAATTGGACGACATGAAGTTCTGTTACCAATTAATCATAACTTTAACAAAATTTGCGATATATAGGGCTCTTTTTAATTAAATCAAAACACAAGAAATTCCAAGATTTTTTCGCTAGCAATGAAAAAAAAAAGCCATTTAAGCGCGCGCGTGATGGCGCGTACTGTCCAATTATTTAGGCATGACGCGTACTGTCCTATTAAGGCTGAAATCAGGGCAGTTGAGAACCAATCAGATTTCAGAATTTTGTTATAGTTATGATTATGGGATAAACAACACGAGAGTCACATATGCAGAAAGAGTGCATGGAGGTTAGGAAAAATCTCAAGTTTGGTGTCGATCGGGCCAATATTGAACAAGATACAAGTATTTAAAAACTTGAAAATTTATGAGAAATGTATGTGTACACGCACCCTCCCCCCTGCCCGCCGACCAAAAAAACGGAGCTGCTTTTCCCAGGTTTTTCTTTTGTCGAGGGTTCGAGAGTAGGTTGCTGCTATACTTAGGCCATGGATTGCCGGACACATGCACCTTCCGGACGTCTACACATTTGTTACATGTAGTAAATTTTGAAGGTTTTGAATGGCTGTATCTCGTTCAATATTGGCCCGATAAACACCAACCTTGAGAATGTTGCTAATTTCAATGTGGTCTTTCTGACTACATGGGTCCTGTGTTGTTTATCCCATTAACCTCACGATGCAAAAGTATTCCTTATAGAGGCTCTTGACCAGTGTTTGTTTTCATCCGTTTTGAGTGTCATTCCTTGTTTCTAAATCAAGCCTCTCTCTTTCTACTTTTTTAGATCATTGATGTTGCCACGGGAAAGGTTCCTTTTCATCGATCAGATTGCATCTCGCATTACAAAGAGGTAAGACATTAAGGAAGTAAACTTGCGTCGAACTCCACCCCACCCCGCTCCCTCGACCAGATTCTTTGGGTTATTGCTAATCAGAGACGCATCCCAGATTCGTAGTACTGAGATCTATATAGTTTTCTAAAAGGCAATGGCATCAGGAAGCGAGATGATAAACAGTGACGAGCTTATCAACAAAATCGCCCTTATTTGGTTCTCCACAGTCTCCCGAAATACTCTATTCCCGCATTCAATTTTCGTTCTCGACAACGGACAGGCCGGGCCAAGTACCAAATGCGTTTGGATATATATATAGTAACATTAAAAATTATGTAACTTGACCTCAGGTTCAGATCCATGGACCCGTGAGCCTATCAGAAAATGTCGAATGTATTGTAGTGAACGCTCGCCACCAAGCAGACACGCGGATAGGGAGCCTCCTGGACCTCTTTGTGGAGCAAAACAAATGTAACCTTATTTGGATGGACCCTGATGACCTCACTGGGGTAGCACCTACTCCACATGGTGCCTTTGGACATCATTTGAGCGCTGGATCACTCTCCGGTTCTCTTGGAAGGAGAAGATCTTTAGGACGCACAACAACTCGTAAACGGCGGAAGCGATGACGTCTGGGCCTTAACCTGGGCCGTACAAAATTAGACTAAATTTCTGCGAGACTCTGATTTTCAGAAAGACAGGTTGCCACTTTTTTTTCAATAACTTGATTCCTGTTAAGTTTTTACACTGATGTAATAAATGGTTGCAGTTTTTATCACCCTTGTTTGACTTTCACTGCGCTTACCTTAAAAAGGGTTACAGTTGTATGCCAGCTTGTCCCTTTCAATTAACGGGGTCCAATGTTTACTAAAGAAACAGTAGCGACTGTGCATCTTGTTCTCTGTTTTAACCAGTGTTCTCGCAGAGAGGTTGTATTTAAGTTTCTGACAGGGCGAAGGCGACCAACCCCTTTAGCAAAGTTGGATCCAGTACCCTCTCTCCCCCCTCGCCGCCTTGACGCGCACTGCTCCCCAAAACCTTCAATCGGATAACTTCTACTTTGAAAACTAGAATTTTTTCATTTTGAAAGCAATCCACAATGACTTAAGGTGCGTTTTGCATTCTCGATTCTTAATCGAAGAGGTGTCTCTTAGCCTAGTCATATTGCTGTCAAAGGTCTTCACTTACGGGGTTGGGGAGCACAGAAAAATTAAAATAAGAATTAAATCCCAAACGGTGGGGGTGTGCCACCCAGTTCTCCAAATCCATCCTGACCCTATTTCAGACCAATAAATGTCACTTTTAACATTCGTTTTCAGACCTGGCCAGTAAAATTCCATTCCCGTTTTCTTCCTCATTTATAACTGAAACGGTGAATACGTTCATACACTCGACAACAGTGACAATAGCGACAACAGTGAAAACAGCGACAACAGTGACAACAGCGACAACAGTGTGAACAGTGACAACACTGACAACAGCGACAACACTGACAAGAGAGGCCAGTTCTGAAAACGGACGTTCAATGACATTTTTTAGTCTGAAATGGGGTCAGAATTTGGAGGACCGGGCGGCACACCCCCACCAAGAATTCAAAAGAGTACCACCTGGGAGTTCTGTTGTATATCCTTAGACAAGAAAACCTTGCTTAAAATTTGGCTTAATCTTTGGTGAAAGTTTACCATCTTTCGAGGAAACCGGGCCCTGGACATTAAGATTGCAGGCTCCTCTTGTCGCCCGCAATGAAAGTGTGGAGTATTTCACTGTCATTTTCGGTCGGTAAAAGACCCCAAAAGGGCTACCAGATACATTTTATGGCTGTGTAAAAGTCGAGAAAAAGTTCTTTTTTGTCAGTGATTTATTCAAATTTTAAAGACGAGTATACGAAAGGCGTAACGTTTCTGTCAAAAATGGTATATAGAAGGGCGAGGGGCTGGAGCTCGGGGAGGAGCCTTACCATCTTTGTTGAGTATCCCAGGGAACTGAGCCAATGACGGGGGAGTTTTTAGTCTTTTTGTGGACATTATATATGCACTCTTGAGAGGTGATATGGAACGCATTTTTGGGCAAATGGTCTCTATAAAGTAGAGACGCTTAGCAATACAAATTTGGTAGCGTCAGGGCTTATCAAAAGAGGAAAATTTACTTAGCTTCGGGTTTACGTTCGGCGCTAAAAACACGTCACTGCTTAAACACCTGCAATGATATGCAGTAGCCTACGCCACAGACGAAACTAAACTCTGGAACAAGGATATCAGGGCTGCTTCGTAGACGTTACCAGAGGGCACCCAGAATCACAACAGCCTACTAGAAGCTAGGTTAAAAGGATTTGTATGGGAATTTATCGTAAGAGATCGATAAAACGGTTAACCAAAACATTAAAACTTTTTAAACTTGCCAAAACGGCGTTTAAAGGGCAGTAGCCTGTGTGCAGACGCCCCGCTCCCCTCAGAAAAAATTGGAGAGATAGACAATTCCGAGGGGAGGGGGGCGTCTGTACACAGGCTATACTTTCTCTTTCACGGCCGTAGGCGAACGAGTACATCACGAAAGGGAGTCACGCACAAGCTAGCGTGACAACCAGAATTTTAAACAAGGAAACCAACATGGCCAATCCTTCGCCTGTCGACAGTTTTTTCGCGACGTTTACCGGCCTGAAAACAATTCTCTATCGAAATATAGCTCTGTTAACTGTTATAATATTTCCTCTAGCATATCAAATGATCATTGTAGATTTTCTTAGCCAAGAACACAAGAGTGGAGCTTGTAACAATACAGGTAAGCAGTTTCAAATGTCTATTTAATTTTGCATCCTTTTTTACATCTTCATGATCGCCTTTTTATGGTTGAGAACCCCAAAGTCAATGATAGCCCGTAATTAGGTAATTTTATGATGAATGGCTGGGCGATTTGGATTTTCCTTTACATTCACAAGGTGAGGATTTGATCTAGAACCTTATGACGTTTATTATTCACACCGTGGTCATAATATTCAAAACATTGAATTTGTCTTGTCGGCAGGTGTCCTGCTCTTGGACTTAAGGAGTTTATAGAATTGTATTCGCTGGCTACAATGTATATAATGTTATATTTTTTGCGCAGAAAACTGTCTAATGGCGATGGGAACCAAAGACCCCAAAAAAAATAGTAGTGGAATCGGAGGAGGAACTAAGGTATAATTAAATGTGATAATATATTAGATGGCGATTTTTATTTTTTATTTTGTTATTTTTACTTACTTATTTTTTCATTTCAAGTCGATCGTTGTGAGGGCTATTTTGTTTCAGGGCTCATTTGTGTGTTATTGTTCTCAGATATAAAAGCGTGTACCACTTTTTGGGTCGAAACGGGGCGGACAATTCTTTTGTAATTTGTAAACAGTTTATTCACTGTCCTTTGTTCCATTGTCTCTTGTGCGATTTCTTTGTCGTCTGTGACCCAAAAATATTACAAAACTATTTGCATATTATAATGTAGAAACCAATTTAAATTTATATTGTAAAATGTTATCTTAGAAAATTAGGTGAGCTGATCCAAAAATAGTTGCATACCCTTGGACATCGAGTGACAGCGGTTGTCAAATAAAAACACGCGACTACTTTCACTCACGGTCAAAGTTGTATGGTCGACGTCAATAGTTAAAATAAGAGTCGCTTAAACTATTTCAGTTCGCTTTCAGGATTGCGATAGCGTAGGGCAAAAAAATATGGGCAATCTCAGGCTCGAATAAAACTTAAATAAACGTGTTTTGTACACCTACAAATACAGTTGTTATGTTAAGTAATGGTCCAGATAAGAAGGAAAGGACCAAAACGCAGTGAACACGTCGGAATGTAAAAAGGTGCTAACTTTACTATTGTCTCTACTAAGGTTCTGATTGGGTTAAACATCAAATTTTACGAAATCTTCGCAACGCAGCATGTATATTAATCCCTTTTTTTCTATCCAACTTCCTTATAACAAAATCTCGTCTGAGTCTAAGTAACACAGAAATCGTATGTGCGGATCATGTAAAATTGTGAACATTTCTTGGCCATTGTTTGCAACTCTTGTGATTGGTCGAAATGTTTTAACACAAAAATACACCCTTTAAAAGTGGAGTTTAAATACATTTTCTTTCGTAAACAGCCTTTTTGTAGATTTATGCATTCTCTGCGTAAAAATGAAAACATTTCTATGTGAGGAAAGCGTATTGCGCCACAACAAAAGAAATTGCTTCCCTTCTTCCCTGGATCATTACTTAATAATACAGAAAATAACATGCCAGTCTTAGTCACCTGCACGTGACTGTCACAAGGTGTATTGTAAAGCCTATACTAATGTCTACCGTGACAAGTGACGTTTAAAATGTTTAAAATTGCCTTTCTTAAATAATCACACCATTGCCGTCCGTATTCTTAAGCTCCAAACTATTCACAATTTTCCATCACTGCTGTTAAAAATGTGCTCCTGGTTGTTCATGTTTTCCTTATTACACCAATTTGCCTTTTCGACCTTCTTGTTGCCGTCACCGTCGTCTTCGCTAATGCTCCCTAGTGGTGATGACGATGATGACGATGATGATGATGATGATGATGATAGTGATGATGACAATCAATCAAATCAACCATTAAACTTTATTTACCCTGGAATTTACAGTGTAGCACTGAAGAGCTAATATCAATGACGAAGATGATGATGATGATGATGGTGACGTTGATGATCTCTTTTTCAGACCAGTCCCCTATTCAATACGAGGCCTGTGTTAGAAATGGCAAATTACACAGGAATGATGATAGGCTCCTTAATATTGTGTCTAGTGGCGGACGCTATTGGTAGACTGAAGACTCTATTTGCATGTCTTCTCATTGCTTTTATTGGAGGTCTGTCCAGCGCATTTGCTTTCGATAGCCTGATAAACTTCGCCATCCTTCGTGGAGTTGTTGGATTTGCAGCAGGTATGTCGCTCACCTGTTTAGCATTTTTAAAAATTACCGTGGGCTCCGGGCTGTAATTAATGCTCACTATAGAAACCAAAGTTTTTGTAATGATCTTATCATTTAAACGGAAAACGAAGATGGCGTTTTAGGCCATGTTTGCACTATAACGGATAGCTTTTGCGCCGGCACGAAAATGATACCGGATAGGGCGGTGATTTCGACGCTATTTCTGTAAAGGAGAGAAGTTGCGCCGCGCCAATCTCGCAGGTGGAGAGTCACATATCGGATAGATTCTGTGCCATGCTTTGGTGTAGCACGAACAGGTATTATGACCGTAGCAGAAGTAAATAAATAGGGAGCTTTAGCATCGACGACGGCAACGCCAGAGAAAACGTCACTTTTAAAACGAATTTCCGTTTTTCAAACACTGTCGCGGTTATTCCAATTTGCTGAAAATGGCAAATGTAGGCGAATATCCCTTTCGTTGATTTCTTGAGGAGCGCACTCAACTTTAGAGAGGGAAAAAGAAATTCGTCGTCGCTTGTTTACGTTCTCCATAAAACTTGCAATTAGGCATTTCACGTCGTAGTCGTGCGAGGACTGTAAAGAAATGTACAAAAAAGCGTTGTTGTTTTGTGTAATAAATCTATTGCTTTTTTGACGTCCTCATTGCCATCGCCGTCGTCGTTGCTATAGCTCCCTAATAAGAAGGGGGAATCAACCCACTGAGACCAACAACGCTGAGACGGAAATATTCTGGAATGAGGACTGGGATTTAGTTCACCAAACCCTCCCGGCCAACCGCTCCGGCGCGATGCTCGATGTGTGTGAGCGACTTGTTCCGGTTCTGTGCCGTTGCTGTTCACACTATACCGAATAGGTTTTCCCAGGGGGGTACTTCCTAGTAATAGGCTAATGGGTATGTGCCGCTGGATGGGGTCGCATGAGTCACGACTGGATTGACTATTATTAGGATTGCATATTTGTAAGAGTTATTAAAATGGGGTCGCACATTTTCAGGATTTTTGGGGTCAGAAATTCAGGTATGTAGGGATTTAAAAGTAGAAAGATTTGCACATAATTAAGCTTAACAAATGTGTCATTTCGCTTCGGGATGACCGAGTTAAAAGGCTTTATAAGGTAGTTGCATAAACAGAAAGTTACGAAGATAAGATTGCGAAAATTACTTTTTTCCCAAAGTGACTAAGCTGGGGTCTATAATATGACCACAGAATAGACTATAATGGGGTAGGGGTTCTGAGAGGCCAGCGGCACATACCCAGCAAAAATGAACCCAAGTAATTCCCCTGGGAGGTTTTCTTTCGTGTCGGCACGAAATGCTATCCAGTAACAGTGGAGGATCATACGGGGTGGGGGGGGGGAGGCGGCGGTTATCCAGACCCTGAGATAAGGGGGTGGCCCGGTCTCAATAAAATTTTTTTTCGACCCTTCGGGCCTCAGTTTGGTCTAAAAATAGGGGGCGGGCCCCCGGTTCCCTCCCCTGGATCCGCCACTAGGTATAGTGTGAATATAGCCTTATTTTCCTTGCCACCTCCTCACCTGTCACTTCTACGAGGTCATCCGAGCCACAATCCGTTGGCAGAAGAAAAGTAGCTAAAGTAGCGAGTACTTTCGTTCAAAGTTCTCTGAGTTATAAATAAGCCGGCCCTAGGGAATCGAACTTGGCCCTCCCGCTATGCAGAGGTTTACAATGATGCTAACCCTTGTCGAGCTAGCTCGGTTTTGTTTTTTGTTTGCTGTGCTGTTTTTATTTGTTTGTCTTTTTAGCTTTGTATCGTTACTTATACTAAACAAATCCGGCGAAGGCAGCTAGAAGGATACTACACAAAGAAAAAAAACGAACATCATCGAAAATTGCCCAAAAAACAAAACTCTAAAAAGTGAGTAAAAATTGATTAACATGTATATTATAATGACTAACTCAATTACTTCGTTTTTTCTTTTCTGAAAAAGGAGGTGCCTTTCCAGTCTTGTTTATCCTGGCGGCTGAGTACGTTAGTCCAAAGGCACGAGCCATTGTTTTACCTATTTTGTGGGCAGCCACCACCCTCGCTATAATGTCGTTAGCTGGCGTTGGCTACATTGTTGCGAATCGTCGAAATTTAATGCTAACCCTAACCCATGACACTTCCAATCTTACTTGGTATTTTGCTATTGAAGTGAGTAATTCTACAATCCAGCTCCACACACACGTCTTCTATCTCCACTTTTCTTTTACTTTCATATTCATATTCAGATTCGGATTTTTTTTAACGTTATTATACAACTATTATTGTGTTCTCGAAAAACGTGGAACTTTTATTCTCCCCAGGATTCTTCCCGAGTCACCTCGATGGATCCTTCTTCACTCAGCCTCAAGTAGAAGTACAAGTGAAGCACAGGGTCTGTTAGAGAGAGCTGTGACTGAGGATCAGAGGCAAACTTCTAAATACCGAGATTTTTTGTCCTTGTGGGAAAAGTTCTACTTGCCGCCTAAATCAGGCGGAACGGGCTGTTTCACTTTTCTTCGTCTTAAGGAACCTCGGAAAACAACCATTGTTCTGGGGTTTGCTTGGTGAGTTAGGGAGCGTCAGTTTTGTACAGATACGTTTACAGTTTACAGTAGATTTTACTAAGCACTCACTAGGTGGGTGGGAATGTTCTGATAAACATTCCATGTAATCAACCACGTCTTGTTGAACCGTCGTTACATAGATGTTTTGCTTGTAGTTTGCTGGATGTATATGGTGCACGCTCTAACTATGTCGACCAGGTTCATGTGAACAAGTCTGACAGGTTGTGTTGTAACTGATAGTAATGAGTTGTATTTAAGTTCGCTACAACCAGCTGCAACATGGCTTGAGGCACTGTAACTTGTTAGGCCCCCAAAAGGTGTTTATCAGCTGTTAATCAGACGTTCCATGTTTCCTCCCCATCTCTAGGCTCAATTTCCGCTGTCCTGTTGGTCCTCCCCGAGAATAGACAGGGGAGGGAGAGTGCGGGCTCATTTCCCAAACATCGGCTGGTAATCGAGCCTAGCCCATCTCCCCTTTTATCAAAGTTGCAAGGATCCAAGAAATGCAATGATAACTTAAAACGGGGGAAGGGGTAGAGAATCCCTTGTATTTTCTCTGAGGGCATAGAGCGAAAAAGTGTTCTTTTTTGGCAGGACTGTCTCATCCATTTGACCCTGGTAGTAGCTGTCCTTTCGTTATCCATTGGGAAATTTAACACGGTTACCAGCCTATCACCGGTGTTCGTTTGGGAGAGATTTCCGCCCCCCTGGGGAGTCAACTGTTGCTTTTCTCAAGTATTTCTATTCTTTTTATCTTTCCAGGTTTGCTGTAGGAATGTTGTTTCGTGGATTAAACACGAGCCTCATTCAGCTGCTAAGTAATTTCTACGCTAACTTCGCTGTTCGTGAACTTGTAAGTCTGTTTGGTTATGCTGTTTTTCTTATCTTCGTTACTTGGTAAGTATTGCCAGTCCTTTTTCCATCTCGTTTGTTACATTTATTATTATCATTATCAATATCATCATCATTATCATTATCATTATTTATATTATCATAATCTTTATCATTTTCATTGTTATTCTTTAGTTATTTACTCGTTGCGGCCGAAACAAGCTATCAGAGAGCTTTAG